CAGAACGAGACCACCCGCACGCGGGTCGTGGGTTTCACGGTGAGTCTGTATGTAATTAATTATCGCTCGCAGCTCACGCTCATCTTGTCACGCGCCGCGAGCGTTCTGCTCTGGAATCCGGATGCTCTGGGTCTGTTCACGAGAGCGATCGCGCTCGCGTGGTACGCCGTTCGTTGCGACGTGCGTCGGCTGCCGATCTCACGCAGCGCGTTGTTCCGGCCTCACAATAGCAGGTATGTGGTTCAAACTTTCCATTCAACCATTTCTCCCCTACTCTTCCTTGAGAGACGAGGAGGAGTCCCTCGGCTGGCGCCAGTCCAGTCCGAGCGAACAATGAGCCAATCTCACCTCATCGGGAGTACGCGTCGCAATGCACATGTACGAGGGCAAACCGCCTGGCGCGCTGTCTATCCGCGATGAGCACTCGACGGAGCGCAGGTTAGGACACAAGTTCAATCCATGCGATACATACAGTGCAAGGACAGGCGTTCAGGTAAGCGTTGACGAATGAAGTTAATCAATCAGCCACTGAAATATGAGACGGCTGAAGAATAGAAGACTCACGTGTGGTCCGATCTCTGGATGGTGATGCGAGCGGGCGAGTCCGGCAGAGTGCGAGTCATGGTGACGTGTGCCATGTGCATATGAAATGAATGACCGGAGAGGACATGGATGGGGCAGAGAGGGATCTATACAGCTGCCCTTCGTTGTATACTGATGATGTTAACTCTGCCGCTATTTCTCATTCAACCGAGCACTAACCATGACCATTTCATTGCTATAAGGCTCCTATGGGATGTGAATACACGATATGAAATGGCTTTCTGTCACTGCTGCGAGACCAGGCACTCGTCCTCATTGCCCTGTTTAAATCCCATCACCATGGTCCAAATGACCACTCTGTGACCGAGCCTCTCATCCGGTGCTCCTTGCATTCCAACAGTTGCAGCCCGCAAACGGGAGTCCATGAGAAACGTCGAATGTGGACTGCAGGAGCCAATCACTCACCTTCCCAAGTGGCTGTGTTGAATGCTTGACGTTGCTGTCCAGCCACAGATGTGCCGAATAAGTGCTCCAAACACTGTCCTCAAAGAGGTAAGACCAAAGCAAGCCACGATCGAACCTGCGATCCTGCTTACATTGCATGGTCTTTGACCCTTCAAAAGCCGGTGTCGCTGGTACCGAATGTGGGAGTCAAAAACCTCCCATTCAGCCACACGGCATCACATGGCCCGATGTGGGAACAAGACTCGGCAAGGAGGATATTGAGCGGAGTTCTTTCATCTGTGCGGCAGGCAAAAGTTCTGCCTGAAACTCAACGCACGCGGTAGTAACGCGTTACATCCTTCGAATTGGGGTCCTGATGTAGTGGCATGTGACTGTAATGCTTGATCGGAACATTGCAGATCAGCGGACGATTCGTCGAACCGATGGCACGGACAAGATGCCCGCCTCTCCGAAGGCAATCTCGTGGGTGCATCCTCTCCGCTGCCTGTTCACGAGATTGATCATCATATGTATCGCAGGACCCCAAACTCAGCGTCCGCAAGTCAGTGAACCGCCGCCTCGGCTGCTTCAGCGCAGTCTGCATTGCCCTGCACCTCTGCCATTTAGAAACTGGATGAGAGGTTGTGACCGCCCGTACTCTTGCTAAAAGGACGGCCATGCTGCACGCATGTCCAGGTGCCGTCGAACTGCCGTATTGTGACCGCGTTCTATTGGCTTCAAGGAAGCAAGAGGCCCAAGGTCTGGGTGTTGTCCTCGTGCTCTGCTGCGCAATTCTTTGTCTCGTCCATTGATATATGAAGATATACCTTCACGGCACGCTCATGGCCGTCGTCATTACATTTGCGAAGAGCGACATTTCGCTTTCGGCATTGGCGTACAGGGGAACGTATGCCAATCTCCAATATTTTGAACATGTGTGCACTCGCGATGCTCATGACAAGAGCCTGAAATCATCTCGGTCTGATGATATGAAGGTTACTTCTCTGCCACAGTTTCTCCCACAGCAATAGCCACAGAACCAGAAGGTGACAAATCCGTCTGAACGGGACGGCATATCGATATTCCATAGCCATAAGCAGTACGAGAGGTCCCATATGAAACAAGGCAGGTCTCGGCAGCTTCTCCGAAGTACGGAATGTCGAGTCACCCAACGGCCTCGCCCGCGCATGAAGCACGCACATCAACTTCTGCTGCGCTTGCAGGCTGATAGACCGTTTGACAAGGTCCATTCAGCGATACACCCATGAGCCAATGCTGCTGCTTTCCCGCACCGAATCTGACTTGCGCGCAAGCTGGTCTCCCGCGCATCGGCCACTCCAAACGGCACTGTCGCCTCCCTGGCACACCCGAGTACACCTGCCAAGCTCCCAGGCTATCGCTTTACCAGCGCACATTCTTTAATGAACACGAACGAGCCCATCACATTGCTTCTTTCGCCTGCCTCGAGGCTTCGCCGACGGTCGCATTAATGTCATTTCGGGGGGGGGGGATATCATCCAACGGAACTCACGCTGCTGACAGAACAGTCTATTGGTTTGTTCTGGAGCTCCCCAGATCACGCCACGGAAGGTTAGGTCACGGCCCGGTGCAGTTGCAAGGTATAAATGATGGCGCGCGGAGATGAGGTTCGGCACCACTCTCCGCCCCTCATCTCCTCCCATCCTCGCCTTGATGTGCCTTCCTCCACCGTCCTTCACGAGCACGCCACCTAGCTCTCCCCTCACTACCGCTGACGACCGTGAACGACCGTCTCGGGATTGACCGGGCGCAACATGCCTGTACTGGTGCGTCTCACTCACACTGATAGCCCAATGACAGCAGGTCGCGAAGACGACGCATGGGATGCGTCGAACGTCGCGCACATCGCGCTATTCGCCCGCCCTTCACTTGCACGCAACCTCCGCCTATCGAGTCAGGTAAGCGTATCTTGCGATCGCGTCGTCCGCTCACGCTCACCTCGGCTCGTGTGTAGGCAATCATCCACGCCTGTCGAACGCGGCCACAAGCACACCGCACAAAGCATAAGCAATGGTGAGTACGGCGCTCGCAAACCATTTCATCAACGAGCCAGCCGCTCACGTCCATCCAGTCCGATCGTGGCATGCAGCGATCAGACTCATCAATCCGATGTGCAGCACGCTCCCGACCACGAACGATTCGATAACGTCTGCCGGCAGGACGGACAGCGCGACATCGATCTTTACCAGCTCATTCCATCGCTGCCGAATCGCGATCACGAAGAGCAACCACCCTGGCCTCCTATGCCACACACCTCGAGCCTCTGCTCGACCGCCTGCAAGCCCTCCGTGTTACGGACCGGCCGCTTTGATCAAACTAGTCGTAAGTACGATCTGCACAGATTTCGCTTGCCGCTCACGACGTTCCCAGGAGACGCGTTGGCCCCGTGCGTTGTATACCGTGACAGCTCGCTCGTCCGCTGAATCGATGACCATCGCCCACAGAGCCAACCGTGACCGACGCGGACCACCGGAGTGCAAGACCTCCGCACACGTATAACGTCATCCCGTACGTTCTGTCCGCACATCCGTTGCACAAGGCGCTGATGCCCGCCCTGCGCAGGCTCGGACACGCACACTGACGCTTCGCAAGGTAGGTCTTGCACCGACGGGCGCGGCGTGAGCTGACGTCGCGACTTGGGTATGTACGTTTCAGGCCATAGGAAGAGATGGGGAGGAGGAAATATGTTTCCTGAGGGAGGGACATGAGATGAATGACATACCTTGGAGCGGCGGTGCCGTGAATGCGCGCTCAAGAGCGCATGCGCATGAATGGCCGACGTTTGAGGAAAGTGAGCTCGACGTCGCGCCCATAGTGCAGTCGCTCGCCTGAGAGCGAGACATAAGTGTGCGAATGTGAGAGAGAGCTCACGCGGAGACGGGTTGTGCACAACGAGGTGGGCGACTGAGCATGGGCGCCGTGGGCGTTGGGCGCCGCTGTGAGCGTCAGGATCGAGACAGGGAGCGAATTTGTGTACAAGAACGTGAGACCGGCGGGCACGTGGACGAGACTGTCGGCACAGGGCTGCAAGCTGAGGAGGAAGCGATGCGCGCGCTGATTGCACGAGGAGAGGGGGTACGTCGTTGGATAACAGCGTTGGCGGTACGCGCGTGCACAAAGACGCAACGGTCGCCAGCATACCATGTTGGTGGACTCGGCTGTGAATGGGGCAATCCGCGCGTGCGAGAGAGGAGACGCGACGCAGCAGTGCGAGCCGAGAGCCGCGCGAGGAATGCCACACAGCGAAGGCGTCGCGTAACAGGTGGATCAACAAGCCGCACGCATCAGATTGGGTCCGCGACCCGAGCCGTCGGGTCGATAGATCGCGATCGGTTGATCTCAGCGGTGATTTTGAAATCTCAAACGGTTTAGTGCAGAACTGATCCGAACCTCGCAGCATCATTGGCTGGACAATGCAGGCCATCTGGTGCCCAGACCCACAAGGAAATCCGTCTCGGAAATCTACACTCGATTCGGCTCGGCTGGGGCCCCATCTGTGTGCCCGCACCAATTCTCCACCCCGTTTCTCACCTTGCTTTTCCTTGAAAATGTGCCCTGCTTTATTTTGTCTCAATGCACCTCCCAGTTGATCCCATGCTCACGCATCATCAAGAACCTGCATATCACTCACCCGGGCAATCCCATGCCAATGGTATGTCCAAGTCCATCACTGGAGACTTCAGTCGACAATGGTTGACACGCGTCCACAGAGTGCTGACTGCCTCACCCGAGCAGGACATCAGATACGTGTCCTCACCTCCTGTATTTTCTGACCATTTGTTAGCCACGCAGACAGAGACTCAAAGACAGTCGGAGAGTGTCCAGTGCAGGTCAAGACGAAGCGCATCGAGAGCACGTCGGGCGCGATTGCCACTCGGGCAGGTCACGTGTGCGCGACTGGACTGGCGAGGCGCCTGCGGTATGTGCTGCTCGCTCTACATCGACATCCCTCACCTCACCTCATGGTAGACGTGCGCGGTGTGCTGCAACTGGGATTGAAGGTCTCATAGTGAGTTCACTGATACAGAATTGATTGTGTCCGAGCCTGATTGCTGATCTCGCGGCTGATAGCCGTGCACCCAAAGGCTGTCTTATGGGATCAAGGATACCGGTCGCAGGAAGAAGAGTGCCATGGGGACACAGGGAATGATACATGATTTATTATTCAAGGTGAGTTCTTACACATTATTTGAACAGTCAACTGCAAGTCCTCACGGACGCGGCGGGCGTTCTTCAAGATGGTCCAGACATCAAGTGGACGAAGTGATGCAAGACTGGGTCAATAACTCGAAAGAAGCACGTATGGACAAGCTGCCGGATAGGCTCTCCTCTATTACTTTGTGCGAACGACGCTCGCTCATCTGTCGAGGGTCTCATGTCTCCACGCAAATGATCGCGTAACACGGGGGTTCGGGACGGTGCCGGATTATGCAAGACGGTATGGGCCATCGCATTTGCTATGGTATCCACTGATGTTCCATTCAGTGGCCCTTTATATTATCTCCTTCGTGCGGTCTCCCTTTCGCGCCTTGCCACATCGCGCCGACTGTGTAGCTCGAGAGGTCCGACGCCGCGCGTTGATAATAGGATACGGTACGCACGATCTTGTTTGATGCGGTCTCTCGAATAACGTTCTGTTCAGTTCGCTGCCGGAAACATCACTCGCTCTCGTCGCCTCCACTTCACTCCGCGCAGCGATCGCACTCATACAACTTGAAATATCCAGGCAGTGTCTCGGCGGCACAAAACGTTGCCCACGATCACGTCAAATGTGATCGTCTGGCGACCCTTCTGTCGATTCAGCACCACCGTCGCTTGCGCTCAGTCTTGCTCGATCACCCCGGGCGTTCCGTGCCATGCGCAATGCCGGACGGCAAGTGCAAACAGCGTGTGGCGTGCTATGGGTCGCCTTCAAATGAAAACTGACGAGCAGTTATCCGACAAGCCGAGCGGACGGGCAAATCATCGTCCTTGCGACCCGCAAGACCACTCTCGCAGCGAATGGACTCCGTCACCTTAACGGTCGATCATCTGCCTTCCCGATCTGCTCGTTCAAGCACCCAATCAAGGGCGTTTTGGATGTGAAGCTGCTGTCCCAGCTGGATTCCTCAGCGCATGGCGCTGTAAGACTGATGACAATGCCCCCACAGGCTCAATGTCTGCGCTCCCCATGGTCGAGAGCAGGATCATCTGCGATTGAGCATGTTGATGCGCGGGTATGCATGGGCCGCCAGGAGGTATCGAAGAGCTCTTCGGTCTGATGGCTAGACCACCTTCCATAGTATCGCCTTCGATGTGCGGTTCCCAACTCGGGCCTTGAAACGGTCCGCTTACTACACGGCTATGAGCTCTTAACCTGCACTTAGGCAACACACACTCCACACGATCTCGTTTGATGTCGTCGCTTAGAGCCTTTCTGTCACTGTACCAGCCCGCCTCCCCCCTCCCCCCTCCCGCGGCAACCGCCTTTTACGCAGTCTCTCCCCTCAGACCATGCCACGGTCGCGTTCATGTCGGCCGCTATTCCACGACGATCGTGCAATTCAGTAGCAGTCGATCCCACTGAGCGTCACGCTCAGTGCGGGACACGACGTTCTGTTTAGTTCGTTGACGGAAATATCACTCGATCGCGTGGCCTCAACTTCGCTCCGCGCAATGATCACACTCGTCATACCCCTCGACAGGTGCGGGCAGTGTCTGACTGACGCAATACGTTGCGCACGATCACAACAAACCTGATCGTTTGGCGACCCTTCTGTGGATGTAAAACCACCTTCGCTTGCGTGCGGTCTTTCGTTTACAGCATGCATGGCCGCGCTCGAGTCGGTTAGCTTGCAGAGGACCAGCAGGGTTACCGCTCGTTCACGCGGGCGTTACATGCCATTTGCACTGCAGGACGGCGAGTGCGAAGAGTGCATGGCATGGCGTGCTATGGGTCGCCTTCAGTTGGAAACTAACACCGACAATGGATCAAACGTTATTCGACGATGCCGAGGACTGGTGAGTCATCGTCGTCCTTGCAACCCGTAAAGTCATCCCTGCAGCGAACGGACTTCTTCGGCTGGACGGTTCTACATCTGCCTTTCGGGGCGCTCGTTCATGTACCCGATAAAGGCGGTTTTGGACGTGAATCTGCTGCCGCGGCTAGATTCATCAGTGCATGGTGCCGCGAGACGGACGACGGTGCCCCAAGAGCTCGTCGTCTGCGCTCGGTATAGTTCAGAACAGGATCATTCGCGATTGAGCATGCCGATGCGCGGGCATGCGTATGCCGCCAGGAGATACTGACGAGCTCTTCGGTCTGATGACTTGATCACCTTGTGTAGTATCACCTTCAACGTGCGGTTTCCAATTCGGCGTTGAAACGGTCTGCCTACTACACGGCTATGAATATCTCAACTGACACTGCGGCGGCATCCGCTCCGCACGATCTCGTTCGGCATCATCGCTTGACGGCCTTTCCGTCACTGTGCTAGCCCGCCCCCGACGATGATCGCCTTTTGCGCCGTCTTTCCCCTCACACTATGCAATGGACATGTTCATGTCGAGCGCTATTCCACACGACCGTGCGATGAAGATTGCCTCGAGCGTTGCGAGGATGCGGGACGGCAAGCGCAGATAGTGCGTTTTGTGCGATTTTCTGCCTCACATCATACTGTGGTCACATCCGTGTCGGCCGTTACTCCGCGATGACCATGCGATGAAGTAGCGGTTGATCGCCCCAAGCGTTGCGCGCAGTGCAGGACGGCAAACATGAACAGTGCTTTATGCATCCCAAGATACTTTCCGATGTGAACGTAAGGGCGTGCGGAAGAGTTTTGGAGTGGGATACCGAGCAACGTCGTCCTCTCAATTTACAAGGCTCCCTCGACGCGGACTCTGCCCACTGAGCGACAGCGATCGACTGCCCTTCTGACCTACTCATTCATGTCCGCAACTGACGGTCCGTTGTGCGTGGTATTCGGGCTGCAATCAGGTTCTCCCGCGTGTGATGTCGCAAGACGGACAACGGTCGGATCATGAGGCCACTATCAGCGCTGGGCGTCGTTTGCGGAAGGTCACTCGTGGTGGGGATTCTGGAGGTGCAGGTGCACTGCATCGGTGGTAAGTACGTCAGTTACCTTCTGCCAATCGTATTTCCGTGCTGATCGTGCAAACTGATCACGGTAATCAGCTCTTTCATAAGGACACTTCAAATCGTGCAAGTTTAGGGATTGCGTATTGCGACAGATCTCAAGAAGGACCATTCGGACAAGACATAGAAGTGTGCTAACTGCCGTATCAAGCAGGACGCCAATGGGGCGGAACGATAAGACCCGTTAGACAAGACGACGGAGAAGGAATGGGCGAGGAGTTTAAAGGACACAGATGGAATGGAATGAAAGGAAAGACGGGTACATACTGCGGGTCGTTGGCTGTAGGGATGGTCGGTAGCGGGACAGATAATGAAAGCGGTTACAACGGGACAAATGCCGTCTTGTGCAGACTAGTGTGTTGTGAGGCATGTTGTAAGCCTCAAAGCAAGCCCTGTAGCTCTCTTTCTGCCCTGTCCTGTGCTCCTTCCCTCACAATCTCAACGGTCGATGCTCGTGTCCGGGGATAGAAATATATTCGCGAGCTCGTTTCGGCATCGTCCTCATACATCCATGCAGCTGACATCTCTCCCCCCACGGGCCCACTGCTCAATGGCCAGGGAGAGCGGCCAATACTACTTGTACGTACTGTATGATTTGGAAAGAATTGATACTTACCGATGATGAACACGAACGGACACCTCGCAAAGGCCGACTGAACTGAGAGAAAGTACTCGTGCTGGCTGATGTTCCCGTTCGATGCGCGACTCGTCAGGCGCGGCGCGGCCGCCTGCAGCGACTTCATGTCCGGCATCGACTTCTTCACACGCAGTGAAGCGGGTGCCTGAGGGCTGCTCACGTTCAGGTAGGACGACGTTGCGCGCGAGAGCGTGTGCCGTGGCGCCTGTTGCTGGGGATATGTGAGTTGCACGGTGCATCAGCTGGCGTGGGGAGACGTACCGCGTTGGGATCGATGCGCGTAACAACCGCATACCTGTCCTCTCCCTCGCCGACGGAATAGTGGTAGACGCCGAGCTTCTGTGCCACGAGGTGCACAACGCGACGCTGCTTGGGCGTCAATGTCCTCGAGAAGGCAAGCTCGTCCCTCATGCGATCGTCCTTGAACAGGAGGATGCGCGAATAGATCTCGAGTGTTGACGGATCATTCAAATCAAGCTCCGCCGAAGGCGATTTCAGGGCCCCGGGCGTCACGGGGGGCAGAGGCGGCGTCGTGACCGTGAATGGCTGAGGCGTCGGCATCGAGGCCATCTGCGACGGAGAGAACGTTTGCTGGTTCTGGTACACGCTGGACGCCGAGAATGATCGTTGCGGCGAGAATGGAGACGATATCAACGAGCCGTAGTCCTCGTAGGGAGTCTGTACCTGTTGCTGTTGCGCCATCGCGGCCTGCTCTTTTTCGAGTTGCATGGACTTCATGCGTCGAATGGCCTTTTCGCGCTCGATGCGCTCCTTTTCGCCGGCCTGTAGAACCTTCTTGTACTCCACTCGCAGCTTGCGCCCCTGCACGTCAAAACCATTCAGTGCCGCCACAACGGCGTCTGCATCTGCCGCCTGACGGAAGTTGGCAAATGCCAACCCGCGGAACTGGCCTGACTGGTCGAGGTGGTAATTGAACGCGTACGGCGTCGGGATTGACAGCGATGCCTAGATGAGAAGCGTGGTACTGAGATCGCGCGATGTGCATACATGAGAAGCACTGTGTACGTACGATGATCTCGAGGAGCGTCTCGCGCTTCACGTTGAACGGGATGTTCTTGATGACGATCGCGGTGGGAATGATCTCGTCGTCCGCGCCCTGGTTGGGGGTGCCGGGCGTGACAGGCGGCATGCTGGGAGCCAGGGGCGGGGACCCGCCAGAGGAGGAGAGATCCGAGTTGTTCTGCGGGGACAGCGAGCGCCCCTCGGCCATCGCGCGCCCCTCTGGGCTGTCGAGCCATTGCTGTGAGAAAGAGATCGATGGTCAGGTGAGGACGCGCGTGGTGACGGGCGATGCGCACCGATGGGAGACCTCCACGTAGCACGGGCCTGCTCTTGAGGGGGTTCTGGCCGACGGCGAGGGGGTTGTACTGGGACTGGGCGGGGACGGGGGGCGAGGTAGAATAGTGATATGGAGTCTTGCCGTTGCCGCTGGCGGAGCCTTCGTATTCGTAAGTGTCATGAAGACGTTGCTGAGAGGGCTGGGAAGAGAGCGACAGGGAGGATATATCTGGGGTGGAGGAGGAGGTCATGATGGGACTGGGCGGATGGTATTACAGAAAGCGGTCGTAAAAAGCACTCGTTATGTTGAGAGAATTGGCCGACGGTGGTGGGAGATGTGAGCAAAGAACAATGCAAGCAGAACGCGGTTAGATGGACGGTGATGAGTGGAAAAAGCACAGGCGCTGATGGATTCGCGCGCATTTCCGACAGCCACGAGGACCGCCTCTCATTCTTGTTCCTGCTCACAACGATCGCTATGTGCGTGCTGGCATTTTATTGCTGCTCGGAAGACTCTCTCTGCTGCGTCACTAGGTTTGTCTTAGCGGTCGGCCGACCCGTCTGAGGGCACCGTACGAATATATCTCGCCGAATTCCGAGTCGACTGCCGTGAGCACTCTGCTTGCAGTGCAAGGATGCATGGCTGATGTGTACTTGGGTACCGATGAATCGGAGGATGTGAGCAATGACCCGGAGAACACGCATGTCCTGTGTAAAGTTGTTCGCATCATCCCTTGATTTGCATTGCCGCATCGCTGGCAGCATGATCAGATGTACAGCTGCAGTACGAATGCTGACAATAATTAATAGCCTCCGTGACTCGTAAGCTGGAGGTCATGAACCCGCTGGTCGAATGCCTGATCATGCCGCCTCAAGCATGGACGCGATTATCGACGGCAGCGAGTCGGCTAACGCAGACTTATTGCACTCTGCGGGCATGAAAGCGCCATCGCTGTCACTGGCAGCAGATGGCAGAGCGCCTGATGCATTTATGCCGTTTACATGATGGAGCTCTGAACATGTCATGATAGACGCGATCCTGAAACATGTACAGACAGTCTCAGATTCACCCATCTGTGTGTGGTCCTCAGGCAACGGTTCCGACGGCGAGCAGCGACCGAACTCTGTGCACACGTTGGATGTGCCACTCGCTCGAAGACGAGAAGAAGACAACAGCAGTACTGCACTCAAAACGAAGTTGACCCAAGTGCATTGTGGCGTCCGTAAGCGCCCGAGAATGTTCACCGCACGTAGTTTCTCCTCTATACTCAACTGGGGCCCTGTAAGGTCCACGTGGCTGAATCAGGGGACGCTGTAGATACTCAACAAGCATGAAAAAAGCATGGGCGCCGGGCCTTCGTGCAATGCACACTCACAACCCCGGCTACTAGTAAGACCGTATCAACTTGCTACTTTGAAGACTCTGCGCCACTAGATACTAGTCTTTAACGCGTTGAATAGAGGATCCGAGGTACGTTACTTCCCTTGTGAACATTCTCCTGATATCGACGAAATATGCACAGTGGATTACAAAACAGATCACCGGCATTTTTGGTGACACAAACAACGCCAGGAGTCCCAGAATGACGACCGTGACTCTTACAATCGTGACGCCACTGTACCATCTCTTCCTACACGAAGATGGCTTCATGTCATTCATGGTGCCAGTGTCCTCCAATCGGCCAATCGGTTGATTTCACCGCAATATCTACATCGTCGAGGTGGCCACGACCCATGGAGCCTCTATATCGAATTTGAAACCTCCTGTCACCTATAATCAATTGGAATAATGCGAATAAGTGGACACCCAATTGTAATTGAGAGCCGTCCGTTCGAGAGCTCATCCCAGCTTTTGGCAACCCTAGAATTACTCGACATCAACGCATTCGGTCTGCCTTTTACCAATACGACGCCGAGACACAGGCTCTTGAATCTCTGGACGTCCCTCGAGACTCAGCCCGGGTCAACGATGCGGCACCGATGCAGAGGCGAAATCGACGTGCTGTCGGAGGAAGGATGTCAGCGCTTGGTTCTGCGGCAAGTGAAGGAGGGGCACGCACATCGCGATGCTGCAAAATCCTTGAAGTACTGTCAAAGATTTTACAGCATCGAGAGACCGTTGATTTATTGCAAAATACCGTTGATGTTGTAGTAATGAGAGAAAATATCCCGTGCGCAGGGACCGCGTTCCGCCCTGCAATTGAAGTACTTCTATCTCGGGCGATAATTGGTGTAAAGGGCCTCACAACCTGTACAGTCCCAAACGTGAAATTATATGCTTATTTTCAAAGCAGTGCGCTGTTTTATTTCTGGAATGTCAATCCGCTCAAGCTGGCGCCAGTAAGCGAAGTGGTATTTGTGGCGTCAAGTTGGCCAGAAGCGCCCAGTCGGGAAGGCCACAACTTGCACGAGGTGGCGTTTCTTGAGAACTTGTAGAATCGGATGCACGTTGTTACCCCCAGCCGTTATTCATCGCATCTTTGAAAGCACGGACGTTCTCCAGCCGATAGTTTTTGTAGCTGACTATGACAGTCTCGTTCGCCAACCAGGACTCTAGTGCAGCTCTTTTGTGTAACACGAATGCCATACTTGAAGCTGAAGCTTGAAGATCGAAGTATCATCGTCCAAAGAACACACAATATAGAATGCTAAGGCTATCCACGAGTAGCAACTGCACTGCGATGCCGGAGTCTACGAGGAAATGGTTTCCACGAGCTAGAGTCCGGCAAGTCCAAAAAAGCAGAAAGTAGAGAGCACAAACGAATCCGAAAGTAAACGCTACATAAGTTAGATCAGACGATAGCGATGTCAAAAAGGGCAACCACGCCTTGTAGGCTGCACTATCAAATATCGAAAGTGCAGCTCTCTCCATATATGTCATGACGGAGTACTAACAACAGCCTCGTATGGTGGAGGCGGCGTCTCCGGCCGAGGGGCAATCTCGTCAAATGAGGGCGGAGCTGAAGTGGTACCGCTGCTCTGGCGAGCCGGCTCTCTATGACGGGATGCATCTCTGCCATTCCCAGCCGCGCTCCTGGCACGCGTACTGCCTCCCTGTGGCGACTCGCGCGGAGGCAGCTGTGATGGTGGCGAAGATTGGAGAGAAGGAGGTATCAGGGATGGTGGCAGCTGACTAGGGAGCTCCTTGCCCTTGATCGTCTCCCGGATTAGTTGCATAGCTATAGCAAACTCGTCCCGTGTGAGCCGGCCGTCGTGGTTGACGTCCGCCAGATCCCTATAAGGAGCATCGCACGATCAGCATATAGCATCCTGTGTATGTTGGTATCAGTCCAAACATACCAGATATCCGCCATCACATTGTCAGGCAACTTTGACTTGGCGAAGAATGTCACCGCGATGTCACCCTCAATGTACCCCTTCCGCCACGGATCGAGCGTATCAAAGAACGTGTCAAAGCGCGCCTTCACTACAGGGTTGATGGCCCACGGCTGCACGCTGCCATTCGGCATTTGCTCCGGACTGGACGGTTGCGGCAACGGTGACGTTGGCTGAGGAGACGATGGTTCGAAGAACGCCGATCCTGTCAGCTGTGGTGGCACAATGAGCGTGTTCACAGCGAGCAGGTCGCTATTGGGTCCTGAGACTTCTGCGACAGGTGGCCTCGGTGTTGATGGTCCTCCGAGTGGTTCGTCTAGATCTATGAGCTGATACAATCCATGAGCGATAAGTCCGAGCTCTACGGTGTACCCGACGTACCGATGCCTCTGGGACAGTGGGCTGAGGAGCAGCACTTGAGCTCGCTTGCTCCACCTCAGACGACGACGGAGAGGCCGGCAGTTCCTGCCCCGCTTTCTTCATCTCTGCAAGCTTCATCGCAATCGCAAACTCAGCCCTCGTCAAATAGCCCTTCGAACCTGTGTCCGCGGTACTCCTATACGAACGTCACAATGTAAGCCAGAGATCGACAATATAAACATATGCCACTTACCAGATTTGGTTGAGAACATCCATTGACAGGCCCAGCTTGAGCAAGAACGACATGATGACATAACTCTGCACCTTGCCCGTCCCCTCAGTATCGAGCGTCTGGAATATCCGATCCGTGTGATCCTGCGCGGTGGGCTGTATGCCAAAGTAGGCAGGCGCGCCAGGCAACGCCGGTGACGTCTGGAGATTCGGAGTGGTCGTGAGGGACGGACCTGGTATGGCAAGTCGAGCAGGGCTAAAGATTGCATTGCAGCCGGCCTGCTGGTATAACTCTGGTGGGAGCGCGCTGGGCAGAGGGGCGAGCCGGCCGGTCATGCACGCCTGCACGAGGTACATCGCGATGACGAAGTCGCCTATGGCGAGCGATCCACGGCAGGAGACATCCGCGAGGTCCCTGCAGGATAGGATGTGCTCATTCAGAACTAGGACAAAGCTTAAACAGCGTCGTATACACCGACCAGATTTGTAAAAGCGTCTCGGATGGCAAGCGGGACTTGAGCAACAGATCCCGGGCTCGAGCACCTATGGACTGATTCATAAGATCTAGCCTTGTCGGGGACGCCAACGACATACCGCTCAAGAACCCATTCTTCGGCCCTGCCCCAAAGAAGATCTTCATGAACTTCGCCTTGTCTTCCTGGGTGAGTGGCGGCAACTGTGCCATGCTGATCATGGGAGGCCGAGATGGGCCTGCCTCTGGTTGAGTTATCGGATACGCTGCGCAATGAACTCCGTGAGCGGGCCTCTCAGGCAGAGATACTTGCAAACCTACCTTGTGGGAAAATGCTGACCATGGGTGCCTTGCCTTTCTCGCTCTGAACCTCTTGTGGCACCGACGTGACAGCCCCAGTGTGCGAGAGCTCGTCATAATGTCTGAGCGCCTCGATCAGTACCTCGTTCGCCGCGATGAGCTTGCCCAGTATGTTTTCCTCAGATGACGCAGCCTCGTCGGAAGAGAGCTCGATTTGAGCTACCGCAGTGATGATCTCCTTTTGTGACGTCCGGCAGCTTGCATTGAATTCCTGCGCATACATGTCGTCAATACCTGCCTGGACGGTGAATGCGATTGCATACCTGTATCAGCTCCCCATGCAGGTCCTCCCGCGTCGCATGCATCAGAGCCTCGCTCAACAGCTCCGCATTCCCCCTCCCCACCCGACACAGCTCTGGCAATCTCCTCTTCTCTGCCTCCGGATCCGCTGATATAGATGGTTTTCCCATGGCACTCTGCGTCTCCACTGGCACCCCGTTCAACCGGAGCTCGTCGAGCATCTTCAGCACCTCCGTCAACACCTCATCCGCCGTGATTAGCTCCTTAAACAGCAGCTCCTCGCGCGTTTGCGAGGGATCGTTCGCGCCGACACGTCGCCGGGACGAGGCAGCGGCAGCATCCGCCCATTGGATGTGTTCGAAGATGGCCTTTTGCGAATCGAGGCAGCTCTGCATAAACTCCTGCACAATCGCACCACTCAGATCCTCCGGCTGCGCGTGGAGAAGCGACTCGCGCAGCAGCTCCGCGTTTCCCATCGCGGTCTTCGCCACCTTGGACAGCCTCTGTATCTTCTCGTCGTCTAAATTTGACGGGCCTGCGCCAGGGGAAGGAGGCGGCCTGTGCGATGTAGTGCGTCCGCCGTCTAGAGAGAGTGCGCTCAAGCTCGTCGTCGCTGTCAGCATGCGAATCTGCGCGCAAGCATCAGTACTACATTGGGTAGACACGCACGAAGGAGATCATTCGCACCGTATGCTCGTTCTTGATACGCTCCTGCTCAGCCTTGTCAAGCCCGGCATACACCAGATCGGAATAGAACTGCATTGCGGCGATAAGGTCGTCGTTAACTCCGCGTAGAACCTTGAGAGTGCGTGTCGCATCGTCGAGATGGGGCCCTGGGGCAGCGAGGCGGGGGTTGTTGAGCACAGAGGCCACGCGTGTGGTTTGCGCCTCAACCAAGAGTTGCGACTTGCGGCATTTATCAAGGAACTCCTGCGCGAAATGGTAGAAGCGTTAGAACAACTGAAGAAATCGTCAAAGAGTGCATGACCCTTGCTGCTCCTTCGCTAAAGCACATGGGCATAACCAACTGCTCGTCATGATTTACTAAAGAAATGAGGAGTTGTCATGGCTTTCCAGAAGATTTGGAGTAAGTCACATTATAGTTCTGTTATACCAGTGTCCTGCTGGTAGACCAGACGATCTATTCATATCTCCACAGGCTCTGGACACCCTCCTCTCCTCTGACTCACTATCCATGACGAGCCATGGTTCCCCCCGCTCAATAAGGAACTTTGAGACACTACTGCATGGAGCGTGCACCCCGTGTAGAATAGAAGGACTACACGCACCCTGGTCAAGCCATTGCGGAGATCCTGCGGGCCATTCGCATTCACTAGAGCCTCGCGGAGCAGATCAGCGTTCCCCTGCGCAGCCTTGCAAAGCGTGTATATATGCTTGACGTCTTCCGGGGTCAGTGCTAGCCAGATAGGTCTGCGTTCTGGAAGAGCGCGCATCTATCGTGCGTCAATGTGGTTCACAAATTGCACAGAGGCGAACATGAGAACTGACCACGGCCTGAGATGTGGCCCAGTGGCCGTCCTTGCGTCCTTGCCTCAGTCGCAGCTAACGTCGAAAGAAAGCCACACTATAGGATCGTGTATTCTAGCCCTGCGCCGGTTGCTGGACATAGCTGCGGGAGGGCAGTGCGCCGTACCACTGCGGTTATTTCACACCGATACTGTTAAGCGCCCGATATTCAAAAGTAGAGCACGTGAGGCTCGTATGACGAAATAGATGTATTGTTATTATGGCTTGCCATAACTTGGTTGAAGAGGCGCCGGGCGCCGGTTCCAAATGACACGAAAACTCAATCACAGTAGCGGAAGATGCGGTGTGTATCACTTATGCGAACATAGCTCTATATTACATTTCTGCAGTCTCATGTTGGTGAACAGCAACAACGCAGGCAAGAGCCAAATAGGATGAATCACTTAAAGAAATGAACGACTTCGAGCTAAGGCTCCAACATTTCTATCTATTTACTATGTTACATAGTTTTAACTGTTTACTATATCTGTTTATTTACAGTTGGGCCTGTACATAGTAAATAGATGTATATATATAGTATAAATAGTTTTATGATGATATAGGGCTATTGAGTGCACAATTGCTAGATTTGACAGCACAACAGTGAGCCAATTGAAAGTCATAGTGTTTAACAGCAGTCACCACTGACAGTTTATCATCATATAGGCTCATGAATATGAGTTTCTTGTCATTTCTTGTATGACATAAGATTTTCTGGTCATTTCTAGTGCAAGTGTTGACATTGAATGCTTGTTTTCTGCTCACTGTCATGTGCTTGCTGATGCAAACAGGTCCTTAAAGGCCTCAACAATCACAGAGGCTGCTCACAGTTGAGTAAAACTCCATCAAAAGATGGGACCAAAAAAACTATATAAACTTTATATAAACTGTTTATATGACATATAGATAACTGTTTACTATATACTATATATTTACACCTCAGGAGTGTAAATAGTATAAATAGTTGGAGCCTTACTTCGAGCATTGTCGTAAAATGATGAATACATGTTGCAGCTACGGGAAGCTGTCCCAGACTTCTTCCATGTCATCTCGAGACCCCGCCCAGATGTTGGGCCTTCATTCTGTTGCCGTACACGGCCTACCACAGGGTAAGTCTCTGATCCGCCACGAGATGAAAACATCGCTGACTGTGCGGGTGCGTGCCTTGTCGAAAATGAGGTTGAGGCATCCATCATCTGAGAAGAACCGTCACCAGTGAGGACAGCTCCAGCGAGTGCAGGACATGGTGCAGATGTCGCTGAACAAGAAACCTCGGTCTTCGTACTTTCTCCTTGCAGTGAGTGCCTTACCGATAATCACTGATGGTGTATGAGCAAATACTGCGACGGCTGAGAAGATGTGTGGGGTATGCCGACACGATCGCGTCAGCGGAGATCACGTTCATGATGATGGTCGACCAGAAGAAGCATAGTGGGTAGAAGGCCGATTCGTTGTGGCTACGCATAAGATCGACGCGGATGTTTGGTCCGGTGATTCGAGCCATACGGTCCATTCCCTGTTTCAACCAGGGGTACGGTTGCTCCTGATTCTCCTCGTCTGATGCATCTATGACATATTCGATCACGAAACCCGGTAAGTTGCTGATGTAGTCGAGTACCACATCTCACTGACTATGTGGCGTGTATAGATTGTAGTCATTAGGCTGCCACAAAGCGTCGACGAGTAACAGTCTGGCAGCAGCGGAACCGGACAGTATGGTGCCGGTGTCACGCATCATGGCACGGAAGTCGTCGGTGTCCTCGGAGACGATGCAAACTGGTGAACATAACAGTTGCATGAATAGAAAGCAAATATGACGAACCGAACATGACGGAGAATCTGCTGACATCGTCGGAAAGACAGACGCAAGATCTTCAATTGGCTCCCCCCACTGGAGGAGTAGCCAGGCCCGTAACGTGATGCGACCGCACATGCTTAAAATTGTCACCCCCCACCGGGAGGGTGCTATAGACACAAGCATAATGAATACGCGAATCATGTAACCCATTCACTGAAGACGGCAGAGGTGGCAGCGGAGGAATGAACAAGAACAAACAGGTGTAGTACACAACGAGAGCGACGACTGTGAAGGAAGGAGACACAACATAATCAGCACTGCAGACATCGCCACAGAGGAGTGGACAAACGTACCGGTGAAGCAGATATCGAATGCATTAATAATACACCTGGTAAACGACATGGAGAGCGACATGAGGATGTCCAGCACAGAGAAGACAGGAGGTAGAAAGCAATGAGGCCTGAGGAGCCGGATATCGCGAATGAGGGCAAGTTGTGGAATGAAAACAATATTTCATAGGAGGAAATATTCCGTATGAACCAAAGCAATATTTCGTATGAACCATGCACAAAACAGGCTGAATCGCAACTTAGGGATCACATAAGCACAGGCCATCCCCGTACGTCAATAGCCAAATTTGTCATTTGGAATCTGCAAAATGGTCCTAATCGTCTCTAGAGCCTGCAATTCCATTCAGCTCAAATATGAGAAAAAAGTGCCGTTAGTGTTCGTTGCATTGTAGAGACCCTTGATATCACTCCGATAGCTAATTGGATGAGTGGTCGCGTTGCGCAATAACAATCACTACGGCCGGCTTCTCAAAATTCCGGCTGAAATCCTTAGATCTATGCCGATCCTGTTCACTGTATCCCCCACTTTGTGTAATAATGAACCTTCACACACAGAGCTCATTCACACTACAAAAAGCCCAGATTTATTTGTGGGCCGAAGTGCCTTTGATTAAGAAAACATTGACCGGGCATGGCAGGCCTCAGCCACCGCTAGCCGGAAAGGCAATCACACATTCAAAGTCTGCGCCCGTCAGTGGCGGTGGCTCCAAGGTCAATTTGCCTGCTGCTGCATTGCTTTCACTCCATTGTAACCATGCCCAAAACCAAAATCCATCATAGGTGTTTTGCACTTCAATTACAGCCAAGACCATCTGCATCAATGGAGCAATTTCACTTTGTCCAGTACCCCGATGCCTTTCATCTCTGTGCAATGCTGCCTGATTATATGGAACATTCTGCCAATGATGCTGAGGCTTCCAATGACCCTATCTCACCTATGTAAATTAGCCTACAAAATGGCTACATTGTGATTTACATGTTGAGCTATAGGTCCTCAATCAACTGTGCTTCCATAATATATGCGCCGGTGGCCTGGCCTGCATCCTGTAAAGGTACCTGCCGAATGAAGCAATTTGTCGAGCGTGCTGATGCAAGCCATCATCGGCGCGGTGTGACTGATGGTGACAAGATTTTGCATTACCCTTCCATTTGGCATCCTCTCACTCAGAAGCTCTCCGATGAGCAGTTCTCCTTACCTTTCAGTGGTCTTTTCAGTCATCTAGTTAGCTGAATGTTTATGCATCCTGTGCTTAAGGTCCAAAGGAGTTTCCCTTGCTCATAGAGCAAGGTTGCTTCCTTGGTGCCTGTCATGAAAAATTGTGCAGGGGTGGGAATTTCCATGTGATCTCGATGACACAATTTTTTTTGGTTGTGATCTTCTTGGCATCTTGGCAAAGTTCATCACCTCGTCAATGCTTCAAGGCCTCACCCTGCGGTCTCGAGCTTCGATATCATGCATAATAAACCTGTACAGTCAGTCTTCCCTAGTTGTCGATCATTCTCGTATTACTCAAATGACCAGTTCTGCGATGTAATTGATTTTTACCCGAATAAGAAGGCTGATACATTGTTGACCAGCGCACGTAGTTTTCTGAATATTCAGTCAATTAGTTTTCTAACTATGTGCATAATAGACGAGGCTGCAGCATATTGACTGATATATTCGTGCCCGCTGCTGCACCAGATGAACCCGAGCGTGAAACTGTCTACGGTGAGGCTGCTCATGCTGTGACACGCACACACCAATGCATTCTACGTCATTGGAAAGGAGAGGATGAGGTCGACTTTATTCTGAAGATGATACCATCGACCTCGCTTCTGTTTAGCCCATGATTTATGATGACAGGCATTGCAGTGTCTGAGCAACTCCGTTTTTCATCTGTTCCCACCATGTTTTGGGTCTTGTATTCTGCTCTTGCAAGCGTTGATCCTCTTTTGTTAGCATCTCGTTAATAGGTTGAAAGAATGTCATTTCATCAAAATCTCGAAGGATCCGTATTGTTTAATGACCCAAACTACAAGAGAGAGCGACATAAAGGTTGAACAGGGACATGCTTCCTCCAGGCGGCATTGTGATGTCCACGATAATGTATGTGATTGTCTGTCCTTGAGACCAGTAGTCTGTGAATGTGTAGGCTGGCGTCATTGGCGTCTGTCAGCGATTTATTTTTTTTTGTGCAGGATCTTTCTTCCATTCGGTGTTTGGATTGGCACATCAACATAGAAGCTTTTCACCATAGGTTCAATTGGAATAATGGCATCTTGTAGTCCTTCAAGCTCTGTCAATCACATCCTCGTGAGCTTGACGAGAACGAAAAGTGGAGGTTTTTGCAATCTGACGATGGGAGAATTCGGTATTGGTGGTTCGTCAGGGTGCAGTACGATGTCGACTATCTCCCCTCATGCACCATTCGTCACGTCAAGCTCTGTCTGTACATTGACATTAACCATGACCTTCATTCCGATAGCTAATTGGACTTCGTCAGGCAGACCTGCCTTCTCGTTGCATCCTTTGTGCTTAGATCTTTTGCTGGCCATCGTGAATCGTTCCCTTGATGTCAAAGGTCTGCTGTTGGTAGAGTCTTCTGTGAGAGAGATGAGAAGCTGAACCCCAGTATGTTCGCAGTGCTTTTTCACTGCAGCATCGTTCCATTGCGTACAAACACAATGGCGAGGTGTCACCAAAGCCGCTTCACCCCACTCAGATGAATCGAAATCTGTGGGAGGGCTGCTGGGACTGGTGATGATAAGATCCTTGAGCATTTTGATGTCTTCAGTCCGTACTTGTCCATGTCTCAAATGGCAAAGGAATTGCATCCATACCATATCCGTCACACGTACTTGCTCCTTCAGCAGCACTATGATTTCAAATGCCTCGAATATGCGTCGACCCAAACAGTCTTCGACTGTGTCTCCTGCTGTGATGTCCACTTCATAATACAATGCTGCACTTCTCTTCTGTGCCACGGGTGGAAACTGATGTAAGTCTCCACACAGTATTACGTTGATTCCTCTAAAAGGTCGATCCCCATTTTCCTCTCCTGTCTTTGCAATTGAGAGGTGCCTTGACAGCTTTGCTAGGAATGCCCGGGAGATCATGGAGCATTCATAGATTATCAGGTAGTCAATGTTCCACCACATTTTGGTAAGTTTTCATCTACTCTCTTCAGATAGAGGTCTTCCGTTAAGCGAAATACCAGCTGCAGAATGCATCATTTTTCCCCCTATCAAAGATGCCGCAATGCCAGTGTATGCTGCCTTCATGAGTTTCGTATCTGCATTGTCAGCTTTAAACTGCTCAGTGATTGTTTGTATAACTTTTGATTTTCCCGTCCCTCCTTCTCTGAGCATCAGCATCAACAGTTGATGCAGTTGGCAGCCTGCGAGCGTCTCTGTCATATGCCAAGATATTATTTCAAATGCTCACCTCTGATCTTGAAGCAACATAGATGCGTCTGCTGGAGTTAATGCCTGCTCGCTGATCTCTTCCCATATGAGAACATTTGCAGAAGATGATGTCGCCGTTGCTGTAAGTGGGTGTACTGATCCTTCTGTATCCAACTGACCATGCCGTGCATCATCATCAGCTTGTGATGCATTGTGTTGGGCAAATGCGACTTGTTGCGACATGGCCTGCTTCCATTCGTGCAATTGTACCAGATCATTTTTTGTTGCCAGTCTTGCTGTTGGCCTCCGAACAGACAGAAATGTTGCAAATAACCTGACAGTCTCCCCTATCTTGACAGCGATGTGCCCATGCATGATGTCGATGAGCCGCACTTGACAGTTGCGAGCTTGTTCAATCATTTCTTCAGTAATTTCTGCCTCTTCAGGTGATTCTCCATTCTCTCCCTCCTCAATCTTGTCGTCTTCTAAAGCTGCAGATGCCGCTATAGAATTCAATGCATTCATTTCATGGGTGTCTTGTTCTTCAACTTCCGCTGCATTCTTGCACTTGTGGTAGTGCTCGATATTTGACATCTGTGCGAGCGTGACATCAGACACTTGCTGGCTGAAGTATCTGAGTGCTTCCTGCCATGTCAGAAACTCTCCTTTCAGATCCTGAACCTGATGCCAAGGCTTGAACAGGAGCAGCATTGATGCACAGTAGTACTCGTGCTTGTCAGGATCATCCCGTCGGGGAAAATACTGACCGACAAAGTCAGGTATGGTGTTGTGGCCTTTCTTCTAATGATGCAGATCATATCAGATGTCTTTGGGTGACCAGGCAGATATCTGATGTACTGCTGTCTGCATGTCGAAGTGCGGTCAGGTTCTTCATTGTTACTATTGAACACATTGTTTGCTGCTTCGCGTTGACGTTCTGTTCGCTGACTTTTTGATATTTCATATGTATCTGCGAAAAACTTCATCACATTGTATGTTTCGAGTTCGACTCCTCGTCATTGGTAGTCGATGACTTGTGTTCATGCAACAAGCATTCCAAGTGAGTTCACCTCAATCAACAGGGTCCCATCCTGAAACATCGTTAACAACTTTGAGCAGCTTTTATCTATACATGTTAGCTCACCTCAGTGACATCGGGTGATAATATTTCTGTATTCAAGTTATTCTGCACTTCAGAATGTTCACCAACGCTGATAGTACCATGTTGGTCTCTGGATGTCCACATAGGTGAGTGCGTCATCAGAGGCTGTCAAGGATTTATTGCTTACCTACAGTTGCGATGCAATTCAGGATCTGCCTTCAACAGTGCTCCTGTAAAAGACGTCCAGTAAACTGAGATGTAGTGATGTGATTTGATCACATCTCCCCATCCCATCAAGTAGGAGAAAACCATAGGTGCTGGTATCTCCTGTTGACGATTGAGAATGTTCACTGAACAGAACAGTAACATGTGTGCCTGCTCTTGAATCTGATGGATGTATGTCTCATCATCAAAATGATATATGAGACCCTTGACTAACAATGCAGATGTATTGTATGAGCGGCCCTGCTTTTTAGCGGCATAACCTGTCACGTAGAATGTGATGTTGTTTGTTTCTTCAGAATTGGTGAGTAACTTTCCATCATTATTGCATCGGCAATTTACAGTGATCGCTGGCACGTATCCGTTCAGGTATCCATAGATTCGCTTTGGCTGCCACCATCCCTTCTCATCAACGATGTCGACCTCTGATAGTGGCCATGGTGCATGATGTTTACACTTCAGAGCACCATATTGATCTGTACGGAGACAACCTCGAGTGCATGTATGAAGCTGTTTAGTTCATACCACCCGCTTCTCTAAGTCTGCCACTTGCTCCCAATAATTGTCTACGTCAGGATTTGGAGATCAACAATATGAGACCTCTGCTTCAGATGGAAACTGCTGTATCTCCTCGGTGCATGACAATCCATCCACGTGTGCCTCAAAATTTGCTTTGATAAAGGCCACCATTTTTTGTCTGAATTCTTCAGTTCGAAGCAGACTTGACATTTCATCTGACGTTGGCGAATCCTTCAGCCATATCAACATGTGCAAATGCAATGTTCCACGACCTTGACTCTCTACAGTCCCAAAATAGGCATTCACGTATCCGAAAACACCTATTTTTTGCTTGATGTGTCCGAACAGCAAGACTTGCACTCCGAACAGAGTTTCTATAATGGCTCAAATAGTGTAGTGAAAAAAGTAAGCTGCTGCGAATCCATCTGATGCAATGTTGCGGGCTCGCTGATCTTTTCTGAGACCAGCAGTAGCAGCGAAACGGTCCATATCTATCTCCTCACCAACGAATAGTTGCGCAACAGGATCGTCATGGCTTCGCAGGCTGCTACCGCAGATGCAATATATTCTGCCTCGGTTGTAGATAATGCGACCGTGGTTTGCTTCTTGGCACTCCACGTTATCGCACCTGATCTGAGGTGGAACACGAAGCTGGAGATGGATTTTCGATCGCGTACGTCATTTGCGTAATCAGCATCGGAGAATCCATGGAAATATACGTGATGCTCAGATTGAGCGCATGTGTCAGCCTGATTTTCAAGGCCATAAATTATTCCAGCATCGCTGCAAGATATCGGAGCACACATTTAGCAGCTGTCCAGTGCGCTAATGCTGGGTTTGCTGTGAACGAGCTGAGGCGTTGCATGGCAAACACGATATCGGGACAGGTCACCACAGCGGCATATATTAAGGAACCAATTAATGACACATATGCGTTGCTTCGATCAGGCACGCTATCATCATTATCTTCTTTCTTCTCAAGCGTTATGTTCAGATCAAGAGGCATTCCAACGGAATTAGCATTCGCTAATCTGTTTTTGAATAACAAAGCCTGTATGTATTGAGATTGAGAGATTTTAATCGTGCGTTTAGCGTGATCTCTCTTAATTTCAATACCAATGATCTTATGAGGTTCTCCTAAGTCGGTGACTTCAAACATATTTTGAAGTTCCTCTTTAAGGAGTCCCATAATGCTCGGATCATTGGTGAATAATAATAGATCGTCTACCCAAACAGTGACAATTTCTATTCTATTCCCTCAGATTTGGATGTATGCACATGGATCTGTGAGTAAACGTTTGAAACCCACATTTGATAAATGTTGATTTAATTCAATATTCCACACACGACTATCACAAACTTAGGATGCAGAGCACCGACTAAGCCTATGACCTTATAATCAAACACTTACTGACTGTTGTTGAAGTAAGGATGGGCACACGAAATGATCAAGGTAAAGCAATGCCTTTCAAGTGGGCACTGGTGACACTGTATGGATAGGCATAGCAGAGATGAGAATAAGTCAGGGGGACTTATGCATCTCAGAGCTCTGGCTTATATACATGAGCGGAGGGACCCTTGGTACCCTGATACTCCAGAACTGCTAGCTAATGGATATTGTCTGATTGGTTATCACTACCTGTCAGACTGCGTGTGTCATGCATGCTGAATCTCTGAACTACTTAGTAAGACTATGGAAATGGGATTGCCTGTAATGGCTACATCTCCAGTGGCGTGGCATCTATCTACCTTGTGTATGTGAACTAATATCTCCTTAAGGACATTTCTTCGGTGGCATGTGTCTCCTTTGTAGGATTCTTTCAGAGTCCGACTGTTGCTTCTAGGTGGGATGATATTACTGTATAAGTTAGGCTTACCTAATACTGGCGCTACTTGTCACATGTATGGATATCACGTGATATGTCACATGACTAAACCTGGACCTCCGAGGTGTCTAGGACTGTAAGTACTTCGCGTACCAGTTCGTTCCTTTCTGAACAGCCTAGCGCTGGTGTCATGTGATGTCCTGGTCACATGCAGATTGAAAACGTGAAAATCTGTGACAGCGACCTGCTTGTTTGAGTCCATACAAAGTTTTTCTAAGGCGATATACTCGATTTGTTCTGTCGCTATATCCTTCGGGTTGGCGCATATATATTTCCTCTTTGAGGGATTCATTCAGGTATGCTCCTTTGATGTCCATTTGTTGGATTTCCCAATCGAGGACTGCTGCCATCCTTAGGACTGCATGAATCATTTCGAGATGCACAACCGGTGCAAAGGTCTCTGAGAAATCCATTCCAGGAATCTGAGAGTATCCTTTCGCTACCAGACGTGCTTTATATTTAATTATTTCGCCTTCTTTGTTTGTCTTCTTGACAAGGACCCATCTGTTTCTGATAGGTTTGCAATCGGGAGGGAGAATTACCAGATCCCATGTTTCCATGTTATGCAATTGTTCAAATTCAGCTTGGACAGCCTTCTTCCAGCTTAGCCATTCAGAAGATTGCTTTGCATCGGCTAGTGTCTTAGGCTCATTCGCTTCCATGTTTCCAGGAGCATTCATGGCTATATAGACAAGCTCTGCAAATGACACTTGATCCGCAATGCATTCATCGTTCATGCTCAGATCAAGATCACCGGCACTCCGAGCTTCTTCCAGTTCTGGTGTGTCGTCATCTTCTAAGGATGGATCATCCACGCTCAGATCATTCAGCAATCGATAATCTTGCCGAACAGTTCTTCTGCTCATTCTTCTGGGCTCAATAGGTGCATCATATTCTCGTTCTTTTCTTTTCCGAGAATTTTGATCACTTCCTCGAGCTGGATCAAGGTCTCAGGACAGATCATCACCTAATGCGAATATCTGCACATTGCTATTACTCTCGGACTCCCCCACGCACTGCGTATTTGCAGGCGGATGCGACTCCCCAAATGGGGAATCAGTTAACTCGGGTTCTAGTGTAGGTAAGAAATGATAATTACATGTTATTTTAATTTGACGCCTTTTAACGTTATAATATCTAATTGCTTTGGGACTGTCCATGTAACCAACAAAGATATGTTTGCTGGCTCGCGGCGCAAGCTTAGATAAGTTGAGTTCTTCATCAAGAACCCATATAACACAACTGAACTCTCGAAGGTGAGTGATATTCAGTTTTTCATCATTCCATTTACCATCTGGAGTGGTGCCATTGAGCGCACGTGTAGGCGCACAGTTTTTAATATAAACTGCATGGTGCACTGCTTCAGCCCATAGGAAACGAGGTAGAGCATGGGCGAACAACATTGCACATGCTAAAGAAAGCAACGTGCAATTAAGATGCTCTGCAACGCTGTTCTGGGAAGGAGAATATGGTGCAGTAGCACCAGTCTCAATTCCCTGAGAATGACACCAATCAGTAAGATCTGAATTGAGGTACTCATGTCCATTGTCCATTCAGATCATCCTCGGCTGATGACTGAATCAGCGATTGAGGTACGTCATATATTCTTTGACCTTCTGAGAGGTCTCGTCCTTTGTTTTCATAAAAAGGACGACACTGCGATGTGTGGCATCGTCAGTAAAAGTAATGTAGTATCGCCAACCTTGTAGAGCAGTCATCGGAGCAGGTCCCCACACGTCAGTATGTGTTAATTCACCAGAGATCTCACTTTTATGATCAGCACTCTTCGGGTATGGCTTGCAGAAAAACTTTGCCTGAATGCACGCTTTGCACGTGAAATCGTCGGAGTTCAGAATGACAGTGAAGCCATCAACATATCACAGATTTTTGTCACAAAGTCTGCATGTGACTTTTTTCATGTCACAGATCACGTGCTTCATCAATATCTCACGCCACTCAGTCACAGACGCGACACGTAGAGATCAGGTGATAGTTCACATCACATGTTATGGTCCAGACCTGCGGATGATACGGTCGGACCTGTCTATTCCAGGATACAATAGAGGCACCCATTTGGGAACAAAGGGAACAAGGACTATTGTTATGCATCGGCCTTCCGCTTCCTATTAGTTTAGCCAGAAGCCAAGATAGGCACGATGTTCACATCGAAGAACAAAAGGGAAATCAAGATAGGCATGATGTTCACACGTGTTACTGTGACAATCATCGATCTTCCCACTTATTGTTCTACTTCTGAACGTTCCATTATTTTATGTACAGCCATTAGCTTATACCCGTAGATAGGTAGCTTAGGTAAGATAGCCCGCTGTACATGTATATAAGACCAGCATGTAGAGGATGAAACTTCAGATTGTTTCTCCTCATCTACCACTGTAGCACCTTACTGAGCTCACCAGCTCTTCCATATATCTCTCACCCTTCCCACCGCTTGCATTGCCAACAAGTAAGTCTTGGGCTCTTGCACCACATAAGGGTTCAGGGGGACTATTGGAATCAGGGGGATCAGGGTGGCACGTTCCACGTGACCAGTCCTTTTTAGTCTTTTTGATCTCTTGTCCAGTGGTGCTGTGACACAATGAGTGATTCTCGATGAAGGCACTTCAGCGCATCTTTTTCGATATGGCCATAAATACAGTGCCACTCTGCCCATGTATGCGGAGCGTGTTCCTGCATTGCATAGGTGATGCTCGATGATTTAGGCAATGGTCGCACATTGTCGGTGAAATATAAATAGCCTTGACGTGTGGCAGTAGCCAACATCTTCCCATTTTTATCAATGAGAATAGCTCTTTTATTTTCTGCAACAATGCGACTGCCTGCAGCATCCAGCCGCCCAAGCGAAATTAAGTTGTGGCATGCCTGGGGCGCATATAGCACATTATTGAGTCAGAATTGCACTTTCTGATCTCCAAATGTGCTTTCGAGATCTACAGAGCCATGACCAACTGCCGCTAAGCTCCCCGGATTTAATCCGGAGATGGTATGATTCTCGAGTGCTTGATACGATGCAAAGATCTCGTGTCAGTTTGTGACATGTGAGGTCATCGCTGTATCGGCAATTCATGAATAAAATGAAGAAATATCTTCATCAGAATTACCTAGGGATACAGTGTTCTGATCTTCATTAAAATCATGCGCTACAAATGCGCGTTCTTTGCCCTTCAAGGATCCTTCACCCTTGTTGGTGCGATCCACTCTCTTTAGCCTCTTTTCGTCAGGTCTCTTCCACCACTGCGGCCACTGGCCTTCCTTTCTGCCTCCCTTAGCAAAGCATTTGGCTTTGGTGTGACATGGCTTGCCACAGTTAGAACAGACGATCGCGTTGTCTGAAGACTCAGCTTTAGCTCCGGAATTCTTCGGGTGCTCCAAGGGACGCTTCCTCTTCCCGCAAGCGGCTATCATTGCTTGATCTGTTCCCGAGCTTAGATCACGATCTTTGCAGTGGTGCCACTCATCGAGAACTATCCCGATGAGTTGTTGCACGGTTATGTTCCTCTTCCTCTCTCTCTCTCACCTCTGTTCCTCTGTCTTCTCATCGTCACTATCGATGAGCTCACCTCAGAATCTGAAATAGATGTCCGTGAACGTCTTTCAGCTATCGGGCAATGAGGTGACGATGACATTACGAAATTGCTTATCGTCAATCTCGTTTTCCAAGACGTGTAGTTCTTCTCGGATCTTGCATAACTCCTTAATATGCTTCCCGATGTCATCTCCTTCACCTGCATATGTACGGTAGAGACGTCAAATGAGAGAATCGATACCGCTTTGCCCGCGTTGCTCCTTAACCATGCAGAGTTTCTTCCACATGTCTCAAGCAGATGTCGCACCTGTCACATTCACAATCTGGTCATTGTCGAGATTGATCGTGATAATAGTGCGTGCGGAACGGTCTTTCTTTTCTCATTTTTCGATCTCATCTTCACGTGCTTGGATCTCTTCAGGGTCTCCGATGATTTAGATCTCGGGCTTCTTCTTCTTGCCCCTTAATCCAGGGCAAGATCCCTTTATCATCGAGGATGGCCTCCATCTTGGTCTTCCAGGACATCCAAGTGTCTTCTTTTAGGGGCTCGATGCGCAGGTACGACGATCTCTCTTTTTCTTCAGCCATGTTGCCAAGTAATAATGTCAGAGCAATCAATTGATAAGGTTCGAGGTTAATCCAAAAGCCCGGGGCTCATAACCTATTAAGCCTCAGATTAGGAACACGGAACGCGGGTGAGCGTCCGGGATGAAGGAGGATGCGGGATGATGCGGACCTTCCCGAAATGGCATTCCTTTATATATACATGTACACATTAGGAAATATTATCTAATCCCTCAGCCACATTGGTCCGGACTCTCGTTTGTGAGGGCCTCGGTACCTCGGCTTGTCCCCGAGCCTCGGTCGTGAGGTTCGGCTTTCTCAACAGAGTTCAATTATTATTCGTGATCTACGAAACCTTTCGCAGAATGGGGCCAGCCGTAGTATGGCTCTTTTTTCGCAGAAGTTGACAAATTTGGTGACGAGGACGAGGGAAAGGTCCTGCGAGAAGCAACGCTCCAGACTCACCTGATACCCGTGGCGGTCCCGCGAAGCGCGCGTGGAATGTACGCCTGCGCGCGGGGCTCCTTCAGGTACCGCCTCATTTTGCCTAAATGTGAAGAAAAAACATCAGAATCTTTCTAGGCAGGCTTTATATTTTTCTCGCTGTAGGGCCTATGATTCAGCAAGCATACCAATCCAAGAAGTGGCGCTCGCAGGCTCGAGGGTGCGTTACGCGGAATTTTACAGCAGGGTAAACGTTCCATCCTCGCATGTATATCATCGCGTTTACTTGGGGTTATGACCTATGATCAACCATACGAATCATACAGCAGAAGCAGATGCACCATTGGCACTACCACAGGTGCGTTGGAAACGGCCTAAGTTGGCCTCTGTGTGCTCCTCTGCTTACGAACGTCAATACAAACAATGTTCCTCCCCATCACGGCAAAGAGAGGACGATCTCCTTATGCAGGAAAGGCGAGATAAATCAAAGTATATTTGACATCTTTTCTGACCGCTACTTCCTATTTATCGTTCCCTGAATGTGTAGAGCATCATTTTACCAATCAAGGGGAAGGGAAGGTGTAAAACATGACTTTCTCTCTGCAGATACCGTGCTTTACAGGGAAGAGATCGAGTTTGAACTCCAGTTACCGTACACGGACCCTTCGCCGCTGTACGCAGTCCTGTGGATAGTTGTGGTAAATTGACGGTCATCGATTCGGCTCAGTCCTCGACGCAGTACGCTCTCCGTCGCCTTGAATGTACAGCTGATGTTCCCTAGCTCGCATCCCAAACTGTTGCAGATCTCGACAAGAGTACGTACGCATCATCACCGTTTTGTGCCACAAAACGTAGTTGCTTGGTCGCGTCGTTGCATGCCCCAGCTTCTCGGTTGCTGTCGTTCGCCGTGCGGGCCCCATTCGCGCGGACTGACGCTTCTCAACTGGCAATATCACGACATAGTTACTTGTTCTTTCCTCTGCCTAACCCCACCACGTAAGTCCTCGTCCAGTTCCAGTATTTCACAACCGCTCACAAAAAGAGCCGTTCATGCTCAGGAAATGTTCAGATAATCATGTCACATGAACACCTCACACATCGCACGGCTCTACCGGCATACGTGCGTCCTTAAGTCCGACTCGGGTGAGGCTCAGCGCTCAGGGGGAGCGTCTCGCGGCATGAATTTGCGGACGTACACACCGGTGGCAGGGACAGTGCCGTGGGTTATCGAGGAAATACGCAAATTCCATGACGCAATGGGCCGCTTCGGCGCCCAATTTTTGGCTCGGACGGCTGATAGCTCGCCCCCTGGACGGCCGCGAATGCTGCCGTCATGCGACGGCGGCAGCACGATAGCTAGATGGTACTTGGGCAGCCAGTCAGCGGGCTCGATGGTCCAGTCAGCAGAGTGACGAAGCACCGAACCTTCGAGATCGGAACTCATCTCCAAATCCGGGAACAATTGTGCCGCGTATCGGGCCCGCATCCGATCAGGCACGTGGGTCTCGGCCTTGTTCCGCGCGGCATCTCGACAGCCAATCATTGGCGCCCTACAAATGGCAGCAAGTTCCGGGCAAGGATGACCTCATTAGGGAGAGCCGCTGGTCTAGCTTACTCGATGAAGCCTGCCCAACGCGGACGCTCCACAACCCAGCTCGGGTCTCTGCCATCGCGTTGTCAGCCAATTGTCAAACATCGGGAAATATCGTCCACCCGCTCCCCGGTGGGTTATAAATGCACTCCCGCTCGATGTCCTAACCCCCAATTTAGTTTGCTACGACCCAAACGCCTAACGACTTTACACCACTAACTTATAACACCTTCGCTTCGACTCGCTATCCCCTTACACTCTAAACAATGGGAAACGACGCGCTTCGTCTCAATCCCCCGAACTCAACCTTCCATCTGAGCACGAACGGCTCAGACTGGTTGTGGGCGGTGTTTTCTATCATGGCCGTCTCCCTTTTAGCCGCTATTGGTGGATCACTAATGGTAAGCTTCCAGAACAACATGTAGCAATTACCGGAGTCTAATCACTTTCTCTGAAACAGCGGCCTAAGGGCACTCGGCTCTTCCACCAGATTGCTGTCATCGTTTTAACTACCGCCAGTATTGCATACTTCTCTATGGCGTCAGACCTCGGCGCGACACCGATAACCGTCGAGTTCCGTAACGATAACAACCCTAATCCAACCCGTCAAATCTGGGTACGTTGTTTCTGCGCGTTTCCCCGCATTCGCACGATTTGCTAACTTTACCGCGCGCAGTATGTTCGGTATATTCAATGGTTCATCACCTTCCCTCTACTGCTCCTCGAATGTCTCCTCGCTACTGGGCTGTCACTGTCCGACATCATGACTACGCTCTTCATGGCCATCGTACTAGTCGTATGCGGCCTGATCGGCGCACTCGTACACAGCACCTACAAGTGGGGTTACTTCGTCTTTGGAGTATGCGCACTCTTCTACATCTGGTATGTCAATTCCCCCTTTAATTTGCCCGCATCCGCTCACACGTATTTCTGCAGGTACGTGCTCCTACTGCATGCACCGTCAACGACCTTCGCGGCGGGTGGCGAGACGCGCAGCGGCTACTACGCAGCAGCCGGCTACCTCTCATTCATGCTGATCACCTACCCGATCTGTTGGGCGTGCTCAGAGGGCGGCAACGTCATCACGGTCACCTCCGAGATGATATGGTACGGCATTCTCGATATCCTCACCGGCCCAGTCTTCCTCGCCATCTTCCTTTGGGAACTCCGGAGCGTAGACTATGAGGCGTTCGGCTTCAACTCCGGCAAGTACGTCGACCACGGTGACGTGCCCACCAGGGAGAAGCAGCGGATGCAAACCGAGCCTGCCACCCACCAGGCTACTTCCACTGGTGTGCAGGCGTAGAGCTTGGTCTGAGGCTCTCTTACCGTGCCGTCTTGCTTCATCATTCTAATTTCACCTCCCATCGCCCGTTGGAGCATGACCGTTGATGACCCTCGATTTCGAATGACACCTGACTCCAGCGAGTCTCCTTCATTCCCTTAAAATTGCCTTCACCAATCTGTTGGCGTTTATGATATACCTTATTTTCAGCGTATTGCTCTAATGTCTCCTAATCTATAGTCTATTGTCACACGTGTATTCGGCGACTCTATTTGTACTTTCTGTACGATAGATACTCCAATGCGCAATGGTTCTGTGGTCGAAAGATAATGTGCGGTCTTCGGCATGTTGTATTCGAGTGAAGCGCAAGAACTTCCGCAGTTACATCGCTCTCCTTCTATTCGTCGCATCTAGATATACGGAATACTGCATGACCGCATGCTACGTATCGTACATCTACGCATCAGGACGTCAAAACATATCAGCGATTGCACTCCTTACGCGCCATTTCTACTTTTAGACGACTCTTCCCGCCGGCTACCTCTACCAAAAGCGTCTCGTACCACGCCCTTGGCAATCTCCACCATTGCCCTCCGGCTCTCCCACAGTGGAAGCACAGACGTGATGAACGCCGCGACGAACAGCCACATCACGCAGAGGACGATCCAGCCCTTGAAGAAGCGCAGCGAAAACACGTAGTGCGAGAGGAACATCGGGATCGGTATCAGCTGTGTGTGTGTGAGCTAGGCCGTAGCGACGGATCTAGGAAGAGCGGAACGACACGCACGAATACGATGATGAAGCTCATGATGAGCGACGCCCATATCGCCGCCCTGAGCGACTTTTGCAGCGTCTCGTACTCCTCGATCTGCACCTCCTCATCCACAGAAGACACCTCCTCGCCCACTCTCATCGACGCCGCGCGCGTTGCCGCACCGCCATCCTGCATCTTCTCCGCCTCCTTCTCCACGATGAACGGCGTGTCGCTCCCGCGCGACGCCGTCTGCCTCAGCCGCTCCTGGTCCAGCGCGCGTCCACGCGGGTTGATCTTCCTCGTCTCGGACCAGTCAAACGCGTTGTCGGGCCTGACGAGCGTCACGACGATCGAGATGAGCGCGCCCGAGCAGCACGAGCCCATATTCCCCGCGAGGTTCGGGTATATCTGTCCTTCCCTCTCGCCGTCAGGATCAGCACACTGGCGACGAAAGACGAACGGCTAGGCTAGGAGATAATGGACGTACCGGTGGTGTAGATCGTGAGGGCCCCGTAGTACGTCTTGCCGACGACGAGCCAGCAGATGACGCCGATGCAGAGGCCGCCGAGTGCGCCGCTGATGACGGCGGTGCGCGTCTGCTTGCGCCAGAGCACGCTTAGCACGATCGGGCCGACCGCCGCGGTGTAAAGCGTGCCGGAGAAGAGGAAGAGCCAGTTCATCGAGATGCCGATGCCGTTCCAGAGGCAAGCGACGCAGGACATGGTGATACCCCAGACGCCGACCATGATGTGCGACACGCGGATGAGCACTTCCGGAGATGCCTATTAGGGGCAATGGGGGACGTGAGTGAGACGTGAGTGTGCGTGTAGAAGGTACGGACGTCTGGCTTGAAGTGGATTTGATAGAGGTCGAATGTGAGGATTGATGAAGTTGCGATCATCTCTGAGGAGGCGGCCGATGTCACCGCCATGAAAAGCAGTATGAGCTAACACGACGTCATGAGCATGGCGCGGACCCAGCAAATTTGCGCAGACGAGATAAGACGCACCATCGCTACTGCACCACCCTTGCCCAGTAGCGTCACCACGCCAGCCGGAGCAGCGAGGCCGGCGTCTATCTCTGCGGTTGTTAGGCCACCCGGGTAGGGGAAAGCAGAGCCTGCGGGGACGAGCGATGAATAGCAGTCCAATTGTCCAAGATGAAAGACTTTCACTGTTGGCCAACACGACGGCTGCTAGTCCCGTGGTTGTCGAGAGTGTCAATGGCACGGCGAACCATGCGACTCCGCCCATGAGGTATGCACGGACAGCAGTCTTGGCCTTCGACGCGATCGCTCGTTGCCAATACCCCTGGTATAGAATGTAAGCATCCAAACAGCCAGCATGCACCCGCGTAATGATGTACCTGGTCCAACATTACGGTGCCCAGTCCACCAAATACCTGGATGATCATGAAGACAAGCCCATCTGAACCAGATTTCAGCACTCGAAGTCGATTAACCGTAACGGGGGTAGCCCTCACTGTTGGACTTCAAGGTCATATATGATCCCTGTGCGTTCCCTGAAACAGGGCGCTCCTCAGCTGCACGCTGCAGCAGCCGATACATGCCCTCCATGCCACCAATCAACTCCGCCTCCGTATAGGTGTAGAAGTAAAGATAGAGTATTATGATCATTAGGATGAGCGTATGGGAATAGTCACCTGGATGTCGATAAGGCGCAGCTCGGTACATCGCACATCGTTCTTGGCACTTACAGAGGAAGGTAGCGCGCAGACCACCTAAGATCACGTAGATCACCACGCCGATCGGGATCAGGAAGTTGGCGGCGTAGACGTTCATGCCCGTGAACGCATTCACGACAGCGCTGCCGCCGAGTAAAAGCATACTCGACACGATGAGGTTGGTCACAAGAGCAAAGGTGACGAAGATGAAGTGCGGGGTGTTGCCGTAGCGGGCCTGGACGATCTCGAGATACGTGTGGCAGTACGGTGCAATCATCTTCAGGCGCACCGCGAGGACTGCCATCAGGAAGATCTGGAGCGTGGCCCCAGCTGCATAATAGTAGCCCCCACATAGCCCGTATTCGTACGTCACTGTCGAGCTCTGGAGAAGCGTAGCGGCCCATGTCCACGCGGAGACAATTCCGGAAGCTATCAGGCCGGGCTTGACTGAGCGCGACGCCGTGTTGAACTCTTCTGAAGTGCCGATCTTGTACGTCGTGTAGCGGTTCTGGAGGGTCGACAGGCCCATCATCAGAATGGCGAAGACGAAGCCGATCCCGAGAACCACGCCATAGCCGACGCCTTGCGAGAGGACCTCAGCACCTTGAGTGCTCGACATCACGGCAGGGCAGACAAGGACACAGATATGGTCCAGCAGAGACTTCACCTACTCTGCATGGATCTTAAGAAGTTCGCAGGGTGCAGCTCAGTAAGCAGGACAATTTCTTATCGAGACCAATGCATAGATAAGGCGGGGCTAGAGAAAGAAGTTGTGCCATTGGAGTGTTCAGCTATCATCTTGCGGGCTATCCTTGAAACATGCAGGCGTTAGAGGAGTTCGCATGGTGGGTGGCGAGGACTCATATCGAGCAAAAGACCCTGATATCTGACTCAATTCCAGACAATGGCAATCCGATCTTCTCATGGAATGAGCGCTGATGCCATACGGTCAGTTCCAACATCTCAGACATGTCGGGAGCTATTAAGACAATCAGAGATTGAGCACCTTCCGTTCTTCCTGCAAGGAGTTCTGATCGTACCTTCTGTGCACGCTATGTGGGATGAATGACTGAATAGCGGACCGAGAAGAACAATGTGGGAGGATGTGGGGCGGCACTGGTTATCGCTGGACGGTAAATAAGTAAGGAAGGAGGATGACATGGAAGGCGGGCCGTATCCGCTTCTTCTCATGCGGAAAATACCAACAGTATCCAATTTGGTCGCTTGAGCAGTAATTCTTGTGCAGATATGAGGTTTCAGCGACGAAATCCAGTCCCACATTCCATTCGAATCTCGAGTGGCTGCATTGCCAATACTTGTGGACAGACATGGCATGTGGAGAGTCAAATGGCTTGCGTGAAGCTCCTGTTACCATCAATCATCGAAGTCTTGAGAGGTCTGCAGCAGGTTTCGAGAACGTAGTCCTTCGTGCAGGTTGCTTCTGAGAAAGACAGAATAACGGGGACGGGCCACCTGCTCGCGTGGAACAAGAGATTAGATTAGATCCTATCAAGGATGGAAGGGTCAGATAAGATTAGATTGGAGTTGCGTCACTCACTCGGCATGGGGCGCTCGCACAGCTGCTCCTCAATTAAAAGTCTTTGCTCGCACCCGCTATTCGCATGCCTGCTAAACCACTCAGACTACTGAAGCAAGTCCAGACGCAAAGATGGCTGCAACAGCGCGGAAACTTAACAAACGTCCTTGCTCGCTGTTACGCTCGACGGTCGTATTCCGATGTCACCGCAGCGGAAGCCAGCAAGAACCCCGTAGGGGATAGCGATGTGCGTACTATCTATGGTATCGGATCAACGTCTGGAAGAAATGATTTATGTCTTAATACAGATCCGTGAGGGCTGTCTCTTCATTGATTCCGTGTTTCCCATCCGATTGGGTGCTTGGGAGTTCGTGTGCCATCCCCTCCTGAGGGCTGCACACTATCTGATATTGGCTGCTGTACAGTGTGCGGCGTTATTTGGGTTATTTCCGCGAGGAAACGATTTTGGATCGCTTGCGTTCGCTTTTCGCGGGCATAACTACGCACGGCTTTCAGCTGTTGTCTCTGCAGCCGCACGAGAAGGATGGCGGCGTCTTCGTCAAGTTCAGGTACACCGCTGGTGACCCCGAGCCAGCGCTCGAGAGTATCGTACACGACCTAAGGGAGAAGGCGGCTCAGCAAGGCGGCATTCCGTCTTGGGCCGGACTTTCCAGGAGTGACATCTGGCTCATCAAGGGAAAGCCATGGCGCGAGGTTTGGGCACAACACTGTCTTGACATGAACCCTCGCTGACTCGTGCGTGACTAGGACATGAACCGATTCCCGTCGCCTCTCTTAAGGGTGGCTTTTGAGGGGCCAGACGTCCCAGAAGAATCGCTCTACAACCTTCTAAGAGTATGTTTTAGGCCTTCAAACGATCGAGTTGTATCTGGTCTATTAACTGTTCGCATAGCCATACGGGCGCATACAGGACCTTACGCAGCCACTACCACCCTCCGTGCCGGGCGGTCTACGGTATTCTACCGTCACATTCGGTCGGGTCCGCTCTGCGGCCATTGCTCACAATGCCATTCATGGGTCTCAAGTTCGACCATCTCCGTCATCCTCCTCCGCTACTGTGCTGCGTACCACATATCAGCCGCCTGTGCAGGCACATGCTTTTCGTGACTATGTCACAGGCCATCCACGCATATTCCTTCCAGTGGTCATCTTTCTGCTGGGCGCCCTGACGTACACGGTACGTCTCTGAGCAGCATTCTGGCGTCGAGGACTTAGGCTTTGTATAGATTTTTGATCCCATCCGCGAACTCATGGTGGAAGGCAAGCTAGAAGGCTGGTTTGACGTTCGCGGTATGTTTCACGCATTTGATCGTGCAAAAGTTGGGAAGTTGAAGCCCATGCTGTTCATGCGGAAGAGTTCCGGATGTACCAATGGTTGCGCAGTAAGGCTTTGCAGGGATTCTCGCTTTCGTCAAACTCCGAGGGTGATAAGGCCCTTGTATCTACCGCCCAACACGTATGGAAAGAGCGTCAAGATGCAGAAAGTGCCTTAGAAAGATATCTTACGGATATGCCAAGTTAGTTTCGAATTGACTTTCGCATATCATCGATGCTGACCTAAGGATCAGACAGTGTCGCATTCATCCACGGTCCGCAGGGCAGTGGGAAGACCCCCATGATCGCCGAGATTTTGGAGGTGAGCGGTCGGTAAGCACCAGGCCCATTTGTCATGTTAGGAGCTCATGGAACCGACCACCAATACGCAGTAAAGCACTGATCATTGACGTCGCCGAGTTGTCGAAGAAGACATCGGACACGGCTCTTGTTGCTGGACTTGCACAACAAACCGGCTACTGGCCGGTGTTCTCTGTGTTCAATTCCCTCAGCAACGTCATTGATCTGGCTAGCGTGGGGTTAATCGGGCAGAAAGGTGAGCTTTCATGATGATCCTCAGCAAGCGCGGCTCTTACAATCGTGACTTGACATAGCTGGCTTTAGTTCCTCACTGACCGACCAGCTCAAGCAAATATTGGAAGTGACAGGGATAGGTCTTGCTCGCGTCAATGCCACACACCGCAAGCAACGTGACCGCACTGCCAAGAACGCCTATCTGAAAGAGCTGAAGAAGGAGCAAGAAGAGCGCCGCAGTGAGCGGATCCGCGAAGGCCTGTGGCACGACCCGCGCCTGGATTGCATTGCCGGCAACGGCGTGATGAGCGAGCTGGGCGTGGGCGACGAGCGATTTGGCGAGAACGATGTGGACGCCAGACGCGTCAGCGTCAGCACAGGCTCTAGCGATGAGAAAGATGCGGGTGAGAAGCATGAGGACGAGACGAAGAGGAGAAGCAGGACCGTAGAAGACGTCCAGGCGGTGGAATCAATGCCGGTCGTGATCATTAAGAACTTCGAATCGAAGGGCGGCGGGCAGAACAGAGAGGAAACGCTAGACGTGCTCGCACGTTGGGCGGCCAGCCTCGTGCAGAATCAGGTGCGGTGGATGTCATTGATTGTCATGGCGCTATTGCGATTCTAAATGACTATTCTTCTCCTAGGTGGCACATGTTTTAGTTGCGAGCGATAATCGAGAGAATGCGAAGAGACTAGCTAAAGGTGGGTTCCTTACATCACCTGCAACGAGAGCAGTTGTTATACTGATCTCCTGATCAGCGCTATCGTCTCAACCGTTGACCGTCATCGCGCTGTCCGACGCTGACTATCTGAGCGCACTCTCATTTGTGAAGGAGGAGCTTCACGACGTTGGCGTCAACGTCGACTTCGACGGAGAAGAACGAGCCTACGTTCAACGCCTAGGTGGACGGGCGAGTGACCTTGAGAGCGTGCGTTGGTCGTGTCCATCTCCGTAACCGCTACTCATATATCGTGTTTCAGCTGGTCCACAAAGTCCGAAGCGGGCTGTCCGTTCAGGAAGCCGTCGACGACATCATAACTCGCGGCGTCAGTGAGATACGGAAGAACGCGTTTGGGGACGATCTGGATGATGCGAAGAATTTGCCATGGACGAGAGAACAGGCTTGGGCTTTGATGAAGAAGTTGGCCAGGCAGCCTGAGGTATTGAGGGCTTGTGATAACATTTGCGCATGCTCACGATGGGTTTCCTACGTTGTAGATATCATACCACGAAGTCTTGCTGGACTTCCCATTCAAGAATGACGAGATGCCACTACGACATATGGAGCATGCCGAACTCATCTCCATCGCTACCGAGAACGGTGAGCCTGAAATGATGCCGTGCTACTTGGAACTTTCATTTATCTCCTTTTGCAGGACGGCCGTCCACAATAAAACCCGGCAAGCCTGTGTACAGGTTCGTCTTTGAACGGCTGGTGCAAGGTACGTCACACAGTTGCTATAATATGAGGATCTTGAGATTCATGTGGTTCTGTGAAACAGACTCAGTATTCCAGGCCAGTCAAGATATCGCATTCAATGAGAAGGTCATCGCGGCGTCAGAAAGCATCGTGAAGGCTTGCGAACAAGAGCTTCTCGCTTTAAAGGATGTGAACGCAGGCACATCCGACTGGTGGGGATCCCGAACGGCGGTCAGAGACCGATCCAACTATCTTCTCAAGAAGATGAGAATCGCGGAGGAGAAGATTGAGGCCCTTGAGAAGCAGAATGGGAATCTCAGGAAGGTACTCTCTAAATAATCAGTACGGGGCCTGCGTACTGGAGTCTGGCCTTGACAATGCGTCTTTTCGTTACTGAAAGGCATATGCGTTGAATCCATGCAATGTCCAGCCTCAAAAGGCGAGACTCGGCCAAGCATGATACCGAAGAGAACATGTATTGTGTCCCTTATTTACGGAACCTACTTTATCTCCTATGATGTAAATGCGCGAGCCTTGAGCTCTACAATGCCAGTGCTAAGTGTGGGTGATCTAGATACAACACTTGCTAATGCTGGAGACAGGCCTTGAGCCTATGTTGATGGAGTGTGGATGTCAGAATCAATTGCGAAAACAAGTCAGTCACGTCGAGAACACAGAATGCAAGACACGGAACTGCGTCGGAATAAGCACGTATGTGAGACAGATAATTGAAAGGAAGATTGCAGGGATGAAAAGAAGAGAGACAATAGAAACGCATTTAGCGAGGAGCATTCGTGCCACGCCGACGGCCAGATCTGGGTAGGGCTTTCGTCGGTCTTCGCGACTTTTCATTATCATCAGCTCGGCCCATGGTGAAAAGCGCAGGTTCCTGGGTGTTTCCTTCTTGAGTCTGCCCAAACTGGAATGCAGCGTTGGAGGAACCAGCGGCTGACGGTTGTCCATTATCACCAGTCGCCGGTGACGCGGGCTGGCTTACAGAGAAGTTGAATGGATTTGACGGTGCCGTGGCCGAAGTAGGAGTTGTGCCAAATCCGAACGCAACTGGACTAGGAGTCGTTGTAGCATTTGTCTGGCCAAAGCCGCTACCGGAAGCTGCGGTGGCACTGAACAACAATCCAGGTTGTGACGCTGCAGAAGGCTGGCCGAAGGGCCCGCCCGATGATGGAGGCTGTTGTTGGCCGAAACCCGACGAACTCGACTGAGCCGCTTGAGCACCAAAGGTTGAACCCGGTCCTGAGGGAGCAGTAAAACTGAGCGAGGGACCGTTACCGAATGATGAGGCATTACCGCTAGCCGCCTGAGAAGTGAACTGGAAAGAAGTGGTGATCCTCGACGGTTTCTGTTCGTTACCATTCAAGTCCATCGCATTGTTTCGTGCTGGACTTTCGTCCACACTCATATCTTGATCTTGTGGTGGAGTTGTCGGTGCGGCCGCGGTTGATGATGACGCTGTCATGCCACCGAACGTCGGTTGCGTCCCCGATCCCGTCCCGCCAGCGGACGCGCCGGGAAATTGACCATAAGAAAATGCAAACGACTGCGCCGAACCTTCGCCAAACCGGAAAATGTTCTCCGAAGTAGAGGGGGTCGCGGAAGGCGCGCTAGCAGGTTGAGACCGGAAAAGTGACGTACTCGGACCCTCGCTGGGTTTCTGAGGAACCTGATTCGACGCCGGGAACGCAGATGTAGGGAGGAAAGGTGTCTTTGAGGGCTCCGCCTTTCCTGAAATAGGAGCAGATGGTGCACCGGAAGCGACTTCGAAAGACGGCAGTCTAGATGTCTCTGCAGCAGCAGTAGGTTTGCTCTCGACTGCTTGTTGACCCTCCGTCTTCGGCAGACCGAACGCAAACGGAATGCCCGTTGCCGGTGCGGCCTTGATTTCGGCAGGTGGGCCCAAATTTAGTGACGGGGGAGCCGGAGTGGCAGTCTCTGATTGTACGGGGACTCCACCTCCAAACGGAGACGCGGGCGCTACAGGCGTTCGCTCTGTCGGCTTTGCCTGCGTTCCCCAGAAAGACGGCGAAGGTGCATAACTGGTACCGCTGGGCTCAGTTGGTTTTGCTGGTGCACTAAAGATGAAGGATGGGGTTGTAGAACTGGGAGCTTCAGCTGGTATCATTTGGCTGCCGACGAGAACAGCCGGAGACGAAGCTGACGCTGGGATCGGTGCAGCAGGAAAGTTGAACAACGCGGTTGGTGGCCTTTGCGCACCAGAAACCGCAGTCGGAGCACTCGAAGACGAAGGTAGGGAAGAAACTGGGAAGCCGGTAGCGAAGGCGCCCCACGTGGGTGCAGAGGGCACTTTGCTAGGCTCTCCGCCCTCAATTTGCTTGGGCTCCGCAGACATATCAGGCGCAGCCATATTGCCCTGGAAGGCGGAAGTTGGTGGCTGCTTGCCAGATACATTGGTAATGCCCCATATCGATGAACTGGCCCCAGCAAAAGCAGGTGGAGGAGCTGTGACACCCGCAGCTGCAGGCTGCGTGGATTGTGTGGTAGAAGGTGCTGGCTGAGGAGTCGAGGGGGTGAATTCGATTACAGAAGCAGTTTCAAGAACCGCGGTCGCTGGGGAGACAGCGGAAGCTACGAAGGTTTCGCCTGCTGCCACTGTCGGTACCAGGTTCGTTATATCCTTGTTCACCTGGGCGAAGCCAGACGAAACTAATTTGGCATGACTTTCAACCTGCTTTGGCACGGGTGGAACCGACAGAACACCCGTGCTGGAAGACGCGGTGAAAGAAAATGGTAACAAGGAAACGGAAGCTTCTTCAGGCGGGGCAGTCTATGAATTGATGAGCATTTGCGATATTTTGCGACGTGGATACACTTACCTGCTTCGCAAAGCTGAACCCGGATGGTGGCTGGTATCTCGGTGGTAGATTAGCAGGTTCACGCCGCCCGCCGACTTCTTCAATTACTTCCTTCTCCTTCTCCTTCTCCTTCTCCTTCTCCTTCTCCTTCCCCTGCTCTTGCTCTTGTTCCTCTCGTTCCTCCTCTTCGAGGGCGGAGAAAACACTCTTCTTTGGCTTTTTGGGTGGCCGCACATATGGCGTTTCTTTCTGACCACTTCTGGCTCGGCCAACACGCCCCGCAGGCCGACCCTTTGGAGCAAGCATCGATGGCTCTCGTGTCAGATCTTCCATAGCTTCATCAGGAGCTTCGAGGCTCGAAAGCGGCTGCATTAAAGGCTCCTCCGCCTCAAAAACCTCATCCTCGACCACGATCAAATCTTCCACGGCGGACTCGCTTCCAACGAGATTTTCACTGCCATGTGATGATGATGATTCGCTACGCTCCCTTTCCAATCCTCCATATCCTACGTGCCTGCGAGTCAACAGCTTCACAGCGCCTCGTTCGCGCGAGCCTAAGCTTGTCGTGCCAGTTGATGTCCCTACCCCCTCTATCGGCACTTCCTCTTTCGCTTTCTCTTTCTGCATCACAATGGTGGGGGGTAAGGATTGTTTCAAATAGAGCCCATGGACTTGCCCGAACTCTTGCCGCAGGCGAGAGGGCACTAAGGGTGCCTTGAAGACACGCATACCACGGAGCTCCTTCTCTGCCTTTTTCGCTTCGGCTGCTAAGAGAACTTTCTGTAAGTGTGATTAACTCGTAGCAGTAGGCTGACTAACCAGAGAGTGATGGCATCGATTCCGCTCGAGCTATAACGGATGGACGGGCAGAGGGAGTTTGGCTCTATGAGAGGACATCAACACAAATCGAATGGGCACGGATATGCAACGTACCCTCCTATATGACTCAGCCAGCTCGCCGAGTGTAGCAGGAGGCTCTTCTGGTATAGGCTCTGTCGGGGCTCTCAAGAACCTCGGGTGCGTCATCAGCTTGGATACTTGAGGCAGCTCGGGGTTCTCTTGCCCAATGCTCGACGGCCCGGCCCCCGATGTCTGTTCCATCGGCTGCGGCGTAATAGATTGGCGCGGTTGCACGGTGAACGATATGCGGTTGAACGATTCTTTCGGAAAGAGAGGCACTGGAGGGGGTCCCATTGAGATGTCGCGCGGCGTTTCGCGCGACACGCTCCGCGAACGAGAGATGTAGCTCGTTGGAGGGTCGGCGGCGTACTTACGCTTCCTGCCTTGTTCGAGGTCTGGTAAAGCCGAGCTGGCGCGAATCCTGTCCACGGGTTCCATCGACATCATACGGAGCCCACCACCGTAGCGCGGGCGGAATGACGCGGCAGGATCCTCAGCGGTGGGATGTGTCGCGTTGTCAAGAACGAGCTGCGATGGCCGCATAGACGGAACCGAAGCAGCTCGAGAAGTGTTTGACTGGATGGAGAGCGATGCCGATCGTCCTAGTGCCTGGGGTTGGTTTGCAGCAGACATCGGCGGCGCGATGAGCGCCTCGGGCATGTCGAGGTAGCCTGGCTGGCTCTGCTGCGTCGGCTGGGATGGCGGAGGAGTAGGAAGAGGGCTATGAACGCGCGTCTTCTTCGCTCTTGCCTCTTGACCTTCCTTGTCAGAGTCGGTGGGTGAGACGGACCTGCGTCTCTTGCCCCGAGCACCTTCAAGGCCCGAGGAAGGGGAGGGAGCGAGCCAAGTGAGGGGAGCAGTAATCACTTTTTGGATGCTGTCGATCACCGAAGCGCTGCGTGAGACACAACGACGTTTGGGAGGGGGAGAGTGTTCCTTAGATGACGCTGTGGAAGAAGTCATGGCGCACGCGATTTTTTGTGAGAGTTACAGACTGGGAGTGAACGTGTTCGTCGCTGTTTGGTAGCTCACGGACGTCAGAGATGAAGTTGAGACGGAAGAGATGTAAGGCGGTCGCGGACCTGGGTCGGGGTGCGAGGTCAAGGCGCGACAAGGTGGCGGGTGGTGGCCCAACCAAGACCAAGCGCGTGTGACGTGTCACGTCACAGTCACTCGAGTGGAACACGAGCCGTTACCACTGCACAGATTTCTACCTGAACTATATTCTGTTCAATTCTAATACCCTTCCTGCAGCGAGAGTTTTTGCTTTGCTGTGCACAGCTTTCCCTCGACTCAAGCATAGAACGTCCCCACCGCTAAGTGCTGCCTCCCACACACTATTCCTGGACATCTCTGGCTCTAAATGATAGACGTGACAAACCGATAAAGATTAGACCTCTGCTTACTGGCGCGCTCGCGCAGTATTGTCTTTCGTTGACTAGGACGCATCATGGCTCATCGATGTCAGCTGGCTGGAGCTTGCCGGTGTCTGAAACTTTCTACAGCACTGCAGGGCTATAAACTCAAAATTCCCGCTCGCTTCCAAAAACTTGTCGACCGAGCTCGAGCTAGTTTCGCATCCTTTTGTTATTCCAATGGGGACCCTGCTATGGCTAGGTGCTCGCCATCGCTTTTATAGACAGTTTCTCAGTATGTCGCTCCGTACCAGGAGGGACCGGTATACGGTGCGACATTGAAGCCAGGGTTCACGTACTTGGACTATAATATATCACCTGTCAAAGCTTAACTTTGAGGTAATCAATGCTTGTTTCATCAAATGGGGCCAGCTCATGTTTCTTGCTTCTCTTCCGAAACTTTCAACGGCGGCTCCTGTCCATACACGGCGAGCCTATATGGTCCGGTTCTGAGCCCATCCCTCAAAAGTCCTTATTTCTTGGTCTCAACATGCTCAACATGGCGAGGCTCTCCATGAAGCTCCATCAGGCTCATATCACCATTCGACCGAACAGTTGCAGCAGCTCATTCTCATTTAAGCGAACTTCAAGCTGCGATTCGCTCGAAATGCTGGTCATTACCCGATGCTCTTTCGCCACTGTGGTTTTCATATCACTCCTGACCATTCTTGATATGGGTCCGCCGGGTTTGATACTGCCTCCAGGATCGTCTTTAAGGGAACTGCACGCTTTGAACCTCACAACGCACAAGCGGCCGTGATGTATTATTTGATGTGTTGATATCGTGTTCTATTTTTGCATACACGACCAACGAAGGTCGTTCCACTTTCTGTGGCGTCCAAGCTCTGATCTCTTGCTCCCTCGCTGTAGTATGACTGTTTTCACCGCGGTCGTAACTGCGCATTCTGAATCTGTTGCTATTTACTTGCATATCGCCGTAAAGCTGTGCAAAACTAGAAGCTGCTGCACACGTACGCGAATTCCCACGCACAGACCCTCTTGCTTACATAAGAACAGAATTGCTGTGTTTGGCAGTGGGGTTGAACTTGAAACTTGAAAGACCGCTGTTAAGCCCGCTTCCTATCATCGCCCTTGCTGCTCAGCATCGTCCTTCAAGCTACTGCTATCCGTCGGCCTCGTCGTTTGGTCTCATCAGATATCCCTCGTCTTTTACACAGTCCATCCGGTCCTTCATAATGTCTGAAATCCGCAGGAAGCTTGTCATTGTGGGTGATGGTGCTTGCGGAAAGGTTCGGTCTTGTTCGTCGTCGTGCCACCCCTGTGCTAACGCAAGAACCTCTCGCAGACCTGTTTGCTGATTGTCTTCTCGAAAGGGACATTCCCGGAGGTGAGTAGCTCGACTGACCAAGTCGCGTTCCATCGATGGACCATGGACCCGGACATCCTTTCTCCGCGTGTTTCGGCGCTAACTCATGGCCACAGGTCTACGTTCCTACTGTCTTCGAGAACTACGTTGCCGACGTCGAGGTCGACGGGAAGCATGTCGAGCTAGCTCTCTGGGATACGGCAGGCCAGGAGGACTATGATCGTCTCAGGCCACTCAGTTACCCCGACTCCCACGTCATTCTCATTTGTTTCGCAGTAGACTCGCCGGATTCGCTCGACAACGTCCAGGAGAAGGTAAGTACATTATTTCTTCATCGGCCTAACCAGTCTCACATGTCCTCTTTCTGCTGTTTCCCTGTCTACCCCCCGTTACGCACTATAGTGGATTTCCGAAGTCATGCACTTTTGCGCTGGTTTGCCTATCATCCTCGTCGGTTGCAAGAAGGACCTTCGGCGGGACCCGAGAGTCATTGAGGAGCTGAGGAAGACCAACCAGCGGCCTGTTACTCCTGAGGAGGTGCGTCGCTATCGTTTTACGTACGCGAGGTTCAGGCGCGCGCGTCGGCAAGGCGCTGATGCTCCGCAAAGCACGTGCCTTGCAAAGCGCAAACTCTCGCCATGGCTGGCCAGCTGGTTGACGCTCTCCCCTACAGGGTATGGCCGTACAGCAGAAGATTGGTGCAAAGCACTACCTCGAGTGCTCAGCTAAGACCGGCGAGGGCGTGCGCGAGGTTTTCCAGTACGCTACCCGCGCGGCGCTACTTAGCAGGCCCAAGGGTAGCAAGAAGCACCACTGTGTTGTCCTGTAAAGTTTTTGTCGGACACTTCCTTGCATGCACTGGGCTGGCGTTAGCATCGAGCTCGGATCGTGTTGTTACTCCCATAATACCCCCCTCGCGACATTCTCATGACTACCTACTATCTTCTGCAATGACTGTCATACATCCATCTTTCTTCGTATTACATTGGTCTTCGACCCCACCGTCTGTCGCGAGTGCTCTCGGTTTCCTCTCAACGCCTAAGATACTAAGATACGAGTTTTTTTTTTCTTTTTCTTGCATGTAAGTAACGAGATGTGGCCATCTATAGCCTGTGATAATGTCAACGATGGGCGAGGAAAGCAGGGGTGGGTGTGCTGTCTGCCTGAGTGCGAAGTCGGCACGTATACGCTGTCGGGAACAGGAACAAGCTGCCAATGCCGCGCGCACGAGCCTGTTTTACGCGTCGCGACGCGCACGAACGCGTCTTGTCTCTCCGTCCGGACGTCGCGCCACAGTTCAAGCGAAACTCACAATCATGCCCCGCGAGATTGTCACCGTGCAGCTGGGGCAATGCGGCAATCAAAGTGCGGATTTTTGACTGTGTGCACCGCCGGATGCATGTCTGACTAGTGCGCTCGAAGTGGGATCTGTGTACTGGCAGCGGTTATGTGCTGAACACGGCATCAACAAAGAGGGTATTCTCGAGGATTGGGCCACCGAGGGCGGTGATCGGAAAGATGTCTTCTTCTACCAAGCGGACGATGAGCACTATATCCCTCGTGCCATCCTCGTTGATCTTGAACCTCGAGTACGTCCGGTGCCAGGATTTGTTCTTCGAGACTCGTATCTGACATTTGAGCTTATCTGCGTAGGTCATTAACGGCATCCTGACATCACCATACGCGAACCTCTACAATCCAGAGAACATCTTCGTCTCTCAAGACGGCGGCGGAGCTGGGAACAACTGGGCGCAAGGGTACGCCGCCGGCGAGCGGATTTACGAGGAGGTCATGGAGATGATCGACCGCGAAGCAGAGGGCAGCGACTCGCTCGAGGTGTGTCCTGCCTAACCTCTCGCAGAGCGCAGTCCTCACGCGTTCGCAGGGCTTCATGCTGATGCACTCGATCGCGGGCGGGACGGGCTCGGGGCTCGGTTCGTTTGTGCTCGAACGGCTGAACGACAAGTTCCCGAAGAAGCTCATCCAGACGTATTCGGTCTTCCCAAATGCGCAGGAAGGCGATGTCGTCGTGCAGCCGTATAATTCGCTGCTCACGTTGAAGCGGCTGACGAACCATGCGGACTCGGTGGTCGTGCTCGATAACGGCGCTCTTGCGCGGATATCCGCGGATAGGCTGCATGTCCAGACGACTACGTTTGACCAGACAAATCAGTTGGTGAGGTAGATGCATACTCTTGGACCTGAACGGGCCGCTCACAGACCAGTTATCAAGGTATCTACCGTGATGGCAGCCAGCACACAGACACTCCGGTATCCGGGGTACATGAACAATGATCTCGTCGGGATCATCGCCTCGCTCATTCCAACACCGCGCTGTCACTTCCTCATGACCTCTTATACCCCCTTCACAAGCGATCAAATTGACAAGGTGCGACATCGCACCGTCTATTGATGCAAATATCTAAGAAGCTGACACATGCATATAGGCTAAGCCAATCCGGCGAACGACCGTACTGGACGTGATGCGCCGTCTCCTACAACCCAAGAACCGCATGATCACGACGACACCAAGCAAAACGGCATGCTACATCTCCATCCTAAACATTATTCAAGGAGACGTCGATCCTACAGATGTAGGTGATACCACCCGTACCGTTCTGTCTGTCATCCTTGACCATCGCTGATCAGGTGCACCAATCGCTATTGCGCATCCGAGAACGCCAACTGGCGAACTTCATTCCATGGGGACCGGCCTCGATACAGGTCGCGCTGACACGAAGGTCGCCTTATATTGCGACAAATCATCGCGTAAGCGGACTCATGCTCGCAAACCATACGAGTGTCGCTTCTGTGAGTGGCCCAGCCCTCGCTGATGATTCCTGAAGCACTCACGAGCTGCATCGCATCTCCAGTTGTTCAGGCGCATGATCGACCAATACGACCGATTGCGGAAACGAAATGCGTTCTTGGAGCAGTACAAGAAGGAGAAGATGTTCGAGAACGGGCTGGAGGAGTTCGACGATGCCCGGTCAGTCGCAGGCTTCATGCAGGCTGCCCTCCCTCGCTGACATACTGAGAATATAGAGCTACGGCCGAAGAGCTCCTCAAGGAATACAAGGCCTGCGAGAGCCCCGACTACATAACATACGTATGTGAGGTCAACCAGTTGGTCCATCGTGGTGCTGATATCCGTTCAGGGCGCGGACAATGCAGGACCAGCCGCATAATTCCTTCCTTGCGTGCTCTCCGTACGCTTTTCCTTCTCCTATCTTATTTCATAGCTTTCTGGGGCTTTCGCTGTCTTGCTATTCTCTCTCACACCTCGAATGTAGGGCATACACCGTAGTCGATTAGGTGTACAACGACTAATATTGCTGATAATAGCGAAGAGCAAGGAGATACGATGATAACTCTACTTAAACATTGCAGGCAGCTTAGAGCGGGAGAGGGAGATTATACAGGTGGGCAAATGCGAAGTCAGGCGTAGGCAATATGCTGTGGAGGGGTCGGCCTATGCGCCCTTCGGCCCCCCCAGCTTCTTCCCAATGTCTGAGCCTGAAGACGATATGATAAGCTTAAGAGGCAGAGGTCATCTGGTCAGTGATACACACCACGCAGCTTGACACCGAGGACGCGCTCGAGTTTGCTGAGGATCTGGGGGTTCGGGATGGCCCTCCCAGCCTCGTAATCAGCGATCACGGAGGGCTTCTCGTTGACCTTCTGCGCAAGGTCCTTCTGCGCGAGCTGCTTCTCCATACGAGCAATTTGGATCGCCTAAGCACACACACATTACTCAGCACCATTGCATGCGATCAAAAGTGTATGGATGGGACGCACCTTCCCGACAGACGGGAGAATCTTTGGTGGTGGCGCGACCTCGTTTTCACGGTCGAGTTTGGCTATGCGTTGATGGTCGGTTCCTGCGAACGGATGCGAGATGAAGCCACGCTGATGGCACTAGCCAGATAGCCGACGTACCTTGGTGTGCTTTGTTAGACCCGCCTGCCATCTTCTTGTCTGTTGCCACGACAGCGCCGACTCGCCGCGCCTGCACGCACTGTCAGCCAGAAAGTCCCACTACCACTTGAACGAAGAGACACATACAGCTGTTTGACATGAGTATCAGCACAGCCCGCAAGGAGGGCGCTTTAACGGGAATGCTCACCATTCAGATCGGAGTCGTTTCGAGCGACTTTCGGGGCCTTGGCTTTGTAGCCGATGACCATTTTGCTGTCCCAATCGACGTTTCCTTCAGTCATGATTCTAGTGTTCTAGCGTGCGTTGGCGGTCGTGAAAAGATGGTACAGAGAGTAGACGGTTTGAGATGAGGTGGGTGGCGGTAACGTGTCGCTTACGCCTTATATAGCAGCGCGCTCGCTGCCGGTCACGCCTGACTCATCCATTGCTGTGCCTCCTCCTCGACTCATAGAACAGCATCGAGGACATGAAAGACGGAAATGAATGCTGCGCAAGTGGTAATGTACACGTTGTGTATTGGTGTTTCCTTCTAGACCTCCCCCAGGTAAATTAAGACCAGGACCAGCCCTCGTGGCATCAAGCAAACCGGGCAGAATATCGCATTCGAACCGCAGCCGAGGAATTCATGCACGTTGAGCGAGCCTGAATGCAAGCGCGGTGCATGCGACACCGGCGAGAAAGCCGGCCATCGAGGGCATCCATGCGCCCGACGATAGTTTGATGGCGGTAACTGCGCGAGCCCGCTTGTGCTTGCTGCTGATTTCCTGCGGTTTGGGCACTCGGTTGTGCTCCCACCCATCATTGAGAAGCTTTGCCATCATCTCGTCGTCCAGCATCGCCAGATCTTCCATTTCCCAGGACGTGCACACGTCCACCATCCATCGCATCCTCCGCTTCCCAAGCTCTCCCCCGACGCCCGGAGCTCGCTCTCTCAGCTTGCACCTTAATGTCCCGACCTTCTCGATTGCCTCTCCGACACCCTCTGGCAGACTGGTTTCGATTCTCCGGCGGATGAGGTTGGCGAGCTTTGGGCTCTGCCCGTTGGTGGATATCATGATCTGCAAGGGGCCACTGCGGATCTGTGACCCGAAGTAGAAGTCGCATGAGGGAGGGATATCTGCGACGTTCACTGGAATCTTGCGTTTGCGGCACAGCGCGCAGATCTCCCGCGACTTCTCCACATCATCAACGGCGGTGAGCACCATGTCAACTCCCTCCAGGTCGTCCGGCCCCGCGAACGTGCGATCATGATAGGTGATGCGGTCGGAGGTATCAATGAAATTCTTGGTGAGCGGGTGTAAGCCCGCGCACGGTGAAATGAGAATGATGCGTGCGTCCGCGACGAGGACCGATTCAATACGCCCCGACGCGACATCGCCGCCGCCCACGATGAGAACCGTCTTATCTTTGAGCTGCCATGCGAGGAGGAGCGAGCCCCCAGTGAGTGTCGCAGCGTCAGGAGCCATTGCAACGAGTTGGCGGCATGGCAGGCAGCATGAGTAGTGGCCATCACGTGGTCGCGCGCTCGGGTGTCGCATCCCACTGCCACTGTCGTCCAAGCCGTCGCTCATGACGGCCAACAAGTGCAGCTATGCAATTACAATCTATTTCCACCATCAACTGCCACGATGATATTGACTTGTGTGATGGAACGAGCGCCGGTTTTTGTGCCGCAGCGGAAGCGTCTCGCGCTTGCGCAACACGAGGCAGCTTCAATTCCATTCTGGATCTATTTATCTCGCATTGTCTTTCGTCAGCAACAAAAAAGCGACAGTCTCGACTCGGAACGTGCGACCATGGGTATGGACGGCTGCGCTCCGGCCTCCGCGACACATGTGTCCATGGCGACGTCTGTCATGAGAGAGCATCATTTATGCCACTGCATCGCTTGTCCCATCATCTGCCTCCCGCAACCCTTCATAACCTCCTGGGTGAGTGCTCGCTTCCGCACCCTCCTCCCTCCTCTTTCTTCTCTTCGTCTTCTTCGTCTGACCCTTTTCGGTTTCTTTTCAGACGTTGAACGTCTTTCTTTCTGTTCAACTTCAGTTTCTTGGCCACTGCACAGTCAGTGCGTTGCCCGGTGCTACAGCCCCCTCTGTCGCGTCCATTCTCTCTGGGAGAGCTAGTACAGTTCGCCGCATTTCACCCTTTGACCTGAGTTGACTCGGTTCCGTCGCTTGCGATCACACACATCCACAACGTACGTCGTCCGATCGTGCCGCTCAGCCTCGTGGACCCAACGCGACTTGCAGACTTTACCCGTAACCCCCAAAGCAACGCGTCAAAATGGCGTACACCAGGAAGATCATGGCCTTCTTCGGCTTCATGGACTTTTTGCTCCTGGGGATCGCTATCGTCTCCATCGTCTTCTCCATCGTCTGGCGGGAACCCGACACACTGCGAAACCTCGAGTTGAGCACCCAACATCTCAACGGTGAGCCGGATCCTGGGCGAGCAGATGACACATCGCTGACACCCTCCACGTGAATCAGAGGGTCTGATTATGGGTGTGATACTCCTGGTATCCTGGGTCGTCTCCGTCGGCGCCCTGCTTTCGCCAAACAACTCGATCAAAGGCTTCGTACTCTTCAACTGGACTCTTGCGCTCGACGCAATCGTAGTGCTCATCGTCGGCACGACGCTCTGGTTCTACACGCTCATGGTCCGCGACAACTACCTGGCGGTCTGGGAAGTGCAGTCGACCGAAACGCGCGTCGCGATCCAGGATTTGGTGCGCAGCGCTCTCTGTGTTTCCCATCTCGCCTCACTTCCCTGTGTGCCTCGAAACGAACTGACGCCATGACGAATTCCGCAGTTCTCGTGCTGCGGTTACTTTGAACCCAACGACACGACTGTCGCACTCGGCGGGTTCTGTGCGAACGAGACGTTCGTTACCAGTCTTTTCAATGCAAGCGACACGACGCAGAACGCCTGCGTGACGTCGATCACTGGACATGCTGAGCCAATGCTGAACCAGATCTTCACGTACGTCTAGTTTGTTTGTCGTGTTTCCGTGCGAACGGTGCGCTGATCGCATGATGGCTATTACAGATTCGTGAGAACCTCTTCTCTTTGCTCGTGTGCATGACGACCTTATCGACGCTGCGCTTATTTCTAGGTCTACGGCTTCATGGCAGTCGTCGGCGGTCTATTCCTGGCGTCACTCTGCGTCATCAAGACGGTACGTGCCAGCGTTCTCATTCCATTCTCTTCGGCTAAACAATTGCTCGGTCCCGCAAAACAGAGACAAGAGAAGGAGCGCTTCAGGAGGATCGACGTGAAACGCGGTGGCGTCGGCTTCGTCTAAATCCGCGCGCGAATCTGGACGCTTGTTTCCATTGCCTCTCCCTCACGACGAAGCCACCTTACTACCACTATTTACGTCGCTACCGACGATGTTCTTGTAACCACTTCCGTGTCTCGCTCTAGACGTCAGACTGCTGGGTTCGTTTCCGTGCATCGTGTGTTATCACTACTGGGCATCAGTACTACTTACGTCGAGCAGCTCGTGTACTCTCTTTTTTTCCTTCGTTTTCATACCACTTACTTACGGCCGCATTCAATGGCATAGCATTCGGGTCAGACGAGAACCCACGAGGACAAACAAGTTGCGCGAGAACTGTGCAAGACTGAGCAGGAAGATCGATGCTGGGCTGGAAGGCAACAGCGGCACACGCGCACACGAGTCAAATTGCGTTGTACAGAGGTTTTGAATGCGCATTTCAAATATTAAGGATACAACAAAGACGCGGGTGGGATGATTACACTATAGAAACACATTAAAGCGCAATGCGTAAGGTAAGACGTACTCTTTCGAAGCGAAGGTAAGTGATTAGGTATGACGTGGTAGAACAACCCGCTCGCATCGTCGTATTCGCGATCGTAAGTAGTCATGAGAGATCATGCTCCGCCGATAGGAAGAATCGGAAGCGTCTTCGGGGAGGTATCAACGCCGACCGATCTATTACACCTGCTGCTCAGGAGTCGTGTATTGAGCTGGAGCCGTGTATTGAGTGTGAGCTGGCTGCTCAGTGCTCGTGGTGACGGTGTGCGTGGTGGTGGTCTCCTGCGGCTGACCAGATGTTCCCTGCTGTGGCCGCTGCTTCTCGGAGCCTCCGAACTGCGGGCGGTGGACGTGGATCGGTTCCTCGTTGCCGACGTACTTGCCCGATTGAAGACCGAAGGCGTTGTAGTCGACGTTCCGGAGCTCGAAGAGCAGGATGAAGAGGAAGATTGGGCCTCCGAATATGTCCAGGATACCGTACCAAATCATCTCGGAGGTGACCGAGATGACGTTGGCACCCTCAGAACATGCCCAACAGATTGGGTAGGTCAAGAGGATGAACGAGAAGAATCCTGCTCCGACGTAGTAGCCGCGACGGACAATGCCACCGGCAGCGAACGTCATCGAGGGCGCGTGCCACAACAGCACGTACCTAACAATGCCCGTCAGCAACGCCGCAATAAAAGCATCATGAACGTGAAGCACGCACCAGATGAAGAACAAAGCGGCGACACCGAAGACGAAGTAACCCCACTTGTAAGTGCTGTGGACTAGCGAGCCGACCAGGCCCATCACAACAAAGATGACACCCATGAACACGGTGATGACGATGTTGGACAAGGGCAAGCCGGTGGCGAGCAGCAATGTGAGGAGCAATAGCGGGAGATTAATCGCCCATTGGATGTACCGGACGTACTACAGATATTTTTGAGTCATGGACTCCAGCAGCACCAAAAAATCAAACGTACCGAAATCTGCCGGGTAGGCTCTCCGCCGTTTCCACGGAACTCGACCGGTGCAGGTGCGTTACCGAGGCCAGAGGCCAGAGAGAAGTAGGTGATAGTGGAGATCGCCAGGATGACTACGGCCATCTCATGGAATAACCGGGCACCGCGGGGTCTCTGTGGGCGAATGAGCATCGGTCAACGAGCGCAGGGTAAACGCGGGTGTACTCACAGTGATGGTTATGATTACGATGATGATGAGAACGAAGGCGAAGAAGCAGAACGCAGCCCAAAGCCAGTCAGTGCCGTTGGTGCTGACATGGAGGTCTGCGCTCGGGGGGTTTGAGTTGAGCGAACTCATTGTCGCTATGTGGGGGGGATGAGATGCGAGGACGAGGGGTCGTAAGAGAGAGTTGTTGTTAAACGTTAAAGTCGTTAAGACGGTTCAATCGTGAACAGCGTCAGTTAGCTGATGAGTGGGAGGAGCTTGCGTCGGCGGCCCCTCTTTATATGAGTCGGCAGCCCCGGAGGATTCTGCAGCTTACGCAGCCGAGCGGGTCGAGCATTCTGGGGCACAAGGAAGAGAGGAGTCTAAGGCCGACTCCAAAAAGGCCTAGCTTCATGTTCCTTCCGTCATCCTGTGGTGAGCCATCCTTCCGCTGCACGCCTGGCCCATGGCTAGGATCAACGTTTGTCACGTGAACAGCGCTTGGCATGGCGCGCCAGCTCCGAGAAGGTCGGCAAATGCGATTCTTGCGAGTGTGTATGCGACATCCGACGCTTGATGCGCGGCGGATAGTGTCAGCGGGGCGACGGCCACCACTGGATCCGCACTCGCCAACTCTCCTGAGATTTAGACCCTCTCTTCGAACGTTTCAGAGTTTTGCTTACTATATATATCTCCGTAATTATCCGATGTGACGTATTGTGCCTTTTTGATGGCCTGCAGCTCAGGGACCCTATCATCATCCATAGAGCCTAGGCGGATAGTAATGGTCATCCATAGACTCTTGCGTGATTCCTCTGTATCAGTGCAGTGGAATGCGATTAATCGCCAACTTTCATGAGTCTGCTCGAACACGAACGCACGACAGACGTGTACCCACTTCGTTGATTGCCAAGGCATCATTCATTGCATTCTGCAGACGTACTGATATCATCGCCCCGGGAATTTGGCGCGAAGCCAGACCGCATATTCAGCCTGTGATGGATAACAGTGCGTCAGCGCCAAGCTCGAACAAATGCGGATACGCAACCGACTGACTGGTGCGTTGTCATCGCTGCCCCACAATTCACGAAACGCCGGGGATGATTAAATGTGCAGAGTGGACGTCCGCCTCACGGAATTCAATTTTGAGAGAAACGGAGCTGCCATCCATTAGCAAATGAATTGAATGGACACAACATACACAATGCGACGGAATAATTTAGAACGTCCGACATGGCGTCCGCACCGGTGGTCATCATTCGTCTTCCATTCCATCCGTGAACCCTCTAAGAATCCTCCTTCGTCTCCCTTCCTCTCCACACAGCGTCACCAGACCGGCACTGGATTAATCGCGACCGGTCCTGGAGGCACGACCACCGTACTGATATCGATACCAAGCTCGAACGCGCGGGTGTGCTTCTCCCATGGGCCTCGCACCCGGAGATCCTCCGCAAACGGTGGTGACGACGAGCGTCTGCTTCTCGTGCTCTCCGAGCTGGAACGTGACGTGCATCCATCGGTCGACCCAGAACGCGCGGACGTCGGCGAGCGCAGCGGGGCGATAGGGAGCGTTCGTGCGAACGCATCCGGCTCAGGCATGACTAATGCGTGTGCACGTTCGCGGGGCACTGGCCCTTTCGAAATGCGCACCGGAGGATGAAACGCGGGTCGAGGGAGCGAGGGTAGTGTGTGTTTGGGCGCCCCGCGCCGCGGCACAGGACCTGTCATAAGCCGGAGAGGGGTAGGGGCTGGGCGACGGGTCATATTGACGATCCCCTTCGATGGACAGTGCGTCGTGGAAAAACACCCTGCGCTGTACGCATTCATGATGAGCTGGACGGTGAACGTGATATTCATGGCGATCCACGTACGCAATATCGCAATGGAAGGATGGCGAGAAGACCCAATGAAAAGTCCGATACAGGTCGTGAAGGCGGAATGCGACTGAAACGATTAAAAGAGAACCGGACCAGCCGACTCTGAATCTGAAATAACGAAAGTAATGTACAGCGAAAGAAACGGGAGGACGAGGAAATGATGAACCTGGTCAAGGTTGCGCTCGATGGCGCTGAAACGCTCTGAACTTGCAATCAGATTACGTAAGCGCTTTGATGCACAGCTTTCGCCTCGAGGGACACAGGCGCGGCAGCATACATCCGCGAGCGCAAGCTCGGGCGGGAGTGAGATGAAGGGGGAGGGATGCCAGCGCTGCAATCTATCATGGTGTACGAAGAGAGCCCTATGGAAATCACGAAGCAGGAGCAAGCAGGCCTTCTCGAACTTCGCCATGACCACGATACGGTTGCATTAGGGCTAAGCGCACGTACCTGTCCAATCAGAATAACCCTGAACATAGCGATCGCTTCATACGCGACGGTGCTGTTCTAGAATGACAGAGTGGATGCATTCCGGTGATGTGTAGGTCCAACGATGACATGAATGCGTGCAACAAAGAAACAACGAGAATGATGTGAGGGATATATGATGGCGAGCTGCGAATACAATGGTAGGTTCATGCAATAGGGTCGTCGTTGATGGGCCGGTAGGTTCTCATGAGCTGCGCCTTGAATTCTATCAATTCGCAAAGTCGTCAATTCCTGCTACGGATATGATCGAAGGTGGGAAACGTACCTTCTGGCTTGTCCCACAAGTTGGCGGCATCTGGGTTCAGAGGTGAGGCATTGTTCGGCTCTCCAAGAAGCGATTGAAGCGACAGCAGGATCGTTTGCACGCTGTAGACCGCCGACCATTTGTCCTTGTTCACCAACAGGGTCAGAGAAGCGGATCGACGTCAATAATACCGGTCGGCACTAACCTGCAAGATGTCTAGACAGATGGAGCCGCCATTGATGTCAACGTTAGGGTGGAAGCAAGGCGTATCGAATTTAATGGTCGGTGCAGCGTATGGGTAACTTGGAGGGAAGGAGATAGAGATCTTGAATGTGAGACCAGAGTAGACCTGCGTGACCAGTGTTCAGACGCCACAGGTCAATTGAGTCCTGAGTGCGAGCGTACCGTTCCTGCTGCGCCCTCAATGGTACCGGCCCATTCGAACAGATTAGCATCAGATTTAGGGAATGCAGACTGGTATGAGGTAGATTTAGTGGTGGTGACGGATGGCTCGCAAAGGGAACTCACAATGCCAGGCGACGAGGACATCTGTGCAGACCAGTCAGAACTTGCAAAATTGATTCATGTAATCGGATCTCACCATTAGAGTCATAAGTTCACTGCTCAAACTGGATGCACGTCTCAACAACGATTCGAGTCCAACTGCCGGGCTGTTCATGACCCTCACTCACCGTTTTGTCACGCTACCAGCGCTCTCTCCCGGAGTTCCTGCGACGGTAGATTTCTGAGGCGTACGAGGAGGGGCAAGAGATGAAGTGAGCTGGTCCATCGTCAAAGTCAAGGAATTCGCAACTCTAGATCCGAGAGACGTCGGAGGAAAAAGACAAGAAGTGGCGGCGCCCCCGTCGAACGAGCGTGACTTTTTGTACGCGTCAGTCATGTGTATCCGTGACAGCGCGTGCATAGCTGCTTACGTGATCAAGCGCGCTGACAGTTCCGACCATTCCCCCTTCGCAAAGTCCCGCTTTCGTATCATCACTTCACCGTCGCGGACATTCGTCCATAATTTCCCAACCTCATCCACGCTGGCTTCACAGCCATGTCCAAATTCGCCCCGACGCCGGCGGAGGTCGCCCTCGTTAATCAAATCTTCACCCAGGCCGATACCCAGAAACTGGGCGTCATCACTGGCGATGCTGCCGTCAAGATATTCAGCGGCGCCAAGCTTGCGCCCACCGTGCTCGCGGAGGTTTGGAGCCTCGCAGACGAGGATAATAATGGTGTGCTGACCCGCAAGGGGGTCGCTATCGCTGTGCGTCTCCTGGGTCATGCGCAGCGGGGCGAGAAGATTACCGAGGCGATGATTAACCAGCGTGAGTTGTCGTCGCTTTCGACTTTGCTTGCCATTCGTCCTGAGTGCGTGCTGTGAAGCTGGCCCTATCCCAACTATCGAGGGACTTGCATCACCAATTTTTCCCCAGTCTACCGGCGTTCCCACACCACGCTCCCCACCTCCCGTTTCACTTCCCCTGTTGACCGCGCAAGACAAGGCCAAGTTTATGAAGATCTTCTCTTCGTGCGGACCCACGAATGGCCTTCTTGGAGGTGAGTTATCCACATGTCTCCGAGGCTGCAGCTTAGCGATTCTATTTAGGCCAGAAGGCCAAAGACGTGTTCGTCAAGTCCAAATTGCCTGTGGATAAGCTCTCGCAGATATGGTAAGCCTCATCTTACGATTGACGACCGTTTGTGCGCTCCGGTTGCAGAACAAGGCATTTTCGTCTCACCTCATTGATCCGCGTTCGCTCGATCGGCGCCGTCGGGCTCATCTCATGGTGCCTGAACAAGCACCTGCTTATGCTCGGAGTTTTTGTCCCATGCCGCTTCATTTGTTGTAGTATGATCGTTGTCTGGTGTAATGCGTCGTCCACCGTCTGCCAGTATGAGTGACTTTGTGGTCGTCCCGCACGAACTTATCGTTTCTGGGAGTTTGACTTTCGGACCATGCTCACTGCACCCCACGCCAGGAATCTAGCTGACACGAAGAACCGTGGAGCATTGGACGATGTCGACTTCATCATCGCAATGTATCTCATTCAAGCGTCCATGTCAGGACAGCTGCAAACGCTTCCGTCAATACTACCTCCTGGGCTCTATGAGCAAGCGGGAGGTAAGCCGACCTTCGACGGCGTTGCGGTGCATGCAACAGGCGGAAGCGCATCATATAGCCCGTCCATGAACTCATTCCCCATGCGGCCGATGAGCATGATTGAGCCGCATTTCACGGGCCAGGGCTCTCCGCTCCACCCACAGATGACGGGACAGGCAAGACAGACACCGGGCGGGCTGCCCCTCCCTGCGCGGTCCTCCGTCCCACAGACATCATCGACATTTCCATTCGTGCAGCCGCAAGCTACAGGGTCAGCGCAGCAGTGGGATGTGACGCCGGCAGAGAAGGCGAACGCGGACCGCCTATTCGAAACCTTAGATACCCAGAAGAAAGGTTACATTGAAGGCGACATCGCTGTTCCGTTCATGCTGCAGTCCAAGCTGTCCGAGGAGGTTCTTGCGCAAGTGTGGTACGCAGCCTGGCATTTGCTTTGCTAAGATACAGATAATTCACGTAAGACCAGGGATTTGGCCGACATCAATAACGACGGTCGCCTGACGCGAGACGGGTTCGCTGTGGCCATGCACTTAATTCAAGCTAAGTTGAACGGAAAGGAGATTCCGAACACGATTCCGCTTTCGTTGATACCCCCTTCCATGCGTACAGTAATTGGCACTACCCCCGCACCAGCGCAACCGTTGGTGACGGATTCTATCCGGGATCTTTTGTGGGACGAATCTCCGCCGGCCTCTGCAACGGCGCCCCCGCAGCAACAAGCCATTCTTCAGCCCCACAGCACCGGTACAATGTCAACGCGACCACCACAAACCATGTCGCCTCCGTCACGTATGCCGACAATGCCAGATCCATTTGCCGCGAGCTCACCATTCCAAGTACCAGCCCGTGCGTAATTTGACTTGAATTGTACGTGCACGAGGTGACAAGGGTTTCTCTTTACAGCGGCTCCCCATAAGGATCTTCTAGGAGATGACGAGGACACGGCGCACGCTGCATCTCCTCCACTGCAGGATCAATCAGCAGAGATAGGTAATACCAAGAATCAGCTTAACTCGACGAACAAATCTCTGGAGACGGCCAAGGCCGAGCGGGAGAGCGTGGAGCGGACGTTGTCTGAGCAGGCCGCGCAGCTCTCGGCATTGCAGACGCAGCTGTCTTCTGCCAAGGCGGCTTACGAGACGGAGACTCGTCTGCTCAGCACCCTTCGCGAGCGATTTGCTAACCAAGCAGCTGACATACAGAAGGCCAGGGAAGAGCTCATCCATGGCGAGAGCAACCTGAGTGCTGTGCGGGTCGAGAAGGCAGAGGTCGAAGGTGCCCTTCTGCGAGACAAGGAGGAGGTCCGCGATTTGCAGCGCAAGATGACTGAGGTCGGGATGCAAGTCGAGACGTTGAAGGTAGAGGTCGAGAAGGCGAAGAAGGAGGCGAAACAGCAGAAGGGTCTCCTTGCGATCGCGAAGAAGCAGTTGGCACATCGCGAGGCGGATAAGGCCAAGGTGGAGAAGGAGCTCGAGGACGCTCAGCAGGAGGTTGCGTCCATTACCAAGGAGCGTGAAGAAAGTGAAGCTGAGTTGGCAAAGGAGACCCCAACGTCCATGACAAACGGCCACGGCGAACCGGCTGCATCGCCCGACATTCTGGCCATTGCCGCAGCTCAGCCTTTGCCAGCTACTCCGGAGCTGGTTCCCACTAGCCCGACTGGTTCTGTCATGAGCCTAGGCAAGAGCAACAACCCATTCGACAGGGTAGCCATAGCTTCAGGGACAGGGTCACGCTCGCAATCACCCTTCCTTCCCTTCACGAACTCAGCGGTACTGCCGACTCCTACGATTGCTCCTGCCGAGCGGCCTGCAGAAGCTCGTACTGCTTCGCCTGCTCTTTCGACTACGGCCGCAAACCCATTCCGCTTGCCTCAGGCGTCTTCAAAGGAAGAAGCGCCCGCTGCACCTCAAGCGCCTTCGGAACTTGTGAAGCAGGCTACTGGTGCGTCCGAGGGTGGTGTGCTGTCTCCGACGGACACGGACCTGTTCAGCACGCCTCCTACCACTGCGACAGTACTCACACCGAGCCCTGCCCCGCAACCGCAAGGAGAAGCGCAGGGAAAGACGCAAGCTATTCCAGCTGAGCCGACACCTGCTCCAACTCCCGTTCCCGCTACCATCGAGGTTCAGGAGCCCGCTCAGGCCGAGGGTGCGCCAAACGCACAGGAAGAGAAGCCTGCTGCAGAGGAGCAGACGGATCTGAGCCATCAGCTGAAAGAGCTCGACGCGGAAGAGTCCGACTCTGAGAGCGACTACGAGGAGAATGAGCCTCTGGCCACTGTCAAGACGAGGCTCAGCAAAGACCTCACCGGAAGCGATGCCAATGGCCATGCTGGACCATCCACACATGCCTCCTCTGCTCCACCTAGTGCAGTGTCTGAGGATCCATTTGGTGCTTCCTTCTCTACGACGGAGTCGCCGCAGCCTGCTTCACCTGCTCAGCCAGCCCCATCAATCCCCGCTCCTAGTCAACCTCCAGCAGCATCGGCGGCGGATTTTTTCGGAGCACCGTTCGTCCCATCCACGACACCGTCCGTTCCGTCAACTGCACCGTCGGCGCCTGTGCCAGTCCCGTCTAACGCACCTGCAGAAGCCATCTCCCTTTCCAATGGAAGCGTAGCGCCTACTCCTGGTGTTAATGATTTCGATGAAGCCATGGGCAAGATCTCCGCCAGCCCAAGTACTAGCGGTGGGCCCTCTCAGCCCTCACAATTCTCGTTTGACTCTGCGTTCGACGACAATTTCGACTTCGCTGCTGCAAATGCGGCTGCCAATCAGACGCCCACGGTCAATGGGCATGGAAATGCGGCTACTGCCACGACAACGTCTTCTCCACCGAATGCGTTCGATAGCGTTTTCATGACTCAGCACAGCACGAGCGCCGTTCAACCTTTTCATGTGAACACTCAGCAGCCGGCTGCAGTGGCCTCAAGTCCGTTCGGACAGCCCGCTCTCCCTGCCCCGCAGCAGACAAGGCCTTTCTCTTTTGACGATGCTTTCGGGTCAAGCGCGGGTGATGCGAACCACACCAGTCCCGGCAACGTTGCGCAAGCGATCAGTTTTGACGACGCATTTGGAGGCCGTTCTTCTGCGCTGGCACTTGATTCGTTCAGCGCGGGTTCCCAGCATCCCGCTGTCGGGTCTGCGCAACAAATGAGGGCTGGTCATCCGTTCCCTACGACCACATCTCCCCCCTTGTCTCCGACCGGGACCGCTTCGCCCCAGCTGAGCGCCCGCCGATCATCATCGCCTCCTCGACACGCGTCGCCTCCGCCTCGCCATTCGTCACCCAAGCCTCGGCCGTCAACTTCATTGTCCGATAAAGTGCCAAATGTCAGGCATTCTAAATTGAGTGTAGGTGTTCCATTATTCGATCAGCCTTCTCTTGTTCCTCATTTGAGCTGCTCATAGCTCCGATTGCCGTTCGGAAGGAAGAAGAAAAGTCATGATACTCCGCCTGTCCCTCCACCACCGTTGCCTTCGCATCAGATTGTGGAGGATCCCACGCCAGCGGTCGATGACGATATCGAGGCAGTGAAGCAGCTCTGTGGCATGGGCTTCAGCAGAACGCAGGCTGTGGCGGCTCTCGAGATGCACGGATACGATATGCAAAGGGCGCTGAACAGCCTGCTCGGTGAGCAAAGTGGGTAGACGTCCGGAACCGCTCTCATGCTTATGATTCTATTGTACTAGGTACGGCGTAATACGATTGATCTTACCTTATTAAATGGACTCTTCACTTGCTTTTCTTTTGCACCTGCTCTTCATGCCATTCGCACCCACACGTTCGTTCCGAAACTACTCGTATGACCCTCCTTATTCCCCATGTTTTCCTTGCCTTAAATCCGACGTCCCGTTGAGTTTGCATCGGATTGGCAGTTCCTTGTCTGTGCCCTTGTAGTAAGATTTGCCTGCTTCCACTTGCCGCTCTATAGAGCAGCATAGCTATATGGATGACCAATACCCGAATACATCGGTACGACTGACATACCAATGCGCCTGAGCCACATTACATAGGAAACCCGAGTCTGATAGTAACTCGAGTCTGCACGTACGTGTAAGGACAATGCAGGTGTGGTAATCACATCAGGTTGCCGCCGCTGTCGCGGCGACAAGGCGCATCGTAGTAGTCTGCGGGAACCCGCGGCGTCCTACCGCACAAACGCTTCGCACGTCAAGCAGGCGATGCGGGGCTGCAAATGGTCTTGTTGTTTGTCTCACACATTTAGGAGGCAAGTAGCGAGGTGCTCGATGGTCGTGTGCATTCCACAACTCCCCGCGGTGTTACCAGTTCAAGTTGCTGAAAGCTTGAAGCGCCCTCATAGAAATGCCCACGTTTGATCTCGTTGCTGTCGGTTGCGGTACGTGATATTCTAACCCCTGTGAAGTGGTGGTATCAAGTGAAATCTCTATTCGCTAGGTGGTGGCCCGGACGAACGAAATTTGTCATGGCACGTCGATTCGTCTAAGTACTAGTAATAGCAATTCATTGACAATGACTCGTGAATCAGCTACTTCCTCAAACCGAGCGGCGTGCCATGGTCGGATGGTATCATAGCACTGGAAGCAGGTACATTTCCTCACACGAATTCAAGGAATCTTCGCTGACCCGTAAGACCTAGGTTCAGGCATTGGAGCGCTTGATATGCTGCTTCACAAGCAGCCTGATTTGTTTGGCACCAAAGCACACGAAGGAGGCAATACTGCGGCAGAAGTCTATTCGTGGATTCGGTATGCGCATATATGTACAAGTTAGAGAGTGCATGCTAATTTTATGATACCATGCTTTAAGGTGTTTCCTGATATCTCATGCACATTTAGATCATACTAATGGCTTAGTGTTGGCGGCAACTACTATTGACGAGCGACAGAGACCCGTTTTCGGAACTTCCCAATGCATGGAAGACCTCCAGCTACTGTTCAACAACCGGATATGGCCTAAATTAGCTTCTCCCAGTGAAGAGAGCGGTCTGCCGCTCCTATTGCGCACGTACGATCCCCTCCTTTCCCGCCTCTGCCTGTCTACATCATTTACCATTCCACACAAACCAGGCTGCCCACAGACGGCCAATACCACACCGTCTCGCCGCACATTTCCGTCCTAGCCATGCCGCTCACCCACGGGTGCACCAGCAGCACACTCGGCGCGTCCTATCCCTCCACCGCGTTCTTCCTCCGCCACGACCGCTTCGCGCGCGAGCTGCTCTTCCTCGGGGACGTCGAGCCGGACCGCATCTCCTCCCATCCGCAAAATCGAGCCGTGTGGCGCACCGCGGCGGGGAAGGTGCCCGGTGTGCTGAACGCGCTGTTCGTGGAGTGCTCGTACCCCGCTGGGAGGCCGGCCGATAGGCTGTATGGACACATGAGCCCGGAACACCTTGCGGAGGAGATGAGGGTACTGGCAGGGGAGGTCGTCGCGTTCCGAAGGGGAAGCGCCTCACAGCAATTGTCGTCCGGGATGTTGAACGATCTTCGCGGTGCGCTGGAGGGGATTAAGCTGTACATCATTCACTGCAAGGACGACGCGCAGGGGGCGTATACCGAGCCCATGCCACAGGTGATCGCCAGGCAGGTCCGTGCGCTTGTGGACGCACAGGAGCTCGGGCTGGAGGTGATTGCGGTCGAGCAGGGGATGCATATATGTGCGTGTTGCGCTTGAGAGATAGATTATGCCTCGCTGATTCTTGTTTCAGCCATCTGAGATAAACAATCCGTCCGAGCATATATACTGGACAATTCGCCCTCATATTCCGTTCCTGCCGTCCAAACCGGCAGAGCGTTACGTATTTATCTTGTAAGCCTAACCCCACTCTCACAGCCTGCACAGATTTATTTTTCCATGGGAAACCTGATGAAAAAATGGTGAAAATATCTTAAGTCTGGATATGGAAATAGTTTGGAAATCGGGCGGAGACAATTGAATTATGTTACAATTGCATCACCGAAACATATCGGTATCACATATTTTTGGACTGAAATATCTTCCTTTGGGAAATAGTTTCACTATTGCTGATACATTTCGGTAAAACAATCGTAACATAATTTAATTGTCTCCGCCCAATTTCCAAACTGTTTCCATATCCAGACATAAGATATTTTCACCATTTTTGCATCAGGTTTCCCGTGGAAAAATAAATCTATGCAGGCTGTGTCTATATGTAGCATAGTACGTCTTCCAGAGTGTAGCATTCGTCCTCATTGCCTGATCCCAATACGCTTGTATTTTCCCTTTACGAGGAGCCTTCTTCTAAGGCTTAAAGTTCTTCGTACAGTACAGTACTATAATTACTGCCGTCTCGTGCGCTGAGCCTGTGTACTAGGACACGACGCGCTGGCACTCTAATTTATTCTAAAGGTGTGTCTAAGTATTGCGCACTATATGCGCGTGTCTATAATTCCGGCTATAATCTCATTGAGAGCCCGCCAAGCTCTTGCGAGCCCGGCAACATGTACCCCGTAACAAATCGAGAAGAAATAAGCAATGGTTGTGAACGTACATCCAAAGCCGAGATTGAGGAGGGGGGTTCCGAATCACTATTACACACATGGAAAGGAGACTAGAAGTTCAGATATTCAGAAGAATTCCAGGACCATTGCATCGTCGTGATGATGTTATATTGCGTCCTGGCCAAAACGCATTCAAAACCAGGGGGCAAGCTCCTCGCCGCCGTACGCGGTGTACTCGTCCCAGCCATTGAACCACATCAGGCTGAGGCGACCCTTCGCCGCGAGGAACAGCGGCAGGCAATGCACGACGGTGTCCACAACCTGTGGCATCCATTCCACAGGCGAATGAGCGATGTTCACCACACAGAACGTGACCGCAAGCCACGGCCGCTCGCGCGCAATGCGCTCAAGCTCCACATCGATCTGCTCCCAGTCCGCAAGCGCGACGCAGAGGTGGTCAATCGGGAGAATCGTGACGCTGATGTGACTCAGCCGCCGGTGCACGGGCTGCACGTCCGACAGTGCGGTGCGCAGGCCTGCCCACGGGTGTGACAGTGAGGGGTGCGGCGCGACGTTCGTGATGTGCAGGCTCGTGAGGTTCGGGTTGTGCGCGAGAAGGCCCGGGCTCAAGGACGCGTGGAAGCCCTGCCAGACGGAGAGCACGAGCGACTCGAGGTGCGTGCCGGCGGCCTCGAGAAGTGACTGTACGTACCCGGTGCTCACCGGGTCCTGCGCCTTGGTGGCGAGCCCGAGCTTGGAGAGGCGCAACTCGAGCGGCCCGTGAATGAGCCAGTCGGCAAAGGCCGTTGGAGGCGTCTTCCAGTAAAGTGTCTTGAGCGTGATGGGGCGTGCTGGAACGACGGGCTGCAGGTGGGCGGACAGGCCATCTGGGCAGATCGTCACGCCGGAGAGGTACAAAGCCTGTAGTTTAGGACATGCACAGATGATGGTCTGCATGTCGCGCTCTTTGTACTCTACCGACGTCAGCCGCATGGTCACGGTGTTAGCATAGTGCTCCTTCAATGCCTCGCAAAGCCCGGCGTCACTCCAGCGCTCGACGCTGAGGTCCTCCACGGAATCGAGATGCGTCAGGATCTGGGGCAGCTCGAGATGCGATGGGCGGCCGCACTCGTTCCAAGGCTTGACGAGGGCGAGCTTGCGGACGTAACGTCCGATGTAGGGGGACTGCTGGACGAGCTCTTGGAAACGCGAGCCTTGCGCGGAGCCCGAGAGGGTGACCGCGTGGAAGAGATGTGACCGGGCAGTCGGGAGCCATGCGCGGCAGACGAGACTGCATGTGGCGAGGGCCCGCCGGTCATCTACGAGGCAATCTAGGATGCAGTCATGTAGTTCAAGAGGCAGTCTCGGTATTGCGACCGTCATTGCCGGTGGTCTGCACGGAGGTCAGTGGCGTTGCTGATTATCTGCAAAGTCGAGGCGGCGCACACAAGCTAGATCTGCTGCGACGGGGTATAGAGGAGCGTTGCTCGTCGGCGTATACGTGGTGCGCGGGCGATGGTGACAGTGAGCGAGATGGCGATGAGAAGGAGAATTTATGTGGATGGCACTGAACTTGGATATAGAGCTGTGCAGCACGTGAGTGCAATCCGCGACAAAGCGGCGAACTGAGCTCGAACGCGGCACCCAGATGAGCCCACACACGGCCCCGTCCTTTCTCGAAGCCAACTTCTCGCAGAGACATCCCCCGAAAAGCATTGCCGTCTCCGTCTCTAGCAACGCATGCACACTGCCTGCAAGCAACCGCGAAGCCACTATCGGGCCGCACCAGTCTGTGCTAGTCTGCTGCTCTGCGCGGCTCGCTCATTTCGAGAGGTATTGAATGCGAGAAGTCGCCAGAAACATGAACCTCCCGCTGCGTGAGATGGAGCTCGAGTTCCGCCACGAAGGCGAAGAGGGCGATCGGAAGAGATTGTCAGGCAGCAGGGACGCCGATACGCAGCTATTATACTCGCACGCGTCAGCTGCCCATCAGCGGTGCAGTCACCCGACCATCCCATCAGGCGCGCAGCCATTTGCATGCAACGAATGAGGAAGGAAAATGTTGTCATTAGGCCGTAGCGGGTATGTAGGAACCATAAATCAGACAGCGAATATTACAGACCAAACTTCCGAACGCGACGAACACCGCGTGCCAACTCCCCCGAGCGCGACTGAACGATGCATTGTGAGCTTGCAAACAACACGACAAAACTGTGCGAATGAGAGACAACGGCGAAACAACAGGTATCGGATTACGACGAAGCATACAACTTGACCACACCGTCCGCGCCCGCGCTCGCCATGATTGGTAGCGTCGGGTGGAACTCGACATCCAGCACGCCCTCGCGCGCCTTTTCTCGGTGGCTCGTGATCTCCTGCACGCATGCCTTGGAGCCCAAGATATCCCAAAAGCGCACCGAGCAGTCATGGCTCCCCGACACCAGCGAAAAGCCCGCTGCATCGATCGACAGCGATGTCACACCATCCAAGTGGGCCAGCATCGAATGCGTGCATTGTCCTACGAGAGCGGTGTGCGATATGAGTACGTGCCCAAAGCAGCCGCCAAAGAGGGCAACTCGCCTGTCAAGATGTCGAAGATCCGGATGTGCTTGTCCTCGTGTCCGGTAATGAGCAGCGGCATCGTGGGGTGCGATACGATGCTGTTCGCTTGTGCGGACACCACACCTTCTATAGAATGCCAACGTTAATGTCTTCTACGCGAGGCTATCGATCTGCATCACACGCACCCTCAGCAGGTTCAGTCTGCAGTCGCATCAGCTCCTTCCCGTTCTCAACGTCAAAGATCTTAACCACCGCATTCTGGTAGGCCACCGCGACCTTCTTGAGATCAGTCTTGATCGCCTCCACCGCGCTCGCCCCGGGCGCCTCCCCCGTACTGGGTGTCTCGCCCTGTGCCTCTAACCCGTCATACCCCCACGTCAGCCTCAACGATCCACCGCCCGATGGCCCGCTCACATCCCACACCTTCACCGCGCCCTCCGCGCCGCAGCTGATCAGCGTGCTTTCGTCGCGCACGAGCGCGAGATCCCACACCGCGTCCGTGTGCCCGACGAGCTCGCCCCGTGCGCGCGTCGCATCATACGGCGCGTACGTCGTGTGCGATGCGGGCGGTAACGCCCATATCCGGATCGACGAATCCAGCGACGCCGAATAAAGCAGTTGCTTCGACGGCGCATGCACGAGGCGCGTTATTGCAGCCGAGTGCCCGCGAAGCGTGAGCTGTGGCTCGACCTCCGTTGTGGGCCGCGAGCTACATCAAAGTAAACCGGAACATGAGTGATCGCATCAGTGAGATGATCACGAACAACAGCGAGGCCGGAACAAGAAGGGACGCACGCAGACGACGCAAGGCCGGTGACGTCGACCCGCCAGATCTTCACTGTGTTGTCGTCTCCGCCCGTGGCAAGGCACAGCTCGGAAGGGTGGAACGCGAGCGCACGCACAGCGTCCAGGTGACTATGAGAGATGTCAGCACAGTGTCCGTGACAGGCCGTCCGGGATCGAGACTAGCTCAAACTAACTTCCGCAGCGTTCGTTTCGCCTTCCACACCTTCGCGCCCTCGCCCTCGCCAATCACACTCGACTCCTCGTCCTCCACATCCGGCTCCTCCTCCTTCCCTTCATCATCCTCGTCACGATTCCGTCGCTCCCATGATGCAGCCCCGCTGATCGGAACGCCTGTTGACCCGGACTGCTCACCCCTTGCCTGCTCCGCCGCCTCATGTGACAGCCGCAGCTTCTCTCTCCAGTCCTCGCCCGGACGGAAGATTGCAGTCGCGAGCTGCTGAGGCTCACCGTCAGCCTCCTTCTCCTTGCTCTCTCCGGCTTGCATAGACAGCTGCCCCATCTGTGACTGCTGTCCGGTCTGGCTTTGCTGCTGCTGTATTTGTTGGCTCAGCGGAGTAGGAGCGCCCGGTTGTGATCCCATCAGGCTGGCACCCGCCAAGTTGGCTCGCTCCATAGGATTGCTCTGCGGGCCAGCCGGAGCAGATGCAGGACCTGTAGCCATTCCGATGCCATTCAATATGGAAAAGTCCTTGCCCACTTCAGGCATGAGCTTCCGTGGGCGCCCGTTGTACAATTGTTCGAACGGGACATTGGGCATTTGGAGAGGGAGCGTGGTGTTGTTCAGAAGAGGACGATTAGGTAGAGGGTTTGCGGCTTGCGGAGAAGTTAGATATGACACCTCTTGTAGACATCTGGGGGCCACAGAGTCAGTGAAATGAGATACACAGCAAGTATGCAACACGCACTGCTTCAAATAGTCCCTACTTCGCGCTCTGCTCTTCGGATCGCGTCCGGGAGGGGGCCTTCCCATCGTCCCGAGTGCTGCTGGGCCAGTACCATTAGGAATGGACGACACACTGCCTATCCAGTTCTGAGTCCTACTTGAGGGAGCTCCAGCCGCAGCACCGTTGACTGAGCTAGTGGACATGCGATCTGGTGGCAGCGGAGAGTCTGTAAGGGGGATACGATCAGTGTATGCGTGCGGATTCCGAGCGGACACACGCACCTTCGCTGCGAGGCGAACTGCCGCTGCTTCCCTCCTTATGACTGTAAGCATCATCTTTTTGTGAGGTCTGGCCCAAGTGGGCTTGCAACGTCGCGAGTTTCGCGCTCGGTACCGCCTGGGAAGTTGGCTGGGCGAGCTGTTTCGAGCTGCATGGAGACACGTCAGGAAGCGGACAAGCATCGGAGACAGGGCGCGCACCGCTCGACACGGAGGGCGTATTCCAGCATTTTGATACGGCGCATGAGATCGAGCTTGACATTGTCGAACGAGCGCCGCTCGCCCTCCAGCAGGGCTATCCGTGCCTGACATCGGGCCCGCCTGAGCGCATGCGCACGGACGGCGAAGGAAGAACTGCGACGCACCCGCATTTCTGCACGCTCAATCTCCCACTCGTTGCGGTCGCGCTCGTAGCGCCGCCATTCTGTCTGCAGGAAGTGGAGGACGTTGGAGAGGGTGAAGTCCTGGCCACTCTGGGGCGGAGGGGGTATCTCGGACTGCTGAGGGCCCTGTTGTTGTTGAGGGAGCGGCTGCTGCTGCTGTTGCTGTGGAGGCTGATTCTGGAGTGGACCTCGGTTGGGCGGAGGACCCAGCGGACCGAGCATGGGGAGCTGGATAGTGTTCTGGAGAGGTTGAGTTGGCGGCGGGTGGGAGGGAGTGCAGTTGATTCGTGAAGTCGCGTTGATCATCCCGCCGCCTGTTTGGTACAAACAACTTCCTGAGTCCTCGCTCTTCCCGTGCCGTCACTTGCCCTCAGCTCGCACTTGTCGATTTTATGAAGTTGCCAAATGTTACGGCGTAAGGCGAAACGAACGAGGGGAGGGCAACAAGTGACCACTCGGCGAGCAAGAAAAGCTACTACACGGAAATGAACACGACACTCTTCCGCTGCCTCGAGGCTCGCAATGTCTCTAATTTACGTAATTGATCTGGGCCTGATATTTGCTGTAAGGAGACAGAAAACTTGACCACTTCTTCCATCAACGACTGCACGAGTGGTGCAAATAGGCTTCAGAGTACACGGTGGTGACAAAATACCTGCGCAAACGCCCCACGTCGGCAAACACGTACAGAGATCAGGGCAGACTTTTCTGGAGCGGACGCTCCATCAAGTTTCTTCTTTTTCAGAGTTGAAACAGACGGCCGAGTCAGCATGAAACGATGCACTTCGGTGATCGCTATGGTGAGGCTCTGGCTCATAATGGCTCAAGGCTGGAGGAAGGCACTCGCAGGGGGTTTCTCCAACCAAAAACTCGCCTTCCAACACATTTGAACATCCATTGGGTGAAATTGCCGCTACTATGGCATACTTCAAGCCAAGTCAGGGCCCGTGCGGTTCGTGCTGGTGCGTACGGTATCAGGCCGTGACGCAGGGAACCCTCAAGAAAACAGTGCTTTCAAAGTGTTCAACGTATGGTTTTATAGGAACAACTATGTTGGTAAGTATGTCTCGCCCTTAAGAATTTGCTGTAGAATGGCGCGGGTCAAAGTTGGGGGCGGCTCGGGAGATGCGCTCTTCAGTACCACATGAAACTCTGTCTGTATAGTCACAAAGATTGCGGCATTGCCAGGTGTCTGGTGCGAGTGGGCTCGCCTTTAGAGGGTCGTATCTGGCGATTCGAAACGACGTTGAGTCGCGGAGCGTGTATCATCACGGAGTCAAGGAGATCAACATCCTACGGTTGACACTGCCAGCTACTCAACCCGAAGTCATATCGCTACAAGTCTGCCACACGTTTCGATGCGCACGACTCCGGTGTGGTGGCCAGTCAAACGCGGCCGGTAATACTTCGCTTTCCAATCAAGAGTGAATCATGAAGTATATTTTCTTGTAGTTGAGAACCCATCCAGGATATCAAGGCTTCGTGGTCCTCCATGATCACTGATTGCACGGATTGACTGCCTTGCAATCCTTTTGTAAAAACTTCCTGTGATGCTAGGCGAAGCCTGCTGCATCGCCATGGGGTCTGTGACTCTGTGGTAGTATGAGAGAATGGGTTGGGCCTCCATGGCAGAGGTGATGAGGAAGATATCTAGGCCTATCATGATGATGGGGAAGCATAGCTGCCAGCAAGCCTGGGAGAGCACTCTATGCAGAAACACAATGGTTTCAGTTTCACAAAAGGCAGAACTTAAAATAGTTTTCAATATTTCGCGTGCTTTTCCACAAATGCAGAGTCTGCATGTTGGGTTGATCACGAGACCGCGAATAGATGCGACTTGCGTGAGCTTGCGTGGACATGCTTGACCACGAGTTGCAGCATCACCTTTCGCCTATCCAACAGCACTCTTCCACGACCACCATAGCCTGGGCGATTCCTCAACGTCATACGCTACGACTGCAGAATAACGTCTCCCGCCGGAGTAGATGCGCCCGCGATCGTGACACGTACGACTGAACGAGTTACCGTGGATTTACCGAAAGCGATCGCCAGAACCATCTTCGCTCTTTCACTCGGTAATAAAGACCACAAGACTCTGGAGTCCCTCCACTACATATAGCTCTCTGTCTTGAGGAGGCTGGTACTTCAGGCCTCGTTGTGACTTTCACCGCTGGTCTTCTGGCACCACATCTGCGATGAATCCTGCCTACCTTGGAATGCCCCATACGGGGTCTGTGTCGATGAAACACATCCTTCTCTCCGAGATCCTCTCTGTCACTTCGGTGATGCGCAAGAACTCCCGCTGGGCACTCTCCACCCACTCGCACACCACGCGCGAATCCGTGCTCGCAAGCAGCCTTGGACTACGGCGCATGAGGCATTATGCAGAGAGCAACTCGATGCGCCGTGGAACCACCGAGCAGGAGCTCATGGCGGGCTTCCAGGATCTCAAGCGCGTCGTAAAGGACGCAGATGGTATGGCCGATCCAATTCCCATCGTCCTCCTGGGCTGAACAGGCGGCGTTGCAGATGTACGATTACTTCCACTAACCACACTGCTGTCGCCCTTCTCTGCAATAATCCGATCGCCGCTCTCCACCGGGCCCATCACCTCGACCGCCCTGTCCTCCCTACACAGCCTTTTCGTATGCGGCCTGATCGACCCGGCATCCGACGCGCTACAGCCTGCACTCGCCGAACTCAGCAATGCAATATCGCGCTGCAAGTTCGAGACGAGCGACTCGTCCGGCGACGAGGTCGTCCTGCTCAAAATCATGGCCGTCATTCAGGACGCGATGTGCGGGCCGGTGGGGGACATGCTCGGAGACGTGGAGGTGTGCGAGATGCTGGAGACGGTGTTGACAACGTGTTGCCAGATGCGCCTTAGCGGTAAGCGGCCACTCGTGATTTCGATTGCGTTGACCTCACAGGGGTTTAGAAATCCTACGGCGCTCAGCGGAGGCAACAATGCACGCGTTGGTGAGGACGGTGTGTTCGCGACTGCATGTACTCGACCCTGCCGAGGAGGAAGCCAAGCTGGCGGACAACGGCTATGATGCGGAAGAACAGGACGGGAAGATGAACGTGGCATCGAAGTTAACTGAAGGTGGCCATGATGCTGATACCACAGAGATTGCAGTGGGGCCTGCAAGTCCGACGCTTGCACGACCACAATGTATGCTCCTACTAGCCAATAAATCAGCTGAGAAACGCTCACGGTAATTACATTCAGATGGCCTCGCGTCGATTGTTGAGCTGTTGCGTGTCGTCATCAATGTCCTGGACCCCAACGACCAAATGCACACCGACTCAATCAGAATCACCGCTCTTCGGATCCTCAACGTCCTCTTCGAGTCGTCCGGCAGCCGGATCTGCGAGTTCCCGTCTCTTTCGGCGCTCGTCGTCGACCAAGGCTGCAAGTTCGTCTTCCAGCTCGCACGGTCGGAAAATCAGCTCGTGCTGCAGACGACGCTGCGCGCGATCGCGACGATGTTCGAGACGATGCGACCGAAACTAAAACTGCAGCAGGAGCTCTACCTCGCATTCACCATCGACCGACTCGCTCCGCCGCCGCCTACAAGGGCACATTCGGGACTGGGAAGAAAGTCGGCGTCGGCGTCGCCGCGCCCGTCGACACCTGCCGAGTTGGACTCGGAGAAGGCGCCGGCGACGCCGCGGCTGCTGGTTGCGCCTGCACGGGGCGACACGCGTGAGCTGCTGCTCGAGACGTTAAGCCAGATCTCGCGGCATCCGAGCTTCATGGTAGATTTATACGTCAACTATGACTGCGACATGAATTGCGAGAACATGTTTGAACGACTGATCGAGTTCGCCACCAAGGTACGTCCGTGAGTTCGAGACAATTTTAAAACTCCTTATTTGGTCCAGGGCATATACCCGGTCGAAGGAATGAACGGACACGAAGCGCGGCTGCAGAATGCACAGGACCTCTGTCTAGATCTTATCCTGGCATTCGTGAACCACATGGCCTCTCGCGCCGAAGGTGTTGGTATTCCAACCGCTCTGTCGTCTACGAAAGATCTCACGCTCAAAGTTTATCCAGAATAGCGACGCCTGGCCACCTGTATGTGCTCCGCATTGCTGAGTGCTGTGAGGTGCTGACAAGCCCGGACAGAACTTCACGCGCCCGGAAGAACTGCTGGCAATGAAATCGCGCAAAAAACTGGTGCTGACGGGTATGGCGCGCTTCAACGCGAAGCCAAAGACGGGGCTATCGTTCTTGGAGGAGAACCGACTGATCTACACGGACCCGGCCGAGCCACGGCCGATCAGCCTCGCGAAGTTCCTGAAGAACTCGGCGCGCATCGACAAGCGGCTGCTTGGCGACTTTCTGTCCAAGCCGGAGAGCATCGACGTGCTGAAGGCATTCATGAGCCTGTTCGACTTCCAGGATGTGAGCGCGCCCGTGTTTGGTATCAAGACCGCTGCTGATGAAATAAATCATTTTCGCAGAAATCCGTGGCCGATGCAATGCGAGAGTTGTTAGAGACCTTCCGCCTGCCGGGAGAGTCACAGCAGATCAACAGGATCACAGAGACCTTTGCGGAGGTGTACTTCGCGGCAGAACCAGGTACGCCGTGCGATTCTCGCTGACTGTGTGGTGTCTAACACGTGGGGCTTCAGCTGAGGTCAAGTCCCAAGATGCCGTCTATGTACTGGCGTACTCGATCATCTTGCTCAATACAGACCTGCACAACCCACAAATAACGGTACGTTCGCGATGCCTTCGTCTTTCAAATCCGCTGAAATGGCTCGTTGCAGAAAAGAATGACGATCGACGATTACAAGCGCAACCTGAAGGGCGTGAATGATGGCTCGGACTTTTCATCGGAATATTTGGTGTGTGTTGTTAGTGCCAGTAGTCAGCTAGCGTCACTGACCTTGATACTGTGTAGCAAAATATCTATGACTCCATACGTAAGCGGGAGATTATCATGCCCGAAGAACATACCGGTCAAGCTGGGTTTGAGTATGCGTGGAAGGAGTTATTGACACGGTCTCGGCAAACCGGTAAACGTCCCATAATCAAGAAGACGTTTCCGGTTCAGCTAACAGATTTTTTATGCTAGGCGAGCTGATGATGTGCAATACATCTCTGTTTGACATGGACATGTTCAAGACAGTCTGGAGGCCCATTGTGTCAGCCATTGCGTACGCGTTCATCACCTTCGATGATGACTACATCATCGAGCGCGCCATCGCCGGATTCCGACAATGTGCGACGCTTGCGAGACACTTCGGAATGGCAGACGTCTTCGACTACGTCGTTGTGCAGCTGTCTCAGGCGACTGGCCTTATCTCGGAAGTGTCCTTATCACAGGTGCCCAACTGGCCTACAGTTGAGGTGGACGGACAGTCCGTCACGGTTTCGTCGTTGTCAGTGAAGTTTGGGACAAATCTGAAGGGACAGCTTGCGGCAGTGGTACTCTTCAACATCGTCAACGGAAATGGCAATGCTTTGCGCGATGGCTGGATGCAGGTCACTTGTTGTTCGGTCGGTTTGCTTCCCAAAGCGGCACTAACGATTACCTCTGTATAGATATTCGAAATGTTTCAGACGCTATTCCTGCACTCACTGCTTCCTACGCGTATGCTGCAGATGGAAGACTTCCTTGGAGGCGTCTCCATGATCCCTCTACGCCGAAGTCAGCCTGTGCGACAGGCACCGAGATCTGATGGGCTGCTGTCAGCGCTGTCGTCGTACTTGATGACCCCGTACAGCTCTAGTGCGGAGACGCTGGTCCCGGAGGCGACCGAAGCAGATATAGAGAACACCCTCTGCACGATCGACTGCATCACGTCGTGCAGACTGGACGAGCTATACAGTCAGATAACGTGAGCAAAGTAGCGACATCTACGAATGCATCTGATGGCGTTTCTCAGGTCGTTGGACTCGGAAGCGTTAGTATCTGCGACCCGTGCACTGGAAGCACTCGCACATGAACGCACCGTCGCGCGACTCAAGCAGGAGTCTGATGACGTGCCGTCGGGGTCGAGCACGCCTGAAGGACCCTACACGCTGCCATATGACCCTGCTTCTGTATTCCTGTTGGAGACGATGATTAGTGTTGCGTGTCAGACGTCGCAATATATTGATGACATCTGGTACGATCGCAACAATTCGTTGAAGCTTACGTTTTCTGATGTCATTTTAAGGCCAGTGCTATTCGAACATATATCTGTCCTGCTGTCAACACCGACACAGTACTCGATTCTTCTCATTGAACGAGCTGTCGTAGGATTGCTTCGACTGTGTTATATATTGGCAGGAAAGGTGGGTGCTGGTATGGATCGGTTTGTCTGAAGTGCTCACGAAGCTGCAGCCGTCGCTCCGAGATCAAGTATTCGTTTCCTTTGACCTTCTCGCAAGCCTCCCAGCATCTGTGGCGAGCGCTGTCGCCGAGCAAGTGATGATAGGTCTGTCAAGGATTGTACAGGACTACAAGGACATCATCCACTCCCAAACGGAGTGGAATCTCTTCTTTGCTCTCATTCGTGTGACAATACCGCACTCAGAGGCTTCTCGCCAGTCATTCGAGCTCATCACTGCACTTGCTGCTGACGGTCCAGAGCAGCGTGTCACGTCAGACAACTTTCAGGGCCTCGTAGTCGTGCTAGATGAGTACGCTACTGCAGCAAGCATCGCGGTTGATGCTCAACAACAAGGCCGTCGAACGCAGGCGCTGAACGCTTCCAAGTAAGCTGTGAACAGCTCGAGCCAAGAACGTGTTTAACCGTGCACTGTAGCTCACCGATAGTGGATCGGGGCAAGAAGGCCGTGGACGTGTTGGCCGATCTCAAGAAATTCTGGGCACAGTTCAGTGAAACACCTGGCATATCGCACGACCAAAGTAAGGGAGCGTGCTTCGTTTCAAGCGCATCTGAGACCTTTTATCTCGCAGTTTGGCGGAATTACTGCCTGCCATTGGTCACATCGCTTGGACGGCAGTCAACAAACGTTTCGCGCGAGATCAGACACTCCGCATTGGTACACCTGCAGCGCATCCTTTTGGGACCGTATCTCCCGCTCGACCACGCTGATCACACCCAAGTTGAGGAGCTTTTCAATCGGGTCATTTTTCCTCTGTTAGATGAGCTGTTGAAGCCGCAGGTGCTGATGCGCGACCCACTCAGCCTCCCTGAGACTCGTCTGCGTGCATCTGCACTGCTATGCAAAGCATTCATGCATCTGGAGGCGCGTGAAGGGCAACAGGCCGACATCCGCGTGCTGTGGATTGAGGTGCTGGACCTCTTGGATCGGCTCATGCATGTTGATAGGCGAGATCAATTGGTACGTTGGTACATCCATCGATCTCGACTCGCTGCGCTGACGCGTCCTACAGCATGAAGCCATTCCAGAATCACTCAAGAACATCATACTCGTTATGAACGCCACTGGTCTGTTGGTACCGCCTTTGGAGCCTGACGAGCGAAATGAACGGCAGAAATCCCTGTGGGCGGCCACTCAGGAGAGAGTCGAGCGTTTCCTGCCAGGATTCTTGATGGAAATACTCTCCGCACCCACATCCCCGCGGACACGTCCGCTTTCACAAATCTTGCAATCAGCCGGCGCATCGGTGCCCGCATCACCTGTCCCCTCGTAGGACTCCGTATATCCCTTCGCATCGTTCTCGAGTGTCATCGCGTATTGATGAATACCCGCATTGTCACATTTGATGGACACTGGCCCCATCGTGTACACCAATTTGACTACGCACGGAAGCAAACAGCAGGATCAAAGGATATGGTGGAAGAACAACTGCCCATAGCATTAGTCCCATCGTGGGCGACCGAGGGAGATATTACAGTGCAGATTACAGAACGAGAGCATCCGACACGGGCATACACCAATGAAGCAAATAGCAAATAGCTGAACAGCCAAATAGAAAATAGGCAATAGTGGGACGTGAGGGATTAAGAGAAGCAGCTTGATCAACCGAGGCTCTGCAAATACGAAAGAAAAATCAGAGACGGAGATTGAGACAGACGGCATTGAGACACAGGACGTATCCTTATTGTTGATGTTATTATTGATGAGTCGATCATGCACGCTTCATCATTTTTCATCGCCACTCATTAGGATTAATCGTCACGGTGAGTGCTGTGGCCCCACAAATTTTGGAGAGAGAAACACGCTACGATTCCTGCAAGTCCCGCACATTGGGATGATTAGGACTAGATGTTGGGCTAGCTGCCCTCCGCTTTTAGCTTGTCGACCAGCTCGAGAACAGCCTCCTCGTCGAATTGCGGACGCTTGATCTCGTAGCCGACAATGCGCTTGAGTTTTACGACATTGAACGCGACAACGTGGCGCCGAAGATTGTACACATCCGTATATGCAGTGAAGTGCATGAGGCCTGAGGCCTGCCCGCTCGTACACGCAAACCTCGAGTATACTGACTAGATTGAACAGCAGTGCGACAACCTTCATATCCGGAGAAACAAGAGCTTCATCAACAGCAAACCATTGCTGACGAGCTTACCCTCAACAGCTCTCCAAGATATCAACACAGCGCATAGCTTAAGCAAGGCCGCCATGTATCTTTATCCTTAGCAGCCTTCAGAGTAGCATCCTCCTACTTCTATTCCTCCTTGAAGGCCAAATCATCCTCATCAAGCTCTGTCTTGTCCTTCTTTGGAGCCTAACGCGCCCCGTAGCGACATCAACACCATACCTTTCACTTGCCGTGCACTTATGCTCGCCTTGAGAGGCTTTGCCTTGCCACTTGCCACATGACGATCTTCCCCATATCAGTCACGTGCCGATTTTCCCACGTCGCACCTTCCGGTCAACCACCCCTCCACAGTGGCCCCTCCATGCCGTCGACGTCGCTCGAAGCAACACCCGAAGATAAGGTGTCGACCACGTCTACCAATTTGTGAGCCACGTCTGCCTCAATACCATATAAACGTTCGAACGATGGTGCTTCCGGATCGTCTGTAAAACGTTCAAAGACTCGCGACTCGTATTTCATGGAGGAGGCTGTGAATGCAGCAAAAGAAGTGAAGAATATGTTGCCCAAGGCTGCGGAAGCAATAGAGGTCATAATTAAAGAGCCCAAGATACACATCCGCGTCGAAGTCACAACTCACGCGGGGCAGCCATCAACGCGCCTGGTCATCCCAATTCCACGCACATGGACGGTGGGCCAGTTTACCAAGGAGATTGCACGCCGGAGGCGCACGCGCGAAGAGACGTTATCTCTTCATCTCTCTGACGGGTCTCAGCTCTCTCCTGAGGATCTCATGAAGGATCTCATCGACATCGCAGAAGTCTTTCATGTGAGAAACACAGCACAAGAGGAATCACCTTCCGACGTTGGGCCTTATCAGTGGCCGGCACAGAATCAGGATATCTTGTTGTTGTGGCAACAAGCAGTGGACCTGGCTCTCGAGCGGAAGATGGACTGGAACGAGGCACAGCGTGGGTTTCTCGGTGCCCGTCTGAAGATACCGGATAACATTGGGAAAGAAAAGGGTGAGTGTTTCCCCTCCTTTGCCTGGCTCAACCTTGACCCAGGCGTAGAGATGCTTTTAATCAGTTACAACATTCAATATGCTGAATTCAGCGATTTATACAAAAAAGTCTTGGACGCTCTCTCATCGCCTTCCGAGTTCGCAAAGCCGTCGGTGTGGCCAAATGAACAACGCAAGAAATCCCATCTGCTGTGTCTTCGCCCGGCGGGCGCCAAGGGGCTTCCGTTGTGCACACTGCACGATATCTTCCGCCGGTTCATGCTCGCGATCAAAGAACCACTCCCTGAGCTGTCTGGTCCCGCTGTCCGTGCTGCTGCATTGTTGTGCGACCAGATGGGAGAGCCATATCAAAGTGAGAAGGACCGTTCATCGGCATTGGATAATTGTATTTCCGAGCTATTCTCGAGCTGGGAAAAGGAATATCAACTGAAACCACGCTCGGAAGCACATGGTGGATTAGTGGATCGTGTGATGCTGGGGGAGGGATGTCTACCAATCTGCTTGCGCGAGGACAAGCTGGAACCAGGGTCAGGAAATTGCGATGTGTACATGCAAATAGCGCGCGATTATGACCTTGCGATCAAAACGTTACGCGACGAGCCAACCGGGTCTGGATCGAGATTCCTGCAGCTGGGCGCACCAATGTTCCTGGTGTGCATGCTAGGTATGTGTATCTTTGATGACCGTTCACATCCAAGCACGGGCATCTCACGATCGACTGACAGGACCTCTGCTTTTCGTATTGGGAGGCTTTCATGACGGTCAGAGTGTAATCGTGGAACCACTCGGCGATCCGTTCTTCATGTTAGAGGATACTACAGACTCACGACAGCGGAACCTTGCCAAGCTACTTGACGCACTATGCAAAAGCATGTCCGACCTCGAAAGGTACGTGCCACGCGTCGGCTTTATCGTTGTCATCTCAAATTTTCTTGCAGTTTGCTGAAGCAAATGGCGTCACCTACAACATACCCTGCCTCAACTCCTCGGATCTATGGATCGTGCGTGTTGTATGACACGTCAGAAGGCATCACGGAGGGCAACCTCACGTTCCAATATCAGCTCTCCTTTGAACATCACAAGCACTCGTTCTTTGCTGCCACGTTGTCTTTGCCGGAGCGTTCTCAGATTCCGGTGCTCGTGAAGCTGGTGAACGAACCCTACGGAGAAGATGTCCACCGTCTGTTGGCGTCCAACAATCTCGCACCTACCCTTTACGGCTGTGCACGTCGTGAAGGAGCGCCCACCGCGTATGTTATGGAGCGTCTTTCTTCTTCCTGGGTGACACTGTTCAAATTCTCCCACCACGAATTCGCTGGCTCGTTTGGAGACGCCATCCGGTGCTCCTTGGACTGTCTACTCAAGCTTTTGGAGGGTAACAGCGTTGTGCATGGTGACCTAAGGTCAAATAATATCATGTTACAAGTCGACGGCCATGGCAAGCCAGTTGTCCTGTTGAATGGTTCGGCGAAGATCAACGTGATCGATTATGACTGGTCGGGGACTGCTGGGTGGGTGCGCTATCCCGCGCTGCGCAATCCGACGATCAAAGACATCACCTGGCCCGGTGAGCCTGGTGGTATCATAGAGCCTGGGCATGATCGCAAGCTGGTTGACTCGTGGTGGCATCATTGGCTGGGACGTGGCTCGAATTGATCCTGGAAATGTCTTCTCCCGTGCAGTCGTCAGTGACTGCGTCCCTGGACGGAACGTTTACAGCATAGCCTTTCCTTTTACCAATCCGTTCTCAACGCATGCGATTGACACTCGCCCCTCGGCTCGGGTTGATGCCGCGTGCGTTGAATTCTCTACACCTGCTATTGCGATAGTACTGAATGCCACGACTTGCTTACATGAATGATAAAGCAGATCATAGAGTCAAATCGTCCCTCGGAGCTGCGCAGCGAAGTCTGCGCCTGTGATATATGTGAGGTTTGTATCATTATTGGTGAGTATTTTTGGCCATAAGTGCTGATGCGCGACCCACTCAGCCTTCCTGAGACTTGTCTGCATGCATCTGCACTGCTATACAAAGCATTCATGCATCTGGAGGCACGTGAAGAGCAGCAGGCCGACATCCGCGTGTTGTGGATCGAAGTGCTCGACCTCTTCGATTAGCTCATGCCTGTTGATATGCGAGATCAATTGGTACGTTGGTACATCCATCGATCGCAGCTCGCTGCGCTGACGCGTCCTACAGCATGAAGCCATTCCAGAGTCACTCAAGAACATCATACTCGTTATGAACGCCACAGGTCTGTTGGTACCGCCTTTGGAGCCTGACGAGCGAAATGAACGGCAGAAATCCCTGTGGGTGGCCACTCAGGAGAGAATCGAGCGTTTCCTACCAGGATTCCTGATAGAAGTACTCTCCGCGCCCACATCCCCGCGGACACGTCCGCTTTCACAGATCTTGCAATCAGCCGGCGCATCGGTGCCCGCATCACCTGTGCCCTCGTAGGACTCCGTATATCCCTTCGCATCGTTCTCGAGCGTCATCGCGTATTCATGGATACCCGCATTGTCTCCTTTGATGGATACTGGTTGCAATCCATTGATCTTCATCGTGTACACCAATCTGACTACGCACGGAAGCAAAACGGCAGGATCAAAGCCATTTCAAATGTGGATATAATGGAAGAACAACAGCCCATAGCATTAGTCCCATCATGGGCGATCGAGGAAGATATTACAGTGCAGATTACAGAACGAGAGCATCCGACACGGGCATACACTACTGAAGCAAATAGCAAATAGCTGAACATCCATATAGAAAATACGCAATAGTGGGATGTGAGGGATTAAGAGAAGCAGCTCAACCGAGGCTCTGCAAATACGAAAGAAAATGAGAGATGGAGATTGAGACAGACGGTAGTGAGACACAGGACATATCCTTATTGTTGATGTTATTATTGATCCATGCATGCTTCATCATCCTTCGTCGCCGTTCATTAAGATTAATCGTCACGGTGAGTGCTGCGGCCCCGCAAATCTGGGAGAAAGCACGCTCCGTTTTCTGCAAGTCCCGCACGTTGGAGTTAGGACTCGATGTTGGGCCAGCTGCCCTCCGCTTTTAGCTTGTCGACCAGCTCGAGAACAGCCTTCTCGTCGAATTGCGGACGCTTGATCTCGTAACCGACAATGCGCTTGAGTTTCGCATTATTGAACGCGACAACGTGGCGCCGAAGATTGTACACATCCGTATATGCAGTGAAGTGCGTGTTGGGCACAGGGGGGTTTGACTCGGTTATCATCTTCGTCCATGTTGAGACGTGCTCCTCATTAATGTCTTCGACGACGTCTTCCAGCTTGAACTGCCAGGACGTAAAGTTAATGGACGTACTATAAGTGTGAAGGGATCGGAACAGACCTTTGCCGCAAGATTAGTCATAAGATTGAAGAACTCAAATGTCGTTCCGAATGCAGAGGCGATCCTGTTCCCGAGATCAACCATTTGCAATTGCCCATCGTCCTCCTGGACACCAAAGCGTGGGCCATCAGCTCTCCCGTTCGTACATGAAACCCTCGCATATACTGACCAGATTGAACAGCGGTGCGACAACCTTCATATCCGGAGCAATAACGCCGTCAATGTCCGCCTTACTCTTGTCGTTCTTGAACGGAAGCTCCTCCCCTGCAAGCGCATCCGCCTCCTTGCGACCACCAACACGGTCCATCCACTCCGCGCATGCCCAGAACGCCCCAGCAACGTCCGTCGCGTGAATAGTGTGCGTCGGATGCTTGCCTGGGGACCATCTACATGGAAAGAGCGCATTGTATGTGTGAGTATTAATAACGTTGCGGTGGTAAGGGTGCGTAACGAGAGTTGTAGGATAAGAGGAAATCGGTAGCGAGGAGAATGATGGAGGGCGGACTTACAGAGCTTTGAGGGGCTGTTTCAGATAGCCATACACAGCGCCCATCGTGATATATGTCATGATCGCTGTCACAAAACAAGAAGGTTGCACACGAAATCAGCGCACACACACTGAAACGGAAATGCGGAGTACCCACGTCCATAGTCGATGTATGGGCCATACACGAGTGCTTTTCGAACGATCACCAGGTTCAGCCTGTTCATTAAATACAGCGACAACGCGCATATATGCAGGCACGTCAGTTTCAGTGCTCTCCTCTCCGCCTCCAGCACACTGGCCAAGCGCCACTGCCCGCACCACAGACCACTCACCCGTCAATCGCACCAAGCGTTCTGAGCGTCTCGTGCCACCACGTCCCAAGCACACCATCCGGCTTCACGTCCTCCTTTTCGTCATGCGTACCCTTCTCCTTGCATTCGTAGAACGGGAGCATCATGCGCACGTACGCGGCAACGCCGCGGCGGGCAGCCTCGGTGCCAATGTGACGCGCAACGCGCAACGTATTGTTAATCTGCACCGCCTCGGGACGATCCCATTGGATCTCACCGGTGAGGTCAAACACGTAAGCGTAGGGTTCCTGGCCCTCGGGTGGGTCGAAGCACGCATGGACGGCCGCTAAGTTCGCAAGTCAGTCCCAGAGCGTATAAACCAGGTCCGTGTGCGGCCGAGAACACGCACAAGGAATAGTGAGGTTGGCCTGCCTGTATGTGACATTGGGTTTCGCAAGCACTTTGGTAAACTCTGCGCCGAGATATCTGGATACGAGTCAGCCGCGCCAAGCGTTTATCCTTAAAGAGTGTGCGTACGTTGTTGGCGGCGACACGGAGTATTTATCGACTATGCAAAGATTCTGCAAGCTGGTAAGTATATGCTCCAAACATTGAGCCCACACGAAGAGCACACCCCAACGAGAGAGTCGCCATCTGGAGGAACTAGGTACGCTGCGAGTGCACGAGAGCAGGTATTGAGACCACCTGGGAGCCATGCGCGCAACACGCGTGATTAGCGGTGTGAGCGCAAGGGCAGGAGCGACAAGTACCAAAGATGATTGCGTTCTTCTTGGCCATTCGCAAACAAGCTCAGCCTCGGGCAAAGGCTCGGGTAGGAGATCCTGGCAACCGTATGGATGGCAGAATAGGCGACGGCGGGAAGAGTCAACGACAGAGCGGACAGACCAGACGATGAAAAGTGTAAAGCACAGGTAAGAAGTAGACTAGTGCACGAGATGATTTTGAATTGATACGGTATCTAGGGATGGGCAACGGCCTCGGGCGGAGGATGAGCTAGCCACAATAGGCAACAGTCGTTAATGGCGGTCGTAGGCTGTGGATTGCGTGGTGGACGACGACGAGGACGACAAGAACGCGAAAAGTGATGGGCGAAGGGACCGGGGTGCAGAGATTGCTTATATACTGGCGGTCCCCGCAACGACGGTGGCGACGGCGACTGAAAATTCTCTGCAAGTCTTCACATCGCAAGCGCTCGCCAGTCTGCTTCCGTTACCCCTCAGCCAACCCCTACGTTCCGTTCGCTCTCGCCGCTGTATCTGCCTTCTGCCTCACTATATGCGCTCTGTGTCATGTTCAGCAAATTATTATGCTGCTGTCGACCACTTCTGAGGACAACTTCGCCAGTTGAGGCGTCGGTAGCAGTTCATGATAGCTTTCCGAGAAATGTACGCAAAATATTGCAGACCAGATCCCTGTGGAGTTGCCTGTCCCTGCTGACCCATCACCGCCGTGTCCGGAGTAGGTACTGATACGTGAAAATTTCACTGTGCCGTGTTTCGACTGAATGGATCTGTCTTAAGGTTCCCGATAGGTATTCATGCAAAGCTCATACCCAACTTCTCCTGTTGTTCGGAGTACACAGGCTCGGAAATGAGTGCCATGACCCGCTCCTTTGCTGTGTCACTCTCTGGAGACGCTTCACCCAGTTGTTCACTTCGGACTCTAGCCTCTGCTCAACTGTTTTTTTCGCATCATATGTTCTCTTATTGCTGTATGCACCGCATGCGGATCTCTTTGTCTTGGTCCTAGGATTCCTTCAACCTATAGCGAGGTTTATATTTCGAACGCGCCGCATGCAACACCAGTGGCTTTGGGAGCGAATGCCATGCGGGGGAGACATTCCTAGGAAAATTTGCACCGTTTGTAAAACTGGGACATCTTCAGCTGACCTGTGGCAGTGCAGCTAAGTCACGCATCAGCATCAGCATCTTCTCCTAGGTATCAAGAAGTCCTGGTCTTGAGTCATGAAGCTGGCAGCCGGCGGTGGCGGCGCACCGAGTCAAGACTCGCCAATTTCCTGGAGAATGGCTTCGTGCATACAATATCACAGGATCCGCACGTTCTTAGATCCGAGGATCCTACCCAAAGACTGATTGAATTCCATATGGTTTGGTGGTGCGCATCGCGCCATTACACCCATGGTCAATCTGCTCACTCATCACTTACTACCATTCGTCAATATGCGAAAGATGTTGCTACCTGCGCGTCTGATTCAATTGCCGCGCAAGCACTGCGTTCGCCATGTTTGATCCTAGGATCGTGGTATGTGGGTCCTAGTTCGCGGAGTTATTGGCCTTGCAACGTGTCGTGCATTAGTGGGCAGGCGTCCCGCACCAGTTTCGCGAGAGCTCGTAACAAGTTTTCGGCGGTTTTGATCGCCTACCTTTTTTCAAACCCGCTGAGCGCGGCTGTGTTACATGACATACCTCATCGTTCACAGGATGCGGAACAGGTGTTCCTGTTGAGGTGCGCAGTCTTTGCTTACTTGGCTTGAAATGAATATGTATCGGGCAGTAATCTCCCACCACATCCTCAAGCTTCTGTCTCACTCCTTGTGAATCGGGGGGCCTCCAATCTGTCTCCTTTCGTTTACTTTGTCTTAGGCAGCCTAGCTTTTGATCTCAAGTCACAGAAGCATATGAATAGGGTAGCTCCCAGCTGCTCTTTACCATTCGCAGATGCTCGATGGTTAAATGTACATTGCTTCTCGGGTTTGTCAGAATTAAGCTTTCAATACATTGTGATGGCTCGCGAGAAGGTTAACGATCATGCTTACAATACCATTAGGTGAGCATGACGAACGGCGATTGCTATGCATGCGCTTCACGTCGCTCACCCCTGGAGGCCGAGGATACGAAGTGCTTGGGCCGTAGCCATGTCAATCGCCTCGTCTTTGCTAGACCTCGTAACCGTCCCATATTCAACAATTCAGCAACGCCATCGCCGTCCATGTCATGGCATGTCATGGATATTTTTCAGGTTGAATCTTGCGCTCCTTCTTGCATATACAAGCGTTGACTCAGCTGCTCCCGCAGCCCTCTCATTACAGATGTTGCCGTTTTCCATCATCTCACTGTATGGGGACTATGCACGCTGTTAATAATATTGACCGCATCCTGGCACCTTCTAACGTGTACAACTCAGTTGTAGGGCTAGGGTGAGGTCAGTTGGGCAGTCTGATACAATTCTGATAACTCTAAGAATCTGTGACGATCACTGTGAGCATGACCACCACGCCGACCCCGGATCTCTGCGCATCGCGGTGACACGATAATAGTTGATGTATGAAACCTACCTGTGGCGGGTTTAAAGAGGATGGGTGGGATGTCGAGAGACGGATTGAGCGGCTCTCTGTAACAGTTGGCTTATCAGTGCTCATCATATGACAGATAGTGAACCACAGAAGCCGTCGTGCTGGACCGCAAGACAGTCATATGCCCTTCCTTCTCTCCTTCCTGCGTCCACCGTGGTTCTCCGAATTTGGACTCAATCGCACGATAATTAATGCGATAACGTGAATGGGCATCCCTTGAACAAAATTGAATTTCTTTGGATTAATACAGAAGACAAGTCAGTTTGATGTTCCACCAGATCCTAAGAAGGGGATAAAAATGAGCGAATTGGGTGTAGCAGGAACCGCGGCACGACTGACCATTTATCCGCTCGGACCTTGGCGGCAATTGTATGAACGGCACAACAACTGGAAGTTCAGAGGTCACATGAGCACTAGCGTTGAACGTTGATTACAGCTAGAACTCACGGTAGGATGCTTAGCTACGAAGAGTCCGAAGCGCTTGTTCAGCAGCTAACTCCATCGCTCCGCCTTTTCCAGCGGCCATTCCTCGTCCGTACTCCTCGCGACCGATGTACAGGACTGCTGTCCACGTCATCGAGCGCCTTGATCCCTCACGATTTATCTCCCAATTTAAGACATTTGTACTTTTCGTCATTTGCAGGTAGTTATTCAGCTTCATCCGCCAGTCAACCATGGTGTGCTTGATGAACAAAGTGCAATGATTAGAAGGTACGGTAAACGTTGAAGTAAAGTACTTACTTCACAAGTTGCTGTAGGCCACTGGAATGCGCCCTTCATACGACTGTATTTGTTGCGAGATGCTGGCGCGATCTATGTGAGCACAATATCCGAACTGATTACCTTTAAATAGTCTCATTCCACCACAATAATCGTGCACACATACCTCACGGTCGTTCAGTAGAGATGGGGAGAGCGCAAGGACACTAGTTGTCTACGTTACCTTAAAGTTTATATACGCATATGAAAGGTGCTCACGTAAAAGCAGTCATATTTTCGCCTCTTGGAGCTTGCTTCCTACGGTTTCTTTTTGGTCCTTCGAAGGTGGATCCATCGATGCAGCGGACCACTATAAGTGCATTAACATGGGCAACCAAATGTACGGATTCGCATATACATGGGGAGCTAGTAGTCTTGGCTGATTCATATAACCTACCCCGTCGGCCGAGTCAGCCGGGGTTGGCAGTCAATGAATGCGATAAAGTTGCGACCAACTGTCATCAGTCAGGCTTCGCAGTGAAACGCATGAGATGGCAGCCGGTATAATGCCGCTGGTTAGCTCATAGCTTCCCAACTGCAGGAGAGGCCAGGGATGGCAAAATTCTTGTGCGACATTGCCTGAGTTGTGGGTCTCATTGAGATCTGCTGGAGACATATCTAATGGACATACATCAGCAGCCATGCCGTATCGGACGAGAGACCATAACGTTGTCGCCGCCCATGCCGAATTCAGTGCCAGAACATAGTGACTGTCCACCTTACAGATCCTCGGATCCAGCGGCTGATTTTTGCAGCATATCGCGAATACAAGCGCGTTCGGCAATGATCACGTGGGCGCGCCTGCAGATGCGAACTACTGCCACGTGAGCCAGCTTCGGAAACGACTCCCAGGATGATTTAGTATGTAGGGCTCGAGCTGGTAGCTACGGAGTCTGTTGAACTGTTCCCGCAACCATCCAGGTTGAGAATACAACCGATATTTCCCCTCCACAATGGATAATGAGTATCAGGAACAAGGTGCGCAAAATATGATTTATGCAGATGTAGACTACAGAATGCTGTGAAGGTCACACAGACAATGTGCACCACCACCACCAACATCATGGCGGTGAACATCGTCATGAGCACACAGCCGCCAACAAAGCACATTTCGACGAAATGGCATCCACATATGACGAGATCCCGGGCGCAGTAGAACTGTCGCAAAAGACGTCAGCGGCAATGCATACCAAGTTCCCGGAGGTGTTTGACTCCGAGAGCACGCTTGTGATGGACTTTGCTTGTGGGACAGGTATGTAATCCTCGGACACGTTGCTTTCATCGGAATTGAATAGAGAGACTTGTGTCGCTCTATATAGGATTGATCTCTCAGGGGCTGGCGCTATACGCCAAGTCGATTGTGGGCATCGACATTAGCGAGGCCATGATCGCTCAGTATAACGCTCGGGCATCGAGGTTGGGGTATCTCCGAGAGAAGATGCACGGCGAGTGTGTGGAATTGGAAGGTGTCGAGTCTGAGTTGCACGGGCGGAAGTTCGACGTGATTGTTGTACGTGGGTTCATCGTTCTGCACAGCCGGCTTATGGCCCTGACGTGAGCTCAATGCGATTCAGTGCGCCATGGCATACCATCATGTTCCTTCCATCGAAGACATTACCCGCACGCTCGTGCTTCACCTGAGGCCTGGAGGATCACTGCTAGTCGCCGATCTTGCGAAGGGCGAAGCTACGCGCGCCTTACACGCTTCGCACGAGAACGGCCATACGGTGACGAGCATGGATGGTATTGATGAGGACACGATGCGTAGCGTTTTTGAAGGAGCGGGATTGGTGAATTTCAAGTATGTCGATCATGCTAGTTCCGCGACGTTAAGGGGAAATGAGCTCGACGTCTTCCTTGCAAGTGGCATGAAACCGCGTAGTGACTAGCCCAAATCACATCGACGTGTATATTGTACTTCTACAGAAGGTGAACGTAACAAGAACAGATGAGTTCATTCGAACTGAGCATTCATGGGTGTTCATGTTGGAGACTTCGAGTCCGCACACGGCCTGCATAGAATCATTTTTCCATGGAAGAATAAGTGGAAGTATTGTGGAAAAAAATAAACTCTCGCAGAAACGTGTCTGGAGGTCACCGAACTACCAAATTTGATTGATGATGCGCACACAGTACTTGTTTCCGTGGCAACGTTTTAAACGTTTTTGGGACCGACTTTCTTAAATCCTGTCACGTGGGATGTGTCTGGTACTAGCCCAATTTCGGCACGAGCATCTAGGCTGACAAGTCCGAGAGTCCCAAAAATCATATCAGAATCTTTCTGCTCTGCGCACTACATCTTCCGAGTCTCATCTGCTGCTACCCCTTGGACTTCTGAGCTTGGAGTAGAGGAGCATTTGACCGTCCACTGCTCCGTTTCTAGCCTCGAGGTTCTCGCGCTGGTCTTCATGCATCACGCTCAAGGACGAGTTTGAACGAACGCTAGAAGGTATCTGTCGCAAAGATTGGCTACAATACAACTATCGCTTGCCAGCGATCTGAATTGACAGGGACCAAATGCGCTCCGAAGGTCTTGAGGACATGATGTCGATGAACGCTAAATTGGTCGAAGTGTTGTCAAGCATAACATGCTTTGTGCCCAATGAATGAGGGGCAAGCTTGTCAAATGATGAGTTGCTGACATTTTTCTTGCTTTAAAGCTCGTGAAATTGCCGCTAATAGCTTTGTTTTCTTTGAGTTCTTGTCCCGAACGCGTTCTCGAAGTTTCTGCAATTCCGCATCATTGACTCCCCAACTCACGTAGAACCTTATATCCATCTTATCAATAGTATCGGTACTAGCTTTCTGAATGCTCAATCTGAACCTGTGCATATTCGGCTGCAACAATGTCGCTCCTTGTCAGTCACCGGGGTTACAGATTGCAAGCTACGCTGGACATCTTTTCGAAGCCGAATTTCTACCGCCATCGATGAGCGCACGCGTCCTAGTGCAAACCCCTTGTTTCTTTATGTGTGACAACGTTACAGGCTCCACCCTGGTACTTCGTGAGATTTCCCTCTGAACTGCCACAAGACGTGCTGAAACGAGTCGTGAAGCCTTCACAGGACGTCTTTAATATGCCCGTTTCGTATCCTACGCCCAGCCTAGTGAAAGAACACCTGACCACGGGTTAGTTCCGTACAAACGTGTCATTTGCGTATATACTGATACAATTCATGGAAGGTGTCTCATACCTCATATTTTCTCACCCGCGCGACGATAGCGCGGATATCTATCGGGCTTCTATCCAGCCCCAATGCCGGGTAACTTTTTTTCTCATTCTTAAGCTGGACTGGAATGGATCAGGCTGAGTCGACACTCTCCTTCCCGTCGCTTGTGATGCAGGCTCGATGCCGCCCTCTACGCCGATCACTTGTACGATCAAGCTGAGGATTGTCCAGATATCGCAGCGATATCTAAGAAATCGTGACAATAAAGTAGAAGGTCGAAGCTTTACCACGTTGCGAGGGAGGAATCGCTGTCTCGCAAGCGCGCATGCAGGGATATCGGCTGCTGCTGCGCAGTGCTGTGAGTGGCGATGCAATTCATATACTTGGACATGTCGAAGAGCTACTGAAACCGTTAGATAGCATCAGTTGGTTTTTCACCAATTACTGAAAGAAAATATCGCTATGCAACGCAGACATAGTGCAACACTCGGCCTCATTCGCATGCAAATGCGCTCGACACATACATACGTAACTGTCATGACCCGTTGGTGCGTGAATATCTATCGTTTACAGTGTTGATGGAAAACCGCCCAACTCCCGTTATGCGTGCGCTGCACACTTGCTGAAGTGTTTTCGCATATCTGGCACATAACTTGATATGAAGGCAAAATCTGTTGCGCATCATATTTCGGTAGCACCGCTCCGCCTAGGAGTCCTGGGAAGTGCACCGTATTTTGCCGAACAGTACGCGTGTCGTCTGAACTAGGAGGACCATAACGGCAATATTTGCAAGGCAACATGATTATATGAGCAAATGCGCACTGGGGTTCTCATGCCAAATCAAGCTGCCATGCTCATTGGCTGTTTGTTGGACTGCAGGTATCATCATGCGGGAGATTCTTCCTCGTGATCGATATCACAAAGCAATGGGTTCGTCAGTATGGATAACTCTGACGCATTCGGCGTGATGTTGCCTGACCGAAAGGCTCAAGGATGCGCTGGAGCGGCATCGATGTTTCTAAGTTGCTCTCGTCAAGTATGAATGTTATTTAAACTAGTGGTTTGCAGAACAACCCTGTTCGGTTCTTACGAGGCAGTTTCTCGTCTCTGAATGCAGTTCATAGGAGCTGTTCAGGGACCGGATATTCCCTGATTTGAAGAAGGGAGGCGGCAAGTTGTCGTTGCGCCTAAACGTGCGTACCTGATGTCCGCGTTGTGCGACAAAAAAAAAGTGGTTGCCGACTCTCGCATTGACAGTGGCCAACCCCGAGCTCGAGGCGTGGATACGCGGCGTTTAACGAGCAGTTTAGTATCTCGAGGGCAACAACCGCAGGGACGCTCGCCTTTACAACCGCGAAGCTCGTCAAAAAGTTTATCGAGGTTTTTTCTTAGGAGCTCGCTTGATGAGAGCCGCTGTTGACTGTGATTCTACCAGATTAACGAGCATTTCCGGTACGGATCTGACGATGTCGGCGAGCGGTGGCGTGTAGGTCGTCAAGGCATTACCATCGACCGGCTCCTTCTTTGTGAAGTCAAGCAGGTCACGAGAGGGAGCGTCGAGCCGGTGTTGAAGGTTCAGACTATTTATCACCTGGGCTAGTGTAAATCAATAGATGTCTGGCTTTTATGCATGTCTTCGCCACTCATCCGTTCGGTATCTTGTTAACAGTATTTTGAGCGTGAAATAACGTGCCACTCTGGCTAGACAGGTACCATTTACGGATATTCGAAGGACTTGACCGTACTGGGACAACTGCATGCGATCCACGGTTTCACGATTTCATACGCACGCTACAAGACTTGGAACTCAGTTCATGGCAATACATAAGAGAGAAAACAGTTGGACGTCACGGAGTTGTTGGCACGGTGGCCATTTGATTTCTTTTGTGATCTGAGGCGGCCGTCCTCTCTCTCGGACACGTCTCATCTTCAGGTCCCTGGACAGCATGCCAACGTGTACGGCCTCCATCGCATTGCAAATGTATTTGGTTATAGTACACCTGAGTTCAAGAGCAAGAAGGAGCAGCGAGCAAAGATTCAGGCCAGCGTTCTCGCGAACGTGAGTCACCGGTGTTACCCGTATCAACTGAGCGTTGCTTTACCCCAAAACCGTACATTTACATCGAATATATCCTAATTTCAATATATACCGCCCATCACTTATGGTTTGAGCCAAGTCGCAGGTATCTGTATACTGACGAGAAATCCTTGTTCGCCAGCTCTGGGTCATCCTCAATGACATCTGCGTAGATCTCTTCCGCTGCCGATGCCAGTGGCAACGGGCTCTTGATGGACATGGCAATGTTCTTCGCCAAACCCATGTCCTATTATGATGTCAGTTTTATGTGCTCAAACATTACAACTATGTACGCACCTTCAGCATGAGACTCGTCGCAAATCCACCATCAAAGTCCCTCTCGCTGGGTGGGGAACTGTCCGGGACAGCGCCCGGGACAGGATTGTTGACCGAGCTCGCCCAGCACGCCCCCGTCGAACTGTTAATGACCGCCGCCAATATTTTGGACTCCAGCCCCAGCTTCTGGCCCAGCAACATTGCCTCTGCCACTACGATCTGCTCCACGCCAAGTACCAGATTATTGCAGATCTTCGCCGCCAGTCCGGAACCAGAAGAGCCACAGTAGATGATCTTCTGGCCCATGTGGGCGAGCGTCGGCCGTGCGAGGTCGAACCCGGTCTGCGTGCCGCCGACCAGGAAACTGAGCGTGCCGGCCTTCGCACCTGTAACGCCTCCGGAGACGGGCGCATCGACCATGTTTGCGCCGACCTTGTGTACATCACAGGCGACCTCCCGTGCGACCTCCACGTCCAGCGTGGTGGAGTCGATGCACAGGGTGGCCTGCACATCCTCCTTGGGCAATGTGCGTAGGGCGGGTAGGAGACCCCCTGCTTCGATGTAGACGTTGCGTACGTGCGGCGAGGACGGCAACATGGTGATCACCGTCTGCGAAGCGAGCACCGCTCTGTCAACCGACCGCTCGTCCAGTTTCAAACGCGTAAGGAGCTGAGTATGCCAAAGGACTTACTCTTCAGGTGAGTTCGCGACGGATATATGCGCGCCGGGGAACTGATTCACGAACTTGGAGACGAAGCCCTCTGAGACGGCCGATCGCGCGTCGCAGATGACGAATCGTGCGTTGCCGCTGCTCTCGGCGAACTTGTGGGAGAAGAGGTTGTACGCCATCTCGTAGCCCATGCGCCCGAGCCCGATGAAGCTCACGCTCCGGGCGCGAGATGGCGACGTGACCGCTTGGAACAGTCGGGCGGTGGGTCGCATGGTGAATGTCGTGCAAAGCGACGCGCACGTCGATCTATATGGACGCTCGACCGTTCACATGATGCATCCGGCCCGTGGATCCGGGGTAATTAGCGTTAATGATTCACATCGGGAGTTTTGTCATTTAATCCGGGACAAAAGTACTATTGTAGCGAATCTCATTGGTCAATTCAAATTTTGTCTGTACTTTTCTCCCGGATTAAATGACAAAACTCCCGATGTGATTGTCGCTCAAACGATTAACAGTGTCTTATGTAATTTGCTGACTATTAGTCTATTACGTATAGGCCAGTCGGCCCTCGGTGACCGTACAGCCTGATAACCTTGGCGGCGCCACTCGTCTTTAAACGTCAGCTAGCATTGACGGGCGTCAGGATGGCTCTCACCTCTTGCTGGTACCTACGTCCTCGGTGCACAACGAGAAGTTGCGGAAGGCATCGCACGCGACAGGCACGCTCATGGACTCCGAGTCGATCCCATTGACACCGGCACTGAAAGCGCAGGAAGATCGGGACGAGGAAGAACACGAGGACATCGAGTCGGCACCGCTGATCGTGGGTTCTGAGGAAGAGGCGAATATGGGTTCAGACGAACAGTACACAAGGGCCGAGGGGCGAGAGGGGGATACTGTGGCGTTGATTGGGGCGGTGGTGAGTGCCATGTCCTCCACGTTCAAGGGAAACAGTAATGAAATGGATGCAGCTCTTCGCGGGTGTAGGTCGTTATCTGAATGGCTATCTTGTTGCAGATTGAAATGCGACATCGTTCAAGGCGTTGGTGATAATGACATGGGTGATGGTTTTTTTGAATAATCCAATGAGTCTCGGGTGGTTCTTCTGGCATCCGACGCTGCAAAGCTTGGCATTCGGAGCTTTCACATATGGTGTGTACTTCAAGTCGCAACGTTTGTAAGAAGCTGTTATGACATCTTTTCAATAGGCATCTTGACTCTTCAGCCGACCATGCAGCCCAAGACGAAGCTCGCAGGATTGCGCCGTCATCAACTGATCATGCTTGCTGTCGGATTACCTTCCATCACTCTAGGAACGTTTGCAATATGGTGGAATAAGCATATCGGATCAGCACATCATGCTGCCACTTGGCATGGCGTACGTTCTCTACTCGGCCGCATATATGCGTGCTAACCTCCCGGTGGCAGCTACTAGGATACATCACAGTAGGCTGGCTCCTCCTTCAGGTGCTTCTTGGTGGCGGGAGTGTCTGGTTCAATGGGCGTCTCGTTGGCGGGAATCATAGAGCAAAGCTAGTATGGAAGTACCATCGGTACGCTTGTCCCTGTACATGACATGTGCCGATGTCATGCTTCATGTTGACCTTGCTTTAGACTTTCGGGTTACCTACTTTTCCTGCTATTGTTACTCACAACACATCTTGGTGGAGCGTGGTCCAACTGGGCAGCGGTGAATAGCCCCCTTGTTGTGCGATGGATCGCGTACATCATCGCACCGGTGGTGATCTTGGCGGCGATCCTGATGCGAATAAGGTACATTTCAACCTTTGGCCGCCTTACAACAGGCTTTAAATGACAGATTATCTTGCAGATGGTTAAAAATGAGGTTGCTGTAATATGATATCGTATATATAGATCACTTCTGAGACGACCGATATCCTCCCTATCCAATTGGGCCGGCCCCGCACCCCACGGCTGTGAAGGGCTCCGGCTGGCCGAAGATATCGGTCGGTTCGATCTCAGCGATCTCCGACGTTCTGTCCGCGGTTGTGGTTGTGGACACATGATGAGGCGCATGATTTACGATGACGGGAAGATGTAAAGCCGGGACCTCGTTGTTAGTTGGATGTTAGCTTTAGCTTAAATGGTGATCATACAAAAGTCGCCGAAAATTCTCGTGTACCCAACCGCCGAACGTAGGTCCATGGATAGCGAAGTGGTGAGCATGTAAATTATGCGCTTCTTGCTGATATCTGATGCCTACCTAACTTGTGCTTGGAGCGACATGCGTGGCTATATGGTTGTATTTCCACAATTACATGAGCGGTTACCTTTTCATGGGTAAGATATATGATGGCAGACGTCACCAGAAAGCTTTTGCCTCTATGTTGTATAAGCATGTTCGACTTCGATGATGGATCATGGTATGGCCAAGACGTCTCCAGCCCATTCTCGGAGCTCGTATAGTAATGGTGACCCTAATACTCGTGCTTATAAGTATTGTATGTAATGCAAGGCACAGTCGGGTAACAGGCGCTACTCCGGCTCGATATCGATCTGTCGAGGTCGTCGTCGAGAAATCGGTTATGTAGCATTCTTGTTTTGAGCTGGTCGCATCATGCATTCTTTCTCCAAGCCGAACAATATCGAGATATGCAGATCTAGTCTATACTATCTCGGGCATCTGGAAAAACAGAAATTCAGAACAGTAGCATGCAATCGAATTCGAACTCAACATTGAGACCCCTATCTCTTTCACTTAGTATAGAAGCCTTCTTCTCCCCCTGCAGTGGCCCCTCGGCCCATCAAGTGGACTTAGCCTTAGTCTTACCGTGAGCGCACACTTGCAGCAATGGTTGATTTCTCGACGACAGATGGTTAGTTTCTCTTATCCTCGTAAACCAGGGCATCGCAAACGTTGACGACACTGAAGACGCCTCAGGCAGCATCATCGGTTCGGATGGCTGCCAGGATGATGCACAGTCGAATGCTCGAGGCCTAGACGACCCCGTAGGAACATCATACCCATAATTTTCGCTTTGCCTGACCAAAAGAATAAAGATGGCTTCGTTCGAGCAAGTACTCGAATATTATGTGTACGAGGTGCGACTACAAAGCGGACTCTGGCACTCTGGACTCTGGAGCCATAACCCTTTCTATCGTTCAGCGTCGGCCCGATGCAAAATTATACCTGTTCAGCGACGAGGACGCTAATATCCCGTTGAAACAAACTACGGTACGTAGTAAGACATCAGCCCCAACAATGCAAACGATATCTTTTCTCCCCGCAGAATGGAACTCCCGAGGAGATGAGAGAGGTCCTGTACCGTTTGAATCCCGCTGTCGAAGTCGACGAGAACGGAAGTAAGCACACAGACTCCTTATGAAACAATCCACTCACGTATTCGCAGTGGCCGAGGTCATATGGCCTGATCATTTAAACGCTGACGTCGCTGAGACAGGCGAGGCGGAGGCCTAACTTAGCCGTTGGGTTATTCAGCCTCTTCGCTTTTCCACATTTCGTTCTTCCGTTGGAGTTTATTAGTGCAGTTTTGTTTTTGGTACAGAGAATATGCTTTATCCGACGTTATTGACTCCATACTAGCGTTACGCATGCGGCAACAGCAATTGCTCTAGTATGATTCACTTTGAGTCACCTGGAAATTGGTACGGCTGTGAAGGTGGATCCCCACCTCTGTTGCGTTCGACAAACCAACGACAGCTATGGCAGATGCTCACTGCCAATATCGTGCTGGTGTCCATGCTTGCCTGGGAGTGCGGACGAGCAGAATACCACATGCGTCTATGATAGCATGTTTTGTGTGCGTGTGATCTTACACATAGTAAACAAGCATGCTCTAATGCAAGGAATTATCACACATGAGTTAAGAGCAAGATAACCAGCTTCTATCTAAGTTTTCTCAGTATAGGCATCTACGACCTCAGGGAACATACGCAGTAGTGCATGATGCCAAATCAACGCCCGCAGAGTTAGGTTGCTCGTCATGCTCGCCATTTGAAACGTTTAAGGCTGCACGTCTGCGCGCAAGAGGATTCAAAATGAGCGCCAGGAGAATGATTAAGCCGTCCATAACCTGCAGCCATGTGAATACCTGCAACAGCAAAAGCAAAAGCAACTGCGGCGAACCGCGTAACGAAAAGACATGCCGCAACGATGGAATATGTAACACCAGCGACAACGTCGAAACTCGATTTGAATGCAAGAGAAAGATTGCTGAAGACCTCGCCTAGCATGTCGATGGTCATGAAGGGTATTGAAATTCCTATGACTTCCCGTAGTTGGTATATCTCGTAGTATTGGGGCCTGCGGTAGTGGTTGGGCTACAAACTGAACCATCCTTTCATACTTCTCTCAGGAAATATGGACGTACAGAAGAGCAAGAGAGATCATAATGGAGCTCAGGATGCCGAAGAACTCAACTCCGCGCGTATTTCCCTTTCTATAGGAAGGCTGCCAGATGAAATCATTGTCAGATGCACATTTTTAGGAGTCCAGTCGGAACGAACGATGCTGACCCTCACAGCATAGACCATACCCAACTCGAAGCCGACCATCGTTATCGTACAGGCGGCATATAGTAATAAGCAAGTTCTCAAGGAGCGCTTGCGGCCATAGTATTGGCACTGTGGAGTGGATTTGATCATACAGCATGTTCTGAATCATTTGATTGACAAAGGGCGTGTCATAACGAGGTGGACGTGAGGATGGGTGCATACCTGGAGCCATGGAGCGAAGCATAGAGCACCAAATAGTTGAGGTTGCAGAATTAATGGGATGTTAAGGTCCTGCACAATGGCATACACGCCTAGAGGTGCACTCGCTACTCCCCAGAAGAGTCTATCGAGCAATATGCGTCCATTTTAGACATGACTAGTAGCAAAAAATGAATGGAATTTACGGGAGGTATTCCGAGAGGCCTTCGATAGACTTGGTACGCCAGCTTTTCCAGATTTGTGGGATCAATTGTACCGTCCAGCAAATGGTGCCTACAGATGGACCGATCAAGGCGAGTTTGAAGAAAAACGCATGCGATTTGAGATCAAAACAGAACGAATGCCCGATTGTTGGACCTTCCCCACCTCTTCCGACAGTGCATGACATGGCAGCTTGCCGATGGTGCCGAAGATATTCTCCGCGAGCGGATTGCTGGCATCTCAGGTTGATGGGCGTCCAGGCCGCGATTCAGATGAAAGGTGAGAACGGACGGGACAGGCTCTGCCGACTGCAAGGCAGCTTTGCATGCAAGATCTTTGAGGATGCCATGCAGGAGAAGCTTTCATCTGATAAGCAGTAGCTAAGACATTTCAGCCGTATGAGCTGAATGGATGTCGATACGATGAAAGTGGAATATCCCGAGTCAAGACTCAGTACCAACAGCCTCAGCCACCGCCCGATCATGCATACACTCAGGGTCACGTGCATACGCAACGTGCCAAGTGGCAAGTGGCAGTTCTGCAGCGCAGAGCACTGGCCGCAGCTCGTCCTCGCCGAGATTTTGTACTATAGACTCTGTGTGCTGCTGCTCAGCGAGATACACGACTCACGACTCATCTTACGATGTTTGCTGCAGCGACGTCTTTCTTTGCGCGCACCAATATCTCCCAATCATACAACGTCGGCGGCGGGAATTCGATCACCAATAGTAGGACTTCCACGCCAGCTCCGTCTGGATCGTCGTCGAACGTACCAACTGCGACCACTCATGCTCCTCCATTCAATGTCGGTCCATGGCGCGTGCAGTCCGCTACACACAAGGTCACACACAAGCGTGTCTCCGTCTGGAGTGCCGACAAGCGGAGCCAGGAGATGGAGAGAATGGGCCCTGTGTCGAAAGAGAGGACCATTGAGGTGCTGAAAGCGGAGGTAAATAAACCTCCCGTTGTAATGGGTATATCTCATCAACATTGCGTAGGCCTCTGCGCTGAGTCGCCTAAGGCACCCGTGTATTCTGGGTATGCTTCGGCCTTGCAATAACATGGGTCTTGTGCTCATACTTTCACTGAATGCAGAAATGGTCGAGCCACTTGAAGAAACTCGCAATGAGCTCATATTCGCCACAGAGCCAGTGCTGTCATCACTACACCTCTCCATCCCAGGGTCGTTCCAGTATACGCCCTTAGTCGAGCTAGACGAAGTTGAAGTCGGTACATGCTGTCGTGCGATCTACGAGCATCTTGTGAGCTAACGTACGCTCACCATCAGATACAAAAGGGCATCCTGCAAGTTTGCAAGGGTCTGGCGTTCCTGCACAGCTCTGCACGGACGATACACACTAATGTGACGCCTGAGGCTGTTTTGATCAACAGTTCCGTATGTATCAGGTTCACCTACACGCGTCCAGTCTTGTAAACATGCGCATATACAGGGTGATTGGAAGATTTCCGGTCTTGGTTTAACTATTCCTCTGTCAGCACCAGGCGGCGGGCCGACGCGATGGGAATTCCCTACCTTCGATGGCCGAGTGTCCCCTTACACTCAGCGATCTTTTGATTATATGGGTGCGCAAGCTGTCATAGAAGTTGCATTACTACTGAACTTCGTCTGCAGCACCAGAGTATGCACTAGATGAGGTCCTGGACCCTGCTTCTGACATGTACTCGCTCGGATGTCTCATGTATGCGGTACATTGCAAGGGCAATCCGCCATTCAAAAACCATGGGAGTATCAGTGCCCTGCGCGACAATGCCGGCAAACCACTCCCCAGGTTGGAACGGCTTGATCCCGACCTACGAGGTGGGTTTCTCGATCGAAGTGGACGAACATTCAACTAATTAGATGGATGGCAGTCCTTCTCAGCTCGCTCATCACGCGACATCCGCATAACAGACCTTCCCCGAGCTCACTTCCATCGCATTCGTTTTTCTCGTCATTGCCGATCTCAACCCTCAATTTCCTTGATCGCTCCAACTTCGCCGCTAAGTCTCGCGAAGAGAAGGTATCCTTTATGAAAGGGCTTACCGTAGTTCTGCGTAAGTTCTCAGAAGGACTCCGGATAAGGAAGATATTACCTTCTCTATTGGAAGAGGTAAGTATGGATTTGATATGAATGTCAATCGCGGTGTTCATTAATGTCCGTTAATTTATCAGATGAAGGACACACAACTACTGCCATACATACTGCCCAATATCTTCGCCATCTCTCAAATCCTATCATCGAGCCAATTTGCGAGCCTAGTGCTCCCTAGCCTCAAACCCCTTTTTGCGATCAAGGAACCACCGCAGAATATGATTACTCTACTCGATAATCTGCAGATGCTGCAAGACAAGACAGAGAAACCTGTGTTTCGCGAAGGTGAGTGATTTGATGTTCTGTTTGGCTTGTGTCACTTAAAACTTTGTTGTGTTAGATGTGTTGCCGCTGGTTTATAATGCGCTGGAGTCGGAACATGCTATCGTAGGTGACTGTATGCGTCCGCTCAAGCTTGAGATTGACTGCTTTCAGGTGCAAGAACGCGCGTTGAAAGCTGTTCCTGACCTGTGCGAGAGCATAGACTACGCTGAGGTTCAAGGAGTACTATTCCCTCGCGTTGCTGTTCGTATTCCCATTTCGACTGACGACTTGAGTCGTCCACTAACTTGGGATCTCCAGCTCGTCTTCACGAAGACCCGTGTACTCTCAGTAAAGGTGGCTACGCTGAGAACCTTCCTTGCGATGGTCAAGAACTTGGATCAAGTCTGTACCGTCCCATTTCGGCTCCGTACAATGAACTGAACTAGCCTGTTGTAGACGAGTCTCACACAGAAACTTGTACCTCTCCTTTCCAAGATCCGTACCAAAGAGCCCGCGGTCACTGTAGGTCTAGTCAAACGTTTGAATCTCGTGCATCTGAGATTATTCTGTTCGTAGATGGCAACATTGGCTGTGCAGGAGGCAACGGGAATGAAGGTAGATCGAGAAGCCGTCGCTACATTGGTGCTGCCCCAACTATGGGCGATGTCCATGGGTCCTCGTGCGTTTGAAATCTTCTGCCTACAGTATCGTGAATCTGAAGGACTTATTGTAACAGTGTTGACGGTCTCTCAATTCAAGCGATTCATGGAGGTCATTCGCAAGCTAGGCGATCGCGTTGAACGAGAGCACGACCAGTATCTTCGGGATTCACAACGCATAGAGGATCGTTCGGAGATCACCGTCAACGGAGCGTCGGGCATGGTCAGCCTCGGTGGTGCTGTCGATTTTGAGACGCTTGTGAGCAATGGCGCGGTTGCGACGGTCAAGGCGGACACCGTCATAGATAGCTCACAGAATTGGGAGGACGATGTATGGGGTAGCATCTTCACAAATGACCCACCGGTGCGTGCACAACCAAAAAGTGAAAGTGTCACTGATCATGACATAACGTGTAGACACCGGTTATGCAGAGTCCGATGGTTTCGCCACCCGTGCAGCCTTTGTCCACGCAGACACAATCTCTGCCTTCAACTCCAAGAGCTAACGCGATGCAGTCGAACTCCACAGGAAGCAATTTCAATCGACCGAGCAAAGGGCTCGGTGCGATACCAGTTCCCGCGTCCTCTTACAATGCGGCTTCCTTCGCACAACCAACAGGTACACAGAATGTGCCAATACAGGCAAGACAATCAGTATCTACGTCGAACCCGATACCCTCGTTGCAGCCCGCTATTCCCTTTTCAACGCCTGCGAACCCTCCACTAGCACCCAACTATACCATTTCGCTCCCGCCAGCGCAACATTCACTAACCATGTCAACGCCGCCTTTGTTTGCGTCATCTCCGGGCATAGGTGCTCCACTGATACCGTCAAAGCCTCCACAACCGTCCTGGTCGGGTACGATTGCAACAAAGCAATTGTCAAAGGATGATTGGGGCGATTTTGATCCACTGGCATGACCCGCGTAATTTGATCGCTGTTCGATAGGCAGCATCAAGGCAGGGTTAGCTCGCCCAGTGCCTCAAGCCTTCTCGACCTCTACGCCTTCTACAGCCCGCACTGCGGTTGCCTCGACGACGGTGTTGTGGGACGCGTTGACCTCTGGAGGGTATTCTGGGATGAGGTCGACATCGATGGGCCTTCCAAGGATGGCCTTGAGGACGAGCAAAGCGCCCGTCTTTGAGGATACCAGGTTGCCTTCATTGCACGACGGACTATCGATACCTACACGTCATGGTTATAGCCGATGATGTTGCTCAAGACTGTCATTGACTTACACCGTGCGCACCCTTCCTCGCATTCGCATGCTTCGACAGTTCGAAGAGCATCATGCAATATGTCCGAGACTAGCAAATTATCAGCACTTGCTGTGTATGTCAACGAATTCTTATGGCCTACCGTGGTCGAAAGCGGTCGTAGCAATGCCACCGTTCTTGCCTGTCGGTTCATAGAATATGAGACTAGAGCAGTGGTCAGAGTGGGATGCTTTGTAGATGGGTCGGTCCATACCGCGCTGGGCGTTTCCTTTGAGAGGTTGCAACCTTATATTCCTTTTCGGCGACTTTACATTCGGTCTTTAGGTCATTTGCTAGAGCGAACCGGTTCAAGAACGCATGTTCAGCAGCATGAATCGCCTCCGCTGGGTTGATGCCGGAATCCCGCATAAGCTCAAGAGTAGATTTGGGAACGTCCATCCATAGTCCTGTGCTCTGGCGTTCCCACGGTGGAGTGTCGAGATCAACGGCATCGATGATGGCTTTGTTTCTGAAAACCTCATTCGTCAAAGCACAAAGAGGCGTACAAACAACATTCATACCTGACTTTAAAATAGCCTTGATGACAAGAATTACTGTTCATTCATATTTGCACGTCAAACAGACCAACGTACCAAAAACAACAGTCTTCAATTCAACGCCTGTGGAGAAGAAGCTATGTCAATATTTCGTGAAAGGAGGAACAGTTCGATTGACTGACGTCCGTAGTAAGCATAAAAGGGCGATCTTCGTATCTCTCGAATGCGATAAGTTTGAGCCGCGTCCACGTTCGTAAAATCTCTGAGCTCCTTATAGACAAAGTATTACGAAGGCTCTCATGCACAAAACTGACCTTGGTTCAGTGATCCAATTGACGTCGGACCGAATGAGCTTGGCTATCTTCGAGTCATGACTAACTTCTTTCACCTGAAATGTTCGTCAGCATCAGTTCTATGCTATGACGTTGTACTTACGATGAATGTCAAACCCTGATGTATAAACTGGTCCAGGATGAGCGAAAGGATCTCATAAAAACATCTCTAGAACCCACAATAGCTCCTTCATAGATCTCAAAAAGCGCTCTGGACAGCTCTATTTCTTCCAATATGTAAGCGGAACCTCCAGGCTTTTCAACTTTCGTGACGTCCACTACACTGTATTTCTCTTCTTCGCCTCCTCGAAGGCTGATATGTTTAGCTGGGAAGGGAAGGAACTTGGAATGCGTGTGATACCTGCAATGTGCAATGATTAGAGAAAACACACAATACTTGACCGACTAATATTCGGAATTAAGAACCACGAATACTCACCACCCTTCCTTATCTTTGACAAGACGCGTCTCACAGAGCTCCTTCATCGTTGGTCCGAAGTACTGTTCATCGTCAAGCATCAAAGGCATCTCGTGCGCGGCGCATTGAAGATGGGCCTCCAATAGGACCTTACTCTCGAGGTCAAGGACAAGGTCGTTCGTCAGCTTGTCGAATAGTTCGTCTGGATTGTTTACGTAGTGCTGGTCAATTGGGAAGGAATCGGCTACAAAGACCGCGAGCGCATCTCGCGCACGTCTTCCAGCTCTACCGGCTTGTTGACGCTGTGACGCGTCAGGCCGGATCCATGGAAAAATTCGCAGGTACTGCTTACGAAGCTGGCGATTCCACCAATGGGAAAACCCAACATGATTACGGCATCGAGTACACCGATGTCCACGCCAAGCTCTAGGGCATTGGTTGCTACGATGCCCAACAGATTTCCAGAGAAAGCTTCCCTCTCGATCCTGCGACGATCCTGCAAAGAGCATGTTAACTAGGAGGGACGCTACCAGCATAGACCAAAACTCACTTGCTGCGAATAACCTGAAGAAAGGTTTAAAGAAGGATCCGTACAGCAAGTCACGACTACACACCTCCTCGATACGCCATCACCCTTCGCAAGATATCATGACGACCGTCAGCAGTGAGTTCCGCTCTCAGCATCTTCATTGCCTAAAATCCTCTATGAGGCAGGAACTCTGCGTTATCTGACAAGACCTACCAGCTCACAAGACTTCCGGATCTGATACGGTCATCAGATACAAGGCTGGCGCGCACATCTAAAGCAGGACGGACCTTGCAGAAGAGGATCACACGAACGCCCCTTGCCATTAGAAAACGCATCAATCTCGTCGCCTCCGACATGGAGCCACGTCTGCCTAAACTCTCGTCCATAGGATCTATGAGCGGGGGATTCCACACGAGGTAGTCCTTTCGTCCAGAAGGCGCCCCGTCCTCTGTGATCTCTTCCACATCCTGTTGCAAATTAACACAAGTAATGCGATGGTGACGTTTGACCGACCTCAATGCCGAAAATGTTCTCCATATGTTGCTTCGGATGGCTGATAGTTGCACTGCAGGACACGAAACGACATCTGCGATCTAGATCATACATGATGAGTTAGGAACGGTAGCCCCAAAAATATGTTCAAGATTCGCACTGCCAACAGCAGCGCAGACTCTACGAAAGCGTCTCATGACCTGTGCAACATGACTGCTCATCGTCAGTTCGACGTCATGCGTTGGTACAGATAGACTCGCCTTCCGAAGACATCGGAATAATAATGTAATTCGTCTACCGCTACTATCTTCAAGTTCTTCAAGAACCTATACAACGGATGTCAAGGGATACGCATTTATCTACCCCGGGAGGAGCACAAACCGTCGCCACAGGTCTTCATGCGGCAAAATTGACGCATGCATCATATCCTGTTTCACAGAATATATAAGAACAAGTCGCGTTTACTATCATTTGAGAACATACGAAATTAGTGAAAATCACTGAAGCCAACTCGCGAATGCCTGGAACAAAAAAATAGCATCTCGCCATCAAAGATATGTTCGGTGATGACATACCAGCGCGTTGTTCTTGTGGGGTATCACCATCGTAAGTGAATACCTGCGTATATGGTCAATCACATGTCGAATTGAACAGCATGACATGATACATACTTTGACATGTCCCAGCCCAGGACATGAGTACAGAAGTTGCTCCAGAGCTAGCTTCTGGTCCTGTGCTAGAGCCTGCAAGACACTGAGTATTGCGCTATGAGGTTGTCGCTGAAACGCCACTAACCTTTGTAGGGTATATGAACATGGCAGTGGAGCTAGGGTCCTCCTCAAGATATCTCAATACAGGAACCTGATAAAGGATTCTTAATGAGAACATCTTGCCCAGAGATCCTTAAACAAATACTTGGTAGATTACACTTTTGCCAGACGCAGTGCTAGTCGACACAATCACATTGCGGCCTCGAGAGAGCGCCGTTATTGCGGCCACCTGGTGAGTATACAAAGAGGCGATCTTTCGTGAGCTCTGCAATGCTTCAAAGACCGTTTCTGAAAGTGGTGGCTCCAGATCGGCTAATGAATGAGTCAGACGATGTCCGTGACGGCGGCAAGCGTTCCAGTTTACCGACAATCCCATCCCTAGCTTCCACGGTCCTCCTATGGGCGATCTGTTCCTGGTACCACTCCTGTTTCTGAATTTCTTCAATGATTGAATCGATGGTTGGGCGATCCGCGGGTTCCGGAACAGTTCTCGGTCCCGCCTTCAATTGTAATTGTGCGGTATTTGCCCTGGAAGATGGATCGACGGGGATATGATCGCGGGCTGCTTCCTGTAGCAGCGCCACCGGATCTTCGTGCTTCGAAATGGCCTCCAAAAGCCTGGGAGGTACATCAGGTTCATCATGTTCTATCGGTGAAATGCATGTTTGATGATTACTCATTAACTGCTTGGATGAAGCGTTCGTTGCGCTTGTTAACCACCTTCTTCGTGGCTTCTGGTGTCAACGCTGGTGGGAGTGCATAAATGAATCTGGGACGGGATGTACGCATCAGAACGTGAGACAATCGCAGTGATTTACATGAGACGAACCCAGGGTTTGTACTTTTCTTTCCCCGAGAATTCTGGACGAAGTCGAGGACGAGGACGTGCTCATCTTCATCTGACTCTTGATAAACCGACGAGCCAGACGCCGTATGGACATCGAAGGCAGAGTAATCAGGGGAACGATCACGACGTTGCGAGTCACTATGTATGCGTAATTCTGCCCTCGGGATGTATGCGAATCTGATTACATCCGGTAAAAGTGCTCTGTATAGGATGCTGCATTCATGGAACGGCCGAAAGCGGAAGAGGGCTGTGCTCACTTCAATTCGGCGACCTTGGCCAGGTCTAGCGGCCTGAGAGAAGTTGAGCGTTAGATCACAGTAGTGTGGGCGAAGCCACCTACTGCTTGAGTAGCGCCTCTACGGACTGGCGCACTACCGGGAATGTTATCGCAAAGTTCTTCCGCGAAGAGCAAAATGCAAGAACGGTGTTCAAAGCCTTTCACACCGAATACGTAAGCAAGCGTATCAGGAGCACCTTATGTATGCGCACCTTGAATATCTATATGACATGAGTGGGAAGAACGAGTGTCATCGTGCAGATTGATCTTCTTTCTGTCTCCTTTACCCACTTTAAACAGCTGTGCGATGTTCAGTAAACAGGTAAGTGTCCTGCCAGGCGCATATACGAGGGCTTACGAACAGAGTCAAAGTAGTCCGGCCAATGCGACGTCTCCAGCGGTGCAGCCTTCGCCTTCCCTTTGGCTGCCCTAGTTGCACGGGGTTTCTTAAGTACAGGTTCGCTCGTCGCTCCTTCGCCCGCAACGGCGCTGCCTGCCGCAGCCGATTGCGTTTTCCGTTTCTTGGTAGTGCTGGTATTTGTACTGTCGGCATCTTTGCGTACCATTGTATGACATGGAAGCCAGAGCTTGTTCAATGTCTAGAGATCGAAGCGTGACAGTAAGCGTGACGGACAGACGCCTACGGACGCGCCTTGTAAAAGTGTCACATGTCACGCTGATAGGTCCTTCAGCTTTTCAGAGCGCGTCTCGGCTGCACACTTCCACTGACGCTGAAAGTTCGCTCAGAATGCGGCCTACATTTTCCCGCCTAGTTAGAGTGATACCTCGAAGCTCACTTCCGCCCAAACAAGCCGTCCGGACTGTCCCTGAACCCATGCGCTCCGACGTCAAGCAGCCAACTCTCATCCAGATTCTGTTGGAGAGGCAGGCCGCGGCAGGCGATAGCTACCCATCAAACATTCGTATTGAACCAGAGCTCACAAGGGCGACGTTTAAAGGCGTGAAGCCGGAGGTCAAGCGGGAGCTGCTGAAAGTGGTGAGGGAGCAATGAGTCGCACAGTGCATTGCCGTTCGCATATCCGAGCCGCAGGTGGGAAAGCTAAAAGCTTTTTGATGAGATTTATTGAATGAGAACTGGAACATTTTCAGTCATGCACGCGGTGTGCATCGGTGCAATATCGAAGCCAATCTACGGGGCGTCCCAACATACATCATAAATTGTCCTCATCCCAGAACTCTATGTAATTCCATGAAACATTCAGCTAGCAGGAGTCGCACTCGTCACTTCTGGAGACACCTTCGCCAGCCTCTCTCTTCCCTCTCGTATAATCCTCTCCAGAAGCTGGTTAAATCTATCCTTGCACTGCACCTGCAGAGCATGTCCGACGCCTTCCCACTCGACCAACTCGGCCTCAGGCATATGCTCCTTCATGTATCTACTATTGCTGGGATCGACGAGATGGTCATCGTCCCCGGTCACAATGAGCACCTTCGGAACTGAAGCAGATATCTTGCTGAGCCGCTCGGGTGACACGCTGTGCGTCAGGCCAGCAACCATCTGCGAGAGCGCTCCAATGGGGTTTTGTGGACGTGTCACTTCGAAGCGCCTGCGATATTCCTGACCAGAGTTCAGGGTAAGCAGGCAGAGGACATGATTCGTGAGGGATAACTTGCCATTGTCTGCACCTCGCGATTTGTCCGATCCTCTGGATCGCCTTCTGCTGGTGCATTCAGCCATGATTGGGGGAACACCATGTCAAGGACTAGCGGTATCTTCGCTTCGGGATCTGTTATAGCTAGCAACCTGGACATCCATCACGATTTGGGTATTAGTACATACAGTGCTGTCCACAATGATGGCACACCTTGCAAGCGTTGTCATACCTTTCACCTAATCTATGTCAATATTAGGTAGCGCTGCGAACAAAACCAGCGATACTCACGGAAGGCAGAGCCGTCCATGGGGACCGCTTCGCCCGTGTCACAGCAAGGGTTAGCGATACAACCCGGTCCGGTATTCTGGATGCCAGCTCTACGAATATTAGAAGTGAATAGCTTGCTCGGTGTATAAGTGTGGTATCCTCACCTAAGGCAATCATTCCTCCGAGAGAGATGCCGACGACGTGAAGGTCATGCTTTGCGGTCCATCCTACATAGTCGAGCAGAACAATGACATCTTCTGCCATTGAGCTCGTCCTGTTTTATTACGACCATAACACAACCGCACAATTAACGCGCGATTAAACTATGGGCTCACGAATATGGTCCTTTCGGAACTCCACTATTGCCCACTCCTCTATTATCGAACACGAGAATTGAATAGCCCGGTTCACGTCCAAAATAATCAACTTGAGGAAACCATGAGAAAGAGGTGCTATTCAGGCTGTGTACTCGCGTTTGTGAGCCGATGTGGTCTGTCGATCCGGGAGGACTCGCACGACTCTTACCCCATGATGAAGAGAATCTTCTCTGAACCCGTCCCATGCTGCTCGAAGTATAGCGAGTGGCTCTGTAGAGGATCCTCTCCTTGCTTCCTGATCTGTGTAACAGGGCATAATCCTTTCCGCACGCAAGTGGTAGGATCGAAAATGGTCGGTATCTGCTGGACATCCACGTCCGGAGGCATCAGAATGACGTTATTACTCATGATATAAGTTCATTCGAAGGCTGAAAGAGAAATTTGGGGATGGACTGGTGAAGGCAACTGCAGCGTACTGCGAATTGAGGTGACCCATGCCTTGAAGGCATTTATTCCCATTGCGAATATTTGCAAAATGCATTCAACAGTATGACTTTGAAACATCTCTAATAAAGCAACTGTAAAGGCAGTTAATTACAGTTAAGTAAAGCTAAATACCAGAAGCAAATGCACACTTCGGCCGCGTAGGCACCTACACGCTGGCGCTTCGCGAGGCCTGCCGACAGCTATATGGTAACGCTCTTCCTGTGTCGTCCATGGATCGTCAGACACGACGCCTGCAGTGCACATGGTTCTTTGATTATCTAATACTTCCCTTTTATAGGCGCAAGATATCGTTGGCGTTGTAAAGGGCTGACGGCATATCCGTCAATGGATGTGTAACGAACACGCATTACAATCTCAAAGTACCGTCAAAAAATCTGTCTGGCTTCTGGTAACCTGTGCGTCCGTGAGACTTGTTTTTCCGTCGTACATAATGCTCCCTGCGTGACGTACGCTTAACTGCCGTCATGCCCTGGGTATGGGAACGTCTGGTCCCTGGAATAGCACCTCATCAATTCTTACAATGTGTTGCGTATTCCTACTACGATTCGCACCAATGTGCTTATCTCTCTGACTCGCTATACTGCAGATGCAATGGTCCCTCTTGTTTGGAAACGACCCATCGTCGCTTACGTCGAGAAGGACTACGGAAATGGCCATCGGGTTACCGTCACAATATATCGCGGCCTCTCAAAGGCGCCATTCCAATTATATTACACCTCGTGTACAGTATCATTCGGCAAGGCATGCGGATGTCGTGCGTTCGCATCTGTATGGTCGTCAATGCTGTCAGCAGATCTGATCTCAAGGACTTAAGGTCTTCTGAGTCTCGCCTTTCCCTCGAGGATCTATATGTAGACCGACGGCGGTTGTGGGTTCTTGTCCGCGCATCACGAAGATTGGATCCCGATCGACTCCGACCACTAGTAGTTCGATGTCCGGATTGGATGCATATTGATCAGAAACCCCGTACAAACCCCCTTCATCACCGGGGACAATGTGGTGTAGTACAGCAAAGGAGGAACTGATTATCAACGATGGCGGTCACAAAATATACAGTGAGTAGTACAGTGACATGCATTAGTATCGAGAAATCGTGAGGCATAGAAAGCGAATGCGAAATGCGCTCGAGTACAAAAAGAAGGCCAGTCATATTGGTCATAACACCTTCTGTATCGGATGCAAGCCCGCCGGCCAATGACACGGAGGACCACAACACTCAGACACAGAAGTTGCACGTCAAGTATGCGAAGAATTGCACAGCTTCATGTTTCCCGGCCCTCTGTGGCGCTGTCCAGCACGAATGAGCAAATAAACTATCCCGAGAGGTGTCTGCACACCGGTCGCCTCAGTAATATCTTACCACGTCTAAAATCGGTTGGAAACTTCCTTTAGCGACCCGTATGATCTTCGTGAGAATGATATGCTCGAACTTAATGCCACCCTTAGGGTATAGTAGCCAGTTAGCGTCGACGCCGTCGATAGCCCGATGTACCTGGTAGAGTTACTGAAGTTGAAAGCCGCATACATGACGAGTGGTAAAAAAACACTGACATCGATGTAGCATTTGACTTCGAATCCGATAATTCTCGCCAGCTTGCTGATCAAAATGGGATTATTATTTTTTGACGAATCCCTGATGATAACCTGCTTGGACTTGAAAGCATAACCTGGCCACTAATCGAGATCAGCCACTAGTCCAGCACGTAAAATTCGATGGATTATTGAACCCTTACGCTGATTCTGACCGACATCTTCTGGCGAATGTCCTCCCCAGTAATGTGTATGTAACGGTCCCTAGTCCGCCAACTCTTCCTTCCATTGTGGCGGACAGGAGAATTCCTTGCTGTCCGTCGACGCGGTACTCTTCTAGGCTCGTGACGATGTAATCTGACCGTGACTTATACAATGGGCATGGAACAGACTCCCGCCAGCATAATGCCTGTCACGATGTTGTTGGATGGAACGAACTTTCTTGAAATTGATTGGAATGCATACCTCAGAAGGTGGATGAAGTCCATATATAAGCGCATGCATCAGGAAAACTCCAACTTTACCTTTTTCCTCGCTTTGTCACCTTTTTTGAGGATTAAGGAGAGAAAATGTCCAAAAAGCATGAGGATCTCCTGAAATTGCACCTTTTTCTCGAAAAGGAGCGGAAAGGATGGTGAAAAGGCATTGATCCGCCAGCTGCATCAGAAGCAGCCGAAGTCGGCAATGTCTTTATACAGAATATCTCGTGACCTTTCCGGCGCTTTCTGTGTGACTTTTCCAAGAAAAAGGATAAAATAAGCGCAGAACCAGGAGATCCCCATGCTTTTCGGGCTTAATACCTTTTTTGTACCGAAAAAAGCTCTAAAGGGGGCTAAAAAGCAATATTTGAGTTTTCTTGATGTGGCCTAGGGAGGAACTTGAAGCAAGAGCCATGTCACCTGGGGGCTGCAAAAATACACGGAGCTGAGAGGACCAACTTTCAAGTTCCGGGTCCTTTATGTCTGACCAGCTACTCTTACGGTAAAGTGCAGAAAGCACTCCGAAGGTTTAACATGCGAAACACTGGCATAGGTTTCCAAGTATCTCTCTCCATTACGAGGAATGCCGACAGAGAATATTTACTGATCCTTTGAGAACATGGGTTCACGGGTATATGAGTATGATCGTTAGTACGTGGGCGTCAACTGCTGTGCTTTTCGCACTCACAGCGAAATTGGAAGAAAGCGTGATGGAATACGCATGTATCTGGATCTAATTGCAATAAGAAGCAGGCAGCAACATGTTGAATAGATAAAATGTTGCATGACTGTCTACTCCCTGAAATATGGATGGTCATTTGTGTGATTTTCAGACAGAGTCATCTAATTTCTGATTCATCCATCATGAATTAAATACCGCTTATCATTATGAATTGGTCAAGAGACAGCGACAGATAATATTTCAAGTTGTGAGCTTACAATGGGCAGCTTGAATGCATAGTCAAACCTATTGGATCCACTCAAACTTTGAATCAAGCTTTACAGTCACGGTGTAGATGGAGTATAGACAACCTTACCTACATAAGGTTGTCTCTTTCATAGATTTGTAGATATCCATGAGTGCAGTTAGTGGGTATAGCAGATGTGATGGGAAGCAGTGCAAAAGTGTTGCTTACACCATCTTCTGTGAGTTCATGGGAAGAAATTATCTAGGCAAACATCATTCCAAGCAGCAGATGGGGTACATCAATGGTCCCCCATCCCGCAACCCAATGAAAGGCTTTTGTACCTTCTTGCCACTATCATGGGAAGGACATCATGATGTTTGGACACATAATCACTGAAGTCACTAATGGAAAGGTCCTCTGATTTGCAATTAGTGATGTCCAGGGCCCAGCTCGGCCTGAAAGCCCAGGCTTGGGCTCAGCTTCAGTGGGCTCAGGCTCGCCAGAATCGCAAGCCGGGCCCTCTGCCAGAGCTCGGGTTCAGCTCAGGCTCAGCCTGACCTAAGCCCCAGACTTGTTGCAACAACTCTCCTGATGTTTGTAGTTCAATTCTGAGGGTAGATACATAAATAATTTGCATGAAATGATCTTCAAATCATGCCAGATCATCCCACCATCAGGCAGCATGAGGGTTGTCTCATGAGCACACACTGGGTACCAATGAGGGGACCGTGAGCGACCAAAACCCACCTTGAAGACCCTTTTTTTAATGTCACGTGACTCTTACCTCACGGAGAAGTGTCTACATTGCTGTGGCTGAAAGCCCGGGCTCAGAGCCCCAGGTGCGGGCTTTCCCCAATTGGAAGCTGGGCCCGCATACAGGCTCTGAGAGGGCTTGGGCTCAGCTTTTGGTGGCTCAGCCGGGCTCAGCTTGGCCCAGCTCAGGCTTGAAAGCCCAGCCTTGGACATTACTATTTGCAATAGGAACAACACCCCCTATTCCAGAGCCCTATAACTGAGCTATCTGTGATTATGCTTAGAACTTGGAGGGCTTATCTTTGAGCCTCAACTTGATTCTCTGCATTGTTTCAGCTAGAAGTTTCTTTTCTGTTCTGTTGTAATTGAAGCAGCACATGGCTATGGGCAGATACTGTGATACTCGCAACTCTTGCATTGGCAACTTTGCAATTGGTGAAGTCATACTGTTTATGATCAAAGCAGTGGGCTAGTATCTACTCTTGGCAGCTCTATATATTTCTCGGATGGGTGGCAACTGGATTGTTACATCAGGACGAGGTGGACATGATTGTTTTACTAATAGTACGGGTAATTGGACCATCATGGGGGTCAGGCAAATGTCATCCTTCATAGAAAACATTTGTCAACTCAAACACTTTCTTCCATACACAAATGAGAATTTATTCCACAAACATGTAATAAAAAAAAACATCGATGAAACTCCAATGCCAGCGACACATCTGGAACTTAAATATACTATAAGCAGCTATAATGTGCTATAGAGCACTATGTGGCCTACATATTCCCTCATAGTATAATCATGGTTGCAGATGCATCACAGGGCCATACCGGTACATATGAGAGTATCAAAAACAGGGACCACAATTTATGCAACAAGGACAGTAATTGTTGGAAGTGGCCGACCAATGACACTTTCGGTAGGATGCACTCAATGCGTCAGGAGGGACGAGCACCAAGCGGTGGCTGAAACGCATTGCAGGCGGTACCTGGAAATGGAGCAGACAGGTACAGAAGGGTGAAAAAGACATATAAGTATGCACCTGTAGTACCATAGGCCCCAGTCGTTTGTGGCCTCACCAGCCTCTCACTCCCTTGCAGCCATGAAATGGGAAGGTGCTGGCTGACTAACACCCTTGCCGCATCAGGATTTCCTAGACAAACAACTCCGATTGGCCCATGTAAGGGCAGCTACATGGGCACAGTATCAAGGCGGTGCCACTCAGCTTGAGGGGGTGAACCACTCGATATGGTCGGTGATGTGAGCTGGGCTGCATTGGCAGCAGAATCACAGGATGGAAGTGACCTGGCACAGGTGCTATACAAAAGGAAGTGCAGCGCTGATGCCCAGGCACACACACAAGTGGGGGTGGCGCTGATGCCCAGGTGCACACACAAATGAGGCAGTGCCTGGACCATAAAGGCACTATACAGGTGGTGGAGTGCTCTGCAGTCCAGGTGCTATATAAGATGGACAGGGCACTCACCAGGAGGGCAACACAAAGGAACTGGGAGTGCAGATGTCATGTGTAGTAAAAGGAGGGACGGGGCACTGAGGGGGTGTGATATGAAATATCTATGTATTCTCGCGTGAGGGGGCATGTTGGAAGTGGCCGACCAACGGCACTTTCGGTAGAATGCACTCAATGCATCAGGACGGACAAGTGCCAAGTGACAGCTGAAACACATTACAGGCAGTACCTGAAAACAGAGCGAACAGGTACGGAAGGGTGGAAAAGACATATAAGTATGCATCTGTAGTACCATAGGCCCCAGTCATTTGTGGCCTCATCAGCCTCTCACTCCCTTGTGCCCATGAGATGGGAAGGTGCCAGCTAGCTAACACCCTTGTCACACCAGAATTTTCTAGAGTAATGAGTACGAATACAGAAGTCTGGTGTGCATTCTCCGCATTGCATTGCATTGTGCAATATTGCCAGTCAGGAGCTGAGGATACATGGTCACTCACTAGTGATGCAATGCATTGTGTGAGATATCATGCATCAAATCCTAGAGAAAACTTACACTATGGCATTTGCAAGCAGTAAATCTACAGGCAGACACATGATAATGACCTTCAAGCCTCAAAAGCAAACACAAGCTGAATGCTTGCATTGAAAACTTGAAGGATCCCTAAGAGCACGATATGCTTTAGATCGAGTTCTGTGGCATAGAGGTTCTGCTGACTGGGAATTAGGTACGAATGCTGCAATTCAATATTGCAGTAGCTTACATTTTTCATTCTTTTGAGCATGGAAAGGATCTGCTTCAACAAATTCAAAGTACTGACATGCTCTGCGTCACAAGTCAACTGCCGGACTGTCACAGATTTCACCACAAAGTCCGCACATGACTATTCTCATGCCACAGATCACGTGCTTCACCAATATCCCATGCCACTTAGCCACAGACACGACACGTGGAGATCAGATGATAGTCCACATCACATGTTATGGCCCAGACCCGCAGATGATACAGTCGGGCCTGTCTATTCCAGGACACAATAGAGGCACCCATTTGAGAACAAAGGGAGCAAGGACTATTGTTACACATTGGCCATCTGCTTCCTATTACTTTAGCCAGAAGCCCAGATAGGCATGATGTTCTCACCAGAGAACAAAGGTGAATCAAGATAGGCACAATGTTCGCACATGTTGCTGTAGCAGCCATCGATCTTCCCACCTATTGTTCTACTTCCAGACATTTCATTATTTCATGTACAGCCATTAGCTTATACCCGTAGATAGGTAGCTTAGGTAAGACAGCCTGCTGTACATGTATATAAGACCAGCATATAGAGGACGAAACCTCAGATTGTTTCTCCTCATCTACTCCCGTAGCATCCACTGAGCTTTCCAAGCTCCTGCATATATCTCTCACCCTTTCATACACTTGCTTCAACAACAAGTAAGTGTTAGGCTCTCAAGCCACTTAAGGGATCAGGGGAATCATTTGGGATCAGGGGGATCAGGGCGGCATGTTCCATATGACCATTTCTTTTTCAGTCTTCTTGATTTCTTGTCCAGCAGTGCTGTGACATTAGAAACAATCTGACATTTTCTGCACCCCTGCTTAGTGTTTAACACAAGCGGCCACATATTTTCAGTGCAAGCAGTTTCAACCAAAGCATGCGGCTTTTTTGACACACATTCCAACCTGACTTCTACCAGGCATGAGCCTCAGCAAGACACTGAGCAGCCCAAGGCAGCAAAGTGCAAGGCCACCAAGGCAGAAGATCCCTATGCCAGCTACAAATGCCACAAGACCAACAAGGAGTGAGGAAGACTCCTCACTCTAGCATTCCTAGGAGCTTCATCTACAAATTGTCAGAGAGCAGCAGCATGGGTAGTCGACACCACGCACATCAGGGTCCAAGGCATCATTCACTGACCTCACAGTCATACTCTCCCCACTCGAACGATATAAGCCCAGGGCCAGACATCTCACCACAGGCAGTCAAAAGCCAAGACCACCACCTGAGATCATCACTAGCAATGCCGCTCCCCCCATCATTGTTGCCCCACAGCCAGTATGACCTCTACTCAACTTTGTCAAGACACACACATGACCTATCCACCCTCTCCCATCCAGAGTCAGACCCACCATCCATATCAAAACACTCAAGAAGCAGGTCTCAGCCACCTGCTTCAGACTGCAATCGATACTAGGAGCATTCTGGGAAAGAATCAATCAGAATAAATGAAAGAAGGTACAACTCCTCGCATCGAAGTTAGACAAGGTCTGCGCAGACCTTTACACGGGAACTCGTGAATACACTTTCATCGAGAAGCAGGTCATTAACATGTGCTGTTTGGAGATAGGCAGAGTCAATTTCAGGGAAATTGGGAAACAGCAGAGACTAGATGAGATAGTCAGAGGGCTATGTGAAGTAAAGGATAAAGGATATCTAGGATTTATCTTTACATAGTCACATTCGCACAATGTCAGAATCTGGTCATGCCTAAATGTCTACATTCGCACAGAGAATGCAGGATATAATGCGACCAAACATTGAAGTGCATGACGGAAGCACACCTCATGCCTCAAGACAAGCATTGCCGGAGCTAACATCACAAGACTCCACGTCACAACTCGGAGGACTACCATTCCTGACTCCATCACTCCTCCCCGCCTACATACCCCCTGCATGGTCATATGATGGAAATCAGTATGAGCATCTTGAAAATGTCATCAGACAGTCTGCACCCAGTGAAGTCCCCGACAATATTCGCGAATGGGTGATCATCATCATGAAGTCATTAGTCGACAATGAGCTCAAGAAAATGTACAATGTACTCAGTGACAAGATGTATGAGCACAAAAGAATTCTTGAAGCCTCAATTGTGTCAGCTTAAACAGAGCGACGACTGAAGGAGGTGATACTCAAGTCCGAGAATGAGAAACTCTCAGACAAGATTAGAGCTCAGGACACACACATGGTCATCCTAAACGATGAAATCACAAGCACACAGGGAGCTATGTTAGACATGGGGAAGAAGATGATGGAACTAGGCAGTGAGTATACCGAGCTGCATCACGAGTTAGCTTCACTCAAAGCAAGCGGCGTCACAATGATGCAAGGTCACACCTCCGGCATGGTCCAACTGCACAAACTGCACATCAAGATAGTTGAACCTCCACACTACTCGGGCAAAGGAAGTCTGGAGGACTGGCTCCAACAACTCAGCATCTGGATGCGGTGGAATGAGATCAATGATAACGAGCGCAAGATTACCACAGCACTACTGCACCTTGAAGGAGGTGCATTCACCTACATGTCAGAATACATGACCAAGGCAGCAGCATGGCAAGCACTCGGTACTTGGGAAAACTTCGTCGATATTCTCAAAGTCAACTACAGGACCCTCGACCCAGACAAAAATGCACAACAGCACTTGAAGAAGATCTGCGCAAAGACCTACCTCACCATGGTCTCCTTCGCAGAAAAGTTCCACCAATGGGCCACTAAGACCAACTTAGGGCACACTGCACTCATCGGATACATCGCTGAACATCGAGACAAGGACATATGTCAAGCAATGGTGACACGAGACAGCTTAGGTATCGCCGACCCGACCACATGACCAGAATATCTCGACCTATGCCTCCAACTCCAGTCCAAGTTCAGAGCCAACAAGGCAGGACAGCACGGAACAACAACGGCATCATCATCGCAGGCACCAAGAGCCCGAAAAGATCCTAATGCAATGGACGTGGACCATGTGTCCCAACTCACCAAGGAACAAGAAGGCTGGCTGGAAAGGAAGCTCTGTGTACACTGTGGAAAACATCCCTTCATATTCAAGCAACATTGCCTGGACCCCAAGTACAAAGGCAAACTCAAAATGCTGAGATGGGGACAAGTGACCAGGGCAGTAATCACACCAGTGGCATCAACCAGTTTCGATAACAGCAAGGTGAGAGAAGAAGCAGTCCAAGCCTTCCTCGCCAGCTATGATGCGAAGGATAAGGAGGCAGAACCGGAACCAGCTATCGAAGCAGCTAGGATCACGAAGGTGGAAAGTGATGAGGATTTTCTTCGGCGGGTTCTCTGAGGTCTGGCCAGAGTTTCCATAGACATTGTAATAGTACCTACTCGCTCTCGCATGTACCAGTATCAAGTTTTCTCTATATTGCATCAACTGGTTCATCAAAACATGCGATCGATTTACCTGTTCACCTCAGACAGGGAGTAAGGGAAGTCCAGACTGAGGCGCTCCTCGATTCAGAAGCATATTCATGTTACATTAACCCACAGCTGGTCGATCAGTTGAATCTTGCTACAATCTCTCTTGAGAAAGAGATCAGGGTCTACAATGCAGATGCATCTCACAACAAGGGTGAAACTATTAAGAAAAGGGTTCTTCTAAGTATAACTATCAGAAACCATACAAGCAGACAAAGTCTTCTGGTCACCGACATAGGCCACAAGGACATTATACTAGGCATGAGTTTTCTCAAGGAGCACAATCCCAAAGTGGATTGGGGAAAACTCAACATCGAATTCACCTGATGCCCACACAGATGCGCACCCTCACAGGTAGCAGTCCAGAAGGAGGACCTGGAAGACACAAACATCCCCCACATCAAAGACTTAATGGAGTTTGTCAGTTCCCAGGAGTTAGGTGACAACTGGAACGACATGGACAGCTTCATTAAATGGGTATCATTATCAGATAACCCTGATGCACAAGCCGTAGCATCACTCATCATGGGTCTCATCACTCATCATGGGTCTCAATACCAAGAGGAATCAGGACAGAGCACCATAAAATGGAGAACAGGACAATGACTACTGGTCAGCCTATGTCCCCAAACACTTCCACGAGTATGGTGATGTGTTCTCCAAGAAGCAGTCACAATGAATGCTCACAAGAAAGCCCTATGATCATCCAATCAAACTTGTTCCAGAGGCATCATTACCACGCCCGGCAAAGTTATATCCTATGAACTTACAGAAAAGGAATTCGCTCGACACGTGGATAGACCAAGAGTTGGCCAAGGGATACATCAAGAGATCAAGGAGTCCAACAGCAGCACCTGTGTTCTTCATCAAAAAGAAAGATGGCTCACTGAGGTTAGTACAAGACTACAGGAACCTCAATGCAGTAACAAAGAAGAACAAGTTCCCAATTTCACATATTTCGGACCTCATCGACAGACTCTCACAAGCTAGCTGTCACGGCACGCCGATGACAAAGATAGATAACCAAAACTAGAGTCCCCTTGAGGGCCTCCTGGCTAAGAGCCTACAGTGACGAGCTGTGGCGATACGACGTGCCCACTGATGAGGCCCAGTCGCTAGTCGCAGAGTAAGACTTACTGATGAGGCGAGAGGTGCTATCACACAGGTGAGGATGCAAAGAGATGTATAGCACACTGAGAGTGTCTGGTAAGACCCCTCTGTGATGGTAGTGGTGGACGAAGGAGAATAAGACTGAGGTCTCCTCCTCATCTCGCTGGTCCTTATATACATGATTGTCTAGCTACTATACAGTATCATGTAAGTGAGTCACACGCTACTCTACTGGTCAGTGCTACAATCGTACAACATGTTCCAATTATCCTGATTGGCTGCCTAATAATAACCCACGGAGATGGGGCTCCTCTTGAGCACGCAATATGGCATCATGGCGATTGCGACATATGACGTCATGCCGAGAAGTTCAGTGTCACGTGACAATGCCGAGGGAGATCCGAGGTCATGTGACTAGATGCCTTGTTATCTTATCTTCCATTAGGTCACGTGATTCTTGTGCGACGAGAAATGATGAAAAATGATATGCTTCTAATAGCATTTGTTCCTATATTGACTTGTCAGGTAAAAACTGTGACATCACCCTCTTCTCAAGGTTCATCGTCCTGATGAGCCAAAGCCTTTGGCGCCTCATATGGTTCACTTTGCGAGTGAACTATCTGCCTCCAAAATGATTCCTGGAGCATAGCGTTCGCATATGAGTTGGGTGACATGATCACCTGTCCTGACCTCGAATGGTTTGCTGGTCGTATTAACGAGAAGCACCTTGATTTCCCCTGTGTAGTCTGGATCAATTACCCCTGCTGCGGCATCAATGCCTTTGAGGGCTAGCCCACTTCGGGGGGCCACTCGAATGTATGTCAACTTTGGGGGGTCAATCGCAAGCCCGGTGCCAATGAGCATTCTGGCATGTGGGGGAATGTCTATGTCTTGTATGGACTTGACATCCCACCCTACAGCTTCTGGAGATCCCTTGTAGGGTGCTCGGGCATTTGGATGGGTGCAAAAAAAGAACATGAATTCATCAGGGTGGTCAGACAAAGCGATTTTGTGTGCTTTGCGTGTTCGCGGCTTTGCTCTTGGAGCATCTGGGTGTGTCTGATGGAATTCCTCTACTTTGTCTTTGACATTCGTGAGGTTTTCCAGAGGTTCCCATGTATTGTCGCTGTGGTCATAGTCTGACCACTTGACGAGATACTGGGTTTTGTTGTACCTGACTCTAGAATCCAGGATGTCCTCCACATCCCATTCTTCCTCTCTGTCTATGATGACTGGGGGGTTAGGGGGAGGTACGCATCTGGGAATAGAGTCTTGATGAAACATTATAAGCTTAGAAGCATAAAACACTGGATGTAGCTTCATATCCACTGATAATTGCAGTTTGAATGATACGGTTCCAATTTTTTCGAGGATTTTGAATGGTCCATAGTTCTGAGTTGCAAGTTTTTGACTTTTGACCTTTACATGGAGATCTTTTCCTCGAATGAGCACTTCGTCTCCTACTTTGAAAGGAACGTCCTGCTTTTTGAGATCAAAATACCATTTCATTCTTTCTGCTGCTAATGATAGAGCAGCATGTGCTTGTTCCTGTGCTTGATCACGGTTGTGGAATAAGTGTTCCAGGGATGGATGTTGTATCCCTTCCAGTACGTCTGGTGCCATGCGGGGGTGTCAACCATGCTCAATGAAAAATGGGGACAGACCTGTCGATTCTGAAGCTTGATTGTTCTATGCAAATTCCGCTGTGGGCAATAGTGTGACCCAATCAGTTTGTCGGTAGTTGCAATACATGCGCAAATATTGCTCCAGAATTTGATTGACTCATTCAGTCTGTCCATCCATTTCAGGGTGATAGGCTGTAGACATCGTGAATTTGATGTGAAGTTTCTGGCAGAACTTCTGGAATAGCTTGGCTGAGAACTGTGTGCCTCGATCAAATATGATCTGCCGGAGAATTCCGTGGAGTTTGAATACTTCAGTGTAGAAAATCGACACTACTTGAGATGCTGTCACCATGTCATCTACTGGGTAGAAGTGTGCATGTTTAGTGAATCTGTTGACGACTACCAAAATGGCCGTCTTCTTTTCTCCCCTATGATCTGGGCTTGGCAGTAATTGTGTAATCAGGTCACATGTAACCATTTCCCAAGGCCCTTCTGGTACTGGATTAGGTTGTAACAGTCCGTAAGGCTTCTGCTTGCTCATCTTGTTTCTTTGACAAGTTACGCAGCCTTGGACGTACTTCTTTACATCAATGGTGAGCCCTGGCCACCAGTAATTCCTGCTAATCAGCTCTTGCATCTTCCATCATCCAGGGTGCCCGGCCGTGGAGATATCGTGATGTAGCTTGATCAGCTCATTCCACAGCGTAGAGTCTTTTGGAACATAGACCTTTCCTCTTCTGAGCAGCAATCCTTGCTCGAAGTTCCACTCCTGGAGGTCTTTTCTGAACTCTCGCTTGCCAGTTTTTAGTAGGTGCTGGTAATCTTTGGTCATTTCATCGTCTTGTAGTGCCGATTTCACTCTTTCTAGAAGTTCTGCATTGTCAACTTCAGAGGAATGAGTGGCTGAGATCGCGTGGATGACAAAATATTTGGGCCGAAGCAAAGTTTGCCCTAAATTATCATTGCTCACCCCCTTCTCATGATCTGGCCTCCTGGACAGAGGATCGGCATGCATCATTGTCTTTCCAGGGCAGTGACGAAGAATGAAATTAAATCGGGTAAGGTAAATTGACCATCGAGCTTGCCGTCTGATCAATGTCTGAGCTTGTCAAAAATAGGTAAGATTAAGGTGATCCGACCATATCTCAACCAGGTGCGGGTGTCCTTCAAAGTATTGCCTGTACTCTTCTAATGCCCGAATGATGGCTAGCATTTCCTTGTCATAAATCTCATAGTTTTGCTCGTGTTCATTGAGTGACTTGGAGTAGTAAGCGACAGGATGCCAGAGCTCGTCTTCTCCCAACTGTTCAAGGACTGCACCTGTGGCAAAGTCCAAGGCATCCGTTTCTAATCTAAAGGGACAGATTGCGTTAGGGAGTGCTAGAATTGGGGCAGAAGTGAATGCAGTTTTGAGGGCCTCGAATGCCTTTTGTTGAGGGTCTTCTCATTTCCACGGTGCATCCTTACATGTTAATAGAGTCAAGGGTCGGGTCATCGATCCGAAATCCTTGATGCATTGTCGATAGAAATTTGCCAGACCAAGGAATGCTTGCACCTGCTTTACCTTGGTGGGCACCGGCCATTTGAGCACACCATCGACCTTTTCCGAGTCCATCTATATTGACCCTTTTGAGATTATGAGTCCGAGAAACTTGACAAAAGTGGTCGCAAAGTGGCACTTTTCTGGTTTCACGAATAGGTCATTGTCTCTGAGTCGTTGGAGAACTTCTTTGGTTAGACGGTTGTGTTCCTCTTGGTTATCTGTAAAGATTATGATATCATCTATATAGACTGCCACCTTTCCAGTGTGAATGAGATCATCTAAGACATTATTCATCATGGCCTGGAAAGTGCTAGGGGCGTTACAGAATCTGAAGTACATTACAGTGGGTTCAAATAATCCTCGATGGGTAATGAACGCTGCTTTTTCCTCATCCCCCTTGCAAAGGCGTACATTGTTGTACCCCCATCTCAGGTCTAGTGTAGTGAATATACTAGCTCTTGAGAGCCCGTCAATGAGATCATTGATTCGGGGGAGTGGGAACTTGTTCTTCTTGGTGATGCTGTTTAATGCCCTGTAGTCTTGGACAAGTCTAAGAGAGCCATCCTTTTTCTTGACAAAAAATACCGGAGC